TTGGTTACAATGTCGCATTCTTTGAATCTGAGATTTCATTTCTGAAGTTTATTTTGGAACACGGGATAATTACAGCATTGCTTAAACCCCTCTCTTCATTGTGTAAAGATCTGTAACAATCTTTTGTATCATTCAAACTTTAAAGCAGTGGGTTCAAGAAACAAAGACGTATTTATCAAATGCATGACTTGTTGACGTATGCTTGATTTGTGACTTGTTGACTTATGCTTGACTTGTAAAGTTGCGACTTATTGATTTATTGTGAATTTGTTAAACAAAGATTTGTAAAAAGATAAAAACCCAAGACAGTGTTGTTTCCCTTGAAATAACATAGTGACTTCTAGATACTACACGTCGTAACGTCTATACACTAACGTCGTGACGTCCCTACACTGACGTCGTAATTTTCATTCATTTACGTCGTAGTATCGTCCCTACACTAACGTCGTGACGTCCCTACATTAACGTCGTAACGTCCCTACATTAACGTCGTAACGTCCCTACACTGACGTCGTAACGTCCCTACACTGACGTCGTAATTTTCATTCATTTACGTCGTAGTATCGTCCCTACACTAACGTCGGAACAACCTTAAACTAACGTCGTCACTTCCCTAGATTAAAGTTATAACGTCCGTTCATTAACTACCTAACGTCCCTAAACCAACGTCGTCGCGACGTGCCTAAACTGACGCAGTAACGTCCCTACACTAACGTCGTCGTGACGTCCCTACACTGAAATTGTAACGTCCCTACACTAAAGTAACCGTGACGTCCCTAAACTGACGCAGTAACGTTCCTACACTAACGTCGTAATTTCCCTAAGGACGACGAAACAGGCGACACACTACACACTACACACTACACACTACACACTACACACTACACACTACACACTACACACTACACACTACACACTACACACTACACACTACACACTACACACTACACACTACACACTACACACTACACACTACACACTACACACTACACACTACACACTACACACTACACACTACACACTACACACTACACACTACACACTACACACTACACACTACACACTACACACTACACACTACACACTACACACTACACACCACACACCACACACCATACACCACACACAACACACTACACACTACACTAGCACAGCAAGTTAACGAGAATGTGTCACAGAGTTGACCCAATCGCAGTTGCTAAGCGACGATCACGCCAAAAAGGTTCCTGTTGCTGAAAATATGAGCCGCGAATCTAATTAATTGCCGTCTAAATCATAAAAACATTCATATCTTAATGAACCGCTTATCTAATTTAATTCATTCAAATTCTTTATAGAATATTATCTTGACAGACACATACCTTTTCTAAGAAATCAACAAGTACATTTGTTACGTTGTGTTCGTTTAGCTGCATGATTTGCTTAGAATTAGCATTTATACTAAATATTAATTTCACAGATACCTTATGAAGATCTAGCTGTTGGGGAGGGGGGGGGTGTTTTGTTGTTGTTTCTTTTTTTTTGCGTAACTCTTCAAAACATAAATAAGTCTTTCCTATCGCTAGCACTCTCAGCTATTTCGATGGGTTTTTTCTCGACTCAGTGTATGTCTCAAACATATTTTAACTAGCCTTTGGTACCCGTTACACGTGAATTATATTTTTTTAACATTAAGTGGCATCTCTCTATTACAAAACTTGATAGCTTTTAACTTGGGTTGACTGCTGTAGGCTATGTTTTGCCCCCCCCCCCCCACCTTGACCACCCACCAACGCCATCCTACCACTCTACCACCCGCAAGTTGACAAGTTGAGCCGCTTTGCACCTAAAACACTTCGGGAAAAAAACTTATTAAGCGCATCAAATCAACAGAAAAGGCGCAATAAAAAGCAACAAAAACACCCCAAAGTACTAAAAACTAAACACCATAATTCACCAAAAATACAAAAACACGCCAAAACGCCTAAAACACCCAACAGCCAAACACACACAAAAAACACACCAAAACCAAATGAAAACAAACCAAAAACGCAACAAAATCAAATGAAAACAAGCCAAAAACGCACCAAAACCAAATGAAAACAAACCAAAAACGCACCAAAACCAAATGAAACCAAAAACGCACCAAAACCAAATGAAAACAAACCAAAAACGCACCAAAACCAAATGAAACCAAAAACGCACCAAAACCAAATGAAAACAAACCAAAAACGCACCAATAGGCGCATCCTTGAAAGCCGACACGCTTGATTGCCTCCACTCACTCACCGTCTCACGACTCCGACACCACCACCCCCACACACACACACACACTCCACTCACACACATTCATTAACCATGATCCATCATCTAGAATATTCAACTGTTTGTTCAACCAAGCGCGAACAGAGAAACGGGTTCAGTTCTAGACTTGGCCACCATCAGCTGTGAGCCGAGGTTGGAACCACCAGCTATAAAACCAGAACTGGGATCTTCTACTGATCTCTTTTGTAAAGCAGTTCTATGAAAACAATGGTCAACCCTCAAAATTGAATTTCCTCAATACAATTATTAACATTTTAACAAAAGCCAATTGTGTTATAACATGCTATGACTGGAAAAAAAATTAAGTGGGACGAACCCCCCCCCCTCCTTTCGCCCTTCCCCTCCACTCCCCACCACCCCCCCCCCCCCCCCACACACACAAAGTTCTATTTATTTTTATAGAAAAACAAACGCCACCCTCAAAGCCTATCTGCGCCCTAATAAAAATGTAATAAATCCCGTGGTGTTAATGAACTAGTTTTAATTAGGTCATCCTGGTTAGGCATTGATTTTTAATCTACTTGGACGTGTGAAGTAAATGTGGGGCGGGGCGGGAGTGTGGACGGGGTGGGGGAGACGACCTGTCAGATACTTACAGCTGGGTAATCGATATTTCTTGATGGGTATACCTTGGCGCCAATCAAGCGGATCTTGAATCGATACTCAGCTCTGACTGCCCAGGTACAAGTGGGGAGGGGGCGTGAAGTGGGGGGGGGGGGGTCTAGCAGTGGCTTAGTTTTAGGCCAGGGCACAAGTGCCTGGCACAAGTGCCCGCGCAGTACGGCTAGAGAGGTGGCGCTGAGCACGTGATCAAAGTCTACGAGTCAGGGAATAAACGCTGTCTTTGTTTTTGATTGGATGAAAAAAAAACTGCTCGGCGTTTAGTGGGTTAAATAGACGAGGGGTTTAAACTGGAGTGAGCATTGCTGAATTGGAGTGTCGGTAAACGGAGTGTCGCTAAACTAGTGGAGTGTCGTCTGTGTATATATGTGGATACGAAAATTGTGTATACATTAAAGTGGGATTTTAATACACCTGTTCTGTAAATGTTTTGACAGGTGAGTCGTTGTTTAATTGTGTTTAATTATTAACATATTTGAATACATTATGTATCAAACAATACAATAATAGTGTGTAAAAAAAAATGTGTGTGTTACTATGAATAGATTTTTTAAAGGGTTTTATAATACGTGTTCTATTTAATTCAGACTTTGATATTTAATAGTTGGTAATAGCGCACCGTATGAGCGTAATTTCGCGTTTGAGATCGAAGAAGCGCTAATGATGTGTGAGTAGAAGTGCGTCTATGTACGTTGGTGATGGCTACACTGTTATGAAATGTTTTGTTAATAATTGAATGTGTCGTGTGTTTTTTTTTTACACTATATATTTAGGCTTAGGTCATTCTCACCAACGAGTAACTTTAATGAAAGAGTTTAGGTTAGAGATAAGGTCAAACGTTTAGGCTAATAATAAGATAAATGTTACTCGGTAGTTATCGAGTTGTAGTGAAGTTAGTTTTTGCCTTGTATCGCTGCACTGGCGAGTTGTGAAGATATGGCTCATATTGTGTAACATATAAACATGACATTTTCACTCACCCTCATATCCGATATAACGTTATATGACATTCTATACACCAGTTTTTCCAATTGTATATAACTTATAGCAACCACTCCACCCCTTAGAATTGGAATTATATAACACATTTTTTTAATTATGACAAAAATTATTTTGAGAAAAAAAAAACTTCGATTTGTAAGACTAGACAGTTATACCAAATGATTCATCCAACAATACTAAATGGCAAATATTTATCAGAATTGTCAACAGACAATATCAACAATACCAGCCTACCTCACATAACGCGAAATAAGGAAACCATAAACCACATGCTATTCTATACGTGTCATATCATAAGAATACACTGATAGTGCTCTCAATCATTTGCACACAATCACTGATGGTGCTCTCAATCATTTGCACAAAATCACTGATAGTGCTCTCAATCATTCGCATACAATCACTTATAGTGCTCTCAACCGTGCACACAATCACTGATAGTGCTCTCAATCATTCGCATACAATCACTGATAGTGCTCTCAATCATTTGTGTTAATCTCCTGACTTAATCCCTGTGTGTTAACCCCTGACTTAATTCCTGTGTGTTAATCACTGAATTATTCCCTGTGTGTTAACCCCTGACTTAATTCCTGTGTGTTAATCACTGAATTATTCCCTGTGTGTTAATCCCCTGACTTAATCTCTGTGAGTAGTCTCCTGACTTAATCCCTGTGTGTTAATCTCCTGACTTAATCCCTGTGTGTTAATCTCCTGACTTAATCCCTGTGTGTTAATCTCCTGACTTAATCCCTGTATGTTAATCTCCTGACTTAATCCCTGTGTGTTAATCCCCTGACTTAATCCCTGTGTGTTAATCCCCTGACTTAATCCGTGTGTTAATCCCCTGACTTAATCCGTGTGTTAATCCCCTGACTTAATCCGTGTGTTAATCCCCTGACTTAATCCGTGTGTTAATCCCCTGACTTAATCCGTGTGTTAATCTCCTGACTTAATCCGTGTGTTAATCCCCTGACTTAATCCGTGTGTTAATCTCCTGACTTAATCCCTGTGTGTTAATCTCCTGACTTAATCCCGGTATGTTAATCTCCTGACTTGTTATTTCTGCTCATCAGGACCATGGCGCCACTGGAGGCAGCTCATCTCACATCCACTCTCTCCAGGTCCAGTCAGTGGAAGATGAATCCACCAACTCCACCAGCGACACACCAGCGGTCAGCACAGTAGCCTCGCCCACTAAGGTCGCCCCCGAGCAAGGGATTAAACCAAGCAGCGCCCCCGAGCAAGGGATTAAACCAAGCAGCGCCCCCGAGCAAGGGATTAAACCAAGCAGCGCCCCCCAGCGAGGGATTAAAGCTAACAGCAGCGCCGGCGACCTGCTAGCAGCGTCAAGCCAAGCCAACAGGGACAGGATCTGTAGCACATTTATCACACAAACACACAGCGGGAGCACCAGCAGTCTTAACAGAGTCGGTGCGTCGAGAACGTTATCTGCGTCGTCTGGCTCCGCCATGGACGATAACTCTTCCAAAAATGACTCGTCATCGGAGGTTTGTACAAAAAAAAAATTATATGCTCTTTTTTTTATTATTTCATTATTTTATGACAACAACTATCGCGATTAGTTATTTAAATAAAAGAGATGTTTTGGAATAATAATGATTCATTTTTACAAAAAAAATTCTAGTGCCAGAAATTTTATTTACCTAAATGTAAATTAAGCTGATTTTCTTACATATAAACAGAGTTTTAAAAAAGCATTTTATTTTCTTAAAAAAATGATCATGAAGTTTTTCAAATTTTAAAAATAATTGCGAAGAATAAAAGATACTCGTTATCAAACTGCATTGAACGATAAACAGAAAGAGAAAATCAAATCACAGTTGATGTCAAAATTTAAAAAAAACATCCCGTCTGTCCAAATCAAATTTGTTATGTATCATCGAGTCAAAATACCCTTTATTGTGTTATATATTGTATGCACTAACCTTAACTAATGGACCAATTTTTTTTATATTTTCCCCAGGTGAGTAAACCCAGATTTATGACTTTCCTGAAGAGAAAGATCCAGTCCAGGCGTGGCAAGAAAGAGACCACGGTCAAGGAGATCTCCATCACGCCAGAGCGCGATGGCCAGTGGGCGGTCAAAAACGTCACGCCCCCGGGCAGCGGCAGTAACTCTCGCGCCGGCAGCGGTAACGCGAGCTTCAACGGCGCCAGGGAGAGCCCCAACCTGGTTGTCGTTCATGATATGGATAATGAGTACAACCCCGAGTACAGATAGTGTGGTCAAAGTGCTGTAACTCCATTAGAATGATGAGAATACAGTATGGTCAAAGGTCCGTAACTCCATCAGACAGACATGCAAAGTTCGGTAACTCCATTAGTAAGAAGTGAATACAGTGTGGTCAAAGTTCGGTAACTCCATTAGTAAGAAGTGAATACAGTGTGGTCAAAGTTCGGTAACTCCATTAGTAAGAAGTGAATACAGTGTGGTCAAAGTTCGGTAACTCCATTAGAAAGACATGATTATAGATTATAGACAGTGTGGTCAAAGTTCAGTAACTCTATTAGACAGACATTATTATAGAATATAGACAGTGTAGACAAAGTTCGGTAACTCCACCAGACAGACATGATTACAATACTTATGTTAGTGAGTTACAATACTAATGTTAGTGCTAGGCTTGCTGGCTCTAACTTCGCCATCTTCAATAAGTCACCTTAACCCATGTTCGATAACTCCACATTGTATGAACAACAGGGTCAATTGTTCAGTAGTGCCTTCACGCAGTGAAAAGAGCTTTAGTTATTTATACAGCATTGTTGAGCTGTTCTCTGAAGCTATTCACGGACCTTTGGCTTTCATTTGATCAAAGAGAAACCTCCAGCTAAAGAATGACCCGCCTACGTGTGTAAATTATTCATTGAAAAGGCCCCTAACAAGGGCGAACGATGGCAAATCAAATACTGGCAGTCAGCTACAAAAAAAATAAAATATAGTAGACTGCTGTTTACTACTTGCTATGTATATGTCAAGGCCAGTTGAAGTATGCCAGTGTGTGAAGGCCAGTTAAATTTTGAGCTTGCCAGTTTGTAAAATAAATATAATTGTATTAATTAACATTGCAGCATTACAAAATATTTCTTCAATATTTAATTTAACTTTAATATTTGGGCCTATAAGTTATTTTTAAATGTAGTAATAGTTATGTTCCAGAAGTATGTAATTTCAAATGAGTAGCCTTCTAAATATGAAGTAATACATAAACACATATTTTCATCAAGATTTTACTTGCAGTATGTAACTTGCAATCATAAATATATCCCATAGACAGACAAAATAGAAGTAAAATAAAATTTGAAGACATGTACTATATTGTAACTATATCCATCTTGTTTTTAACTTCTTTGGGGATTCAAAGGAAATATTTATTTGTTTGCATATCTGGTCAGTTGTTAATGTTTTTAACTCACATACAATAAAAGAAATTGGTGATTCTTTTAAAATCATTACATAACATATTAAAACAAAGCATAAGTATGTCCTGCCATAAATTATGTTGTACAAAGTATTTGAATTGTCTGTTAACTCTTTTGTTTTATTGGAATTTGGATTCCAGAATTCACATTCCACTGTAATCTACATCTGCTGTCAATTGCATGGAGCCTCATGATCTTTATTTTTTTTCATTTTATATGTTAATATTTAATTTGCCCAAAAATTATCATGAGGCTTTCAGCATAATCTTTTGAAAGTGTAAAAAGAACAATTACTCATCATAGCAAAGCTATTTATAAGGTTATCAACGGCCAACCCTATACCCCTCCCAAGCTATTTTTTTTTATTCATACCGAACTTGTCTGTTTCACCATATTAGCACTGTAGTGATATGAACTTAATGGCATCCCACAACAGAATATCAGCTCAGCTAAGTAAAACCTTAACCCTAGCAAGTGTAGAGCCATGGAAAAACAATAATAATTGAAATAATCATAATAATATCAAAGTCTATCCTCCCACCCTCCCTACATTTTATTTTAATAAGAATTACAAATTATATGCAACTTAACATTCCTTGAATTTACTGTTTTAAAACATTTCACCTACTGTTTTAGATGGTGGTAAGCAGAACCAACAGGTAAACCAAAATTTACTGTTTTCAGTGTTTCACCTGCGCAGTTGTCTACCTTTTAGCTCTTTATAGACAACTTCCGTACTTATCAAATCCGTCCACTGTATAGGAGAGTTTTCAAGAGTTTTTAAGAGATCTTTGTACAGCTGTTCAACAAATTTAACATTAGAATAAGAACAATTTTTTTTCCAAAGTAATGATTATATTTAGATCCTGTAAATAAATAAAAGTTTTTTTATGAAGCAACACTAATAGAATGCAATGCATATTTTAAATACACGCATTTTACTGTTTGCATTATTTTGTGTTAGTGAGAGAGTAACTTATGGGCATGGTGAAGAAGAAAGAAATGTTGCGATCTGAGATTATGTTTAGCATGCAAAGAAAATGTTTTATCTGCATTCTAAAAGAAATGTACATAACATGTTAGCAATAAATGTTTGAAAGATTTGTGTATACTTTTTAATGCTGTACTTTGTAAATAAAGTTTAATCTTCTTATATCACTATTGGGGACATCCATGAATGATGTCATTTGATGGGGGGAAGGGGGTATTCAGATGTTTATGACAATGTGCTATGGTGAAAGGTGGGCTCAAATGTGTCATAACATAAATTTTGGAGTTCATAAAGGTAAAAATGGTTTTGAAGTATTGATTTGTATTGAGTTTTGATTCATATAGAATGGGGAGTTGAAATTTGTGATGTCATTTTAAAGGAGGAGGCTGTACTATGTTTTTAAGGATTGGGTAAAAGTCTATATGGCATTGATGGATAACCCCATAGACAAAAATAGTTCATGAACTGGGCCAGTACAAAGCTGTATCAAATTCTGAACTACCTTTACTTTAGTGAGTGTAATGTAGTATTTCTAGACTTTTAAAAAAATATTGTCAAAATGAAAAACAGCACTTAGTATTTATTGATCCTTATCTAAAGGAGCACTTTTTAATTTATTTTAAATTATTCTCAAATGGAATATGAAATTAAAATCCACAAGTGAGTTTAACATCTACTCTAGTTGTAAGTAGATTCGTGATGATCACACATTCCCTTTAGTTGCTGAAATGAAAGGGCAGTTTTTTCATCTGCCCTGCAAAGAATCAAACCTGAGAGGGTACCTTACATTACTATTAACTCATAGATTTGAAGATGTATTACATTATTTAATACATGTAGACAAGGCAATGAACACAAATTTTGTGGACAGATTTTATTTTAGATTCCTGGTAGTTGAAACAGGTGAGTAAAGCAGTATCTGTAACACTTAAAGAGATTTTGTGTTGAGATGCAAAGATGCTGTCAGATGTCCTGTGTTATACAGTTGTTTCACAAACAATATAATGTAAATAGCTGTAGATTTTATTTTCTGCTGGTAGTTTCATATTGTCTCGTTTCATATTGTCACATCATCTACCTTTCATATTGTCACTTAAACCATGTTTTGAATGGAATAACTTCAATCTTTAAATGGTTCTCAGTGGTGTTCGTAATTTTCTAGTTATGTTGCTAGTAATATTTTTGGTTATGTGTATATTTGTTTTGTTGAGATATACTACGTCCACAAATGTTATTTTCCCAACCTTTTTTTTTATCTACTGTTGTCTGTCATAGTACTAGCAGTTTAAAGATTTGTTAACTAATTGCTAATCTGGTGTAAATTATGGTCATTTTAAAATTTTGTATTTTAAAACTGTATCAGCATTTGAATGAACTGGTGCTACAAATGAAATGTGTGACATGGCAGTACAATGATTGTGTGACATGACAGTACAATGATTGTGTGAGTGACATGACAGTACAGTGATTGTGTAATATGACAGTACAATGATTGTGTGAAATGACAGTACAGTGATTGTGTGAGTAACATGACAGTACAGTGATTGTGTGACATGACAGTAGTGATTGTGTGATATGACAGTACAATGATTGTGTGACATGACTGTAAAGTGATTGTGTGACATGACAGTGATTGTGTGAGTGACATAACAGTACAGTGATTGTGTGACTTGACAGCACAGTGATTGTGTGATGACAGTACAGTGATTGTGTGATCAAAGTACAGCAATTGTGACATAACTGTACAGTGATTGTGTGAGTGACATGACAGTACAGTGATTGTGTGAGTGACATGACAGTACCGTGATTGTGTGATGACAGTACCGTGATTGTGTGATGACAGTACCATGATTGTGTGATGACAGTACAGTGATTGTGTGACATAACAGTACAGTGATTGTGTGATGACAGTACAGCAATTGTGACATAACAGTACAGTGATTGTGTGATGACAGTACAGTGATTGTGTGATGACAGTACAGTGATTGTGTGATGACAGTACCGTGATTGTGTGATGACAGTACCATGATTGTGTGATGACAGTACAGTGATTGTGTGACATAACAGTACAGTGATTGTGTGATGACAGTACAGCAATTGTGACATAACAGTACAGCGATTGTGTGATGACAGTACCGTGATTGTGTGATGACAGTACCGTGATTGTGTGATGACAGTACAGTGATTGTGTGATGACAGTACAGTGATTGTGTGACATAACAGTACAGTGATTGTGTGATGACAGTACCGTGATTGTGTGATGACAGTACAGTGATTGTGTGACATAACAGTACAGTGATTGTGTGACATGACAGTACAGTGATTGTCTGAGTGACAGTACAGTGATTGTGTGACATCATACGACAATTTCATCCCCTTTACTAGGTAACTGCTGAGCTCTTTTTAAAGATTTCAATAAAACTGTCAAGAAGCTGGTGTTGGTTATCTTTTTTACATTGTACAAATGATGTGTGCAGGAATAAATGATAAGAAATTAAAGGTGTGGTGATAAAGATCTTAGATAAAATAATCAGGTATTCTATCATCATCTTCTATTTGTATTTTTTGTGCCCAAGACACATGGAGTAGATAGTTCATGTTTAAAGACCTCAGCATACAGGGGATAGTATGGTCAGCAGCTGGGTGGACTTAGGAGCAGTTGTAAGCTCTACCAATTAACCACGCCATACTTAAGCAATAGTGACTATTTTATATTTGGATTGCGCTAGCATTGTGAGGTATTTGCTAACTGCATCAGTTTTTTTCAATATATTTTTACAAAGAAGAATGTAATAAAAAGTATAACAATGACAAAAAATTAAAAATTTATATTTAGCAGCTTTATTGAGCTTTATATTAGACTGATTGATTCATTGACTGGGTTCAAGTTCACTTAGTGAACAACTATTCCAGCACTGTTCAGCATCAGTTCAACCCAACTGCGCTCCTGTGCGTAAATCCTCAAGTACAGCAACATTGATCAGCTTGTATCCCTCTCTCCCGGTGGATCCAAGCTGACGTTGTTCAAAGAGCTAATCAATTTCTCAAATGTCTTTGAGTTGTCGCTGTCGTCACCAGCGCCTGACATGACACTCTCCTCTGCTGATGTGTCCTCGGGTGGAGTTTTCATGAATTTACCCTGGACAAAGATCCTAGGGACATTGAGGCCCTCTTTTTTGTTGACAGTTGACCTCTGTATGTAAACACTCGTCACTGTTTTTAGACCTGCAATTTCCATAATTGAGTTGAGCTTTTCTGAAACAAAAATGCACAATTTATTATCGACTAGTTTACTGGTTGCAAGTTGATGCCATCTAGTCCTACACACCAAAATGATGCAATATTTTTTAAGGGTTTCATAATGTAATACCAATCAAGTATTTTTTACAAGCTAATATTTAGATTGTAACGTCTATTTGTTTGTTTGTGGGTTTGTGGCAAATCTTGTAACTCAATTTTGCCCCACTTCTAATGCAGCAATTTTGATCAAACTTTCCAGATAGGTTCCACATTGATGATAATTCAAGTCTATCTATTTTTTTATTTTATTAGATCTTTAATTAGTCATTAAAAATGCATAAAGACTAGGGGAGATAAAATTAAATCACTTAATAGATTACTATATTCAATAACAGGAGGAGAGATAACTAGAGCGGTTGATCTAGGGAAGGCTATTAGGGGCAGATAATAGACTTTTTAAAGGCTTTGAACTAACTGCAGGTAGTACGATTAAGAGCTATCCTTTGCTATATCAGCTTGCTGTTGTCTGTTTTTTTGTGGTCAAGGATGGCTGCATTCACAGGGCAGATTACAGTCTTTCAGATATTGCAAGCTACTGATGGTGTCTTAAAGCAAATAGTTTTAGTCATGTCGAGTTCATAAATTAGGAATTACTAAAAAGTGGAAAATAAAACAAATATAAAAAACCTTCACAGCAACAAGCTTCTTTTAAATGCACAGAAAATAAGAAAATAAAACTAATTTTCTTTATTAAAAGCTTGGATTGCTGATGAGATCTTTTACATATTTTAGCGATAAAACTTGTTATTAAAGAAAGTAAATTAATTGTATTTTCTTATTTTCAGTGCATTTAAAAGCGTGCTCTTTAAAACAAATGTAAGCGCCATCAGTGTTTCTTTCAGACTTTTCTCCATGGAGAGAAAGGGGTGGGGCAGTAGCAATGGTGCCCCCCAAAGAGATGCCTGAAATTAACAATGGGTGCTATAGTGCTCATAGGCGAGCCCACAGCATTGCTGGTTATACAGAGTTGCAGTTTGATAGTTGAACTAATGTAGTACCCCTCCAAAGTTTAATTTTTTTTTTTTTTTTTTTGCAAAAACCTTTCCAGGAATGTTCTCAACAGCTTCCCAGTTTCAAATTACAACTTGACAAAAAATGTACCTAACGAAAAGTAGTAGGCTCTTGTGCCGTCCTGTCTAACATAGAAACACTCCCCCAGCTTGTGGCCCTTGGAGAAGCGCAGCATGGCGTGGTCATACAGCCCGTAGTCTCTGACTAACAACAGACCACCTGGTTTCAGAGTCTAATGGAACACACACAAAAGTATTTTAATAAACATAAACTCTATAGCCCAGAGTCTCTGACTAACAACAGACCACCTGGTTTCAGAGTCTAATGGAACACACACAAAAGTATTTTAATAAACATAAACTCTATAGCCCAGAGTCTCTGACTAACAACAGACCACCTGGTTTCAGAGTCTAATGGAACACACACAAAAGTATTTTAATAAACATAAACTCTATAGCCCAGAGTCTCTGACTAGCAACAGACCACCTGGTTTCAGAGTCTAATGGAACACACACAAAAGTATTTTAATAAACATAAACTCTATAGCCCAGAGTCTCTGACTAACAACAGACCACCTGGTTTCAGAGTCTAATGGAACACACACAAAAGTATTTTAATAAACATAAACTCTATAGCCCAGAGTCTCTGACTAACAACAGACCACCTGGTTTCAGAGTCTAATGGAACACACACAAAAGTATTTTAATAAACATAAACTCTATAGCCCAGAGTCTCTGACTAACAACAGACCACCTGGTTTCAGAGTCTAATGGAACATACACAAAAGTATTTTAATAAACATAAACTCTATAGCCCAGAGTCTCTGACTAACAACAGACCACCTGGTTTCAGAGTCTAATGGAACACACACAAAAGTATTTTAATAAACATAAACTCTATAGCCCAGAGTCTCTGACTAACAACAGACCACCTGGTTTCAGAGTCTAATGGAACACACACAAAAGTATTTTAATAAACATACATTCTATAGCCCAGAGTCTCTGACTAACAACAGACCACCTGGTTTCAGAGTCTAATGGAACACACACAAAAGTATTTTAATAAACATAAACTCTATAGCCCAGAGTCTCTGACTAGCAACAGACCACCTGGTTTCAGAGTCTAATGGAACACACACAAAAGTATTTTAATAAACATAAACTCTATAGCCCAGAGTCTCTGACTAACAACAGACCACCTGGTTTCAGAGTCTAATGGAACACACACAAAAGTATTTTAATAAACATAAACTCTATAGCCCAGAGTCTCTGACTAACAACAGACCACCTGGTTTCAGAGTCTAATGGAACACACACAAAAGTATTTTAATAAACATAAACTCTATAGCCCAGAGTCTCTGACTAACAACAGACCACCTGGTTTCAGAGTCTAATGGAACATACACAAAAGTATTTTAATAAACATAAACTCTATAGCCCAGAGTCTCTGACTAACAACAGACCACCTGGTTTCAGAGTCTAATGGAACACACACAAAAGTATTTTAATAAACATAAACTCTATAGCCCAGAGTCTCTGACTAACAACAGACCACCTGGTTTCAGAGTCTAATGGAACACACACAAAAGTATTTTAATAAACATACATTCTATAGCCCAGAGTCTCTGACTAACAACAGACCACCTGGTTTCAGAGTCTAATGGAACACACACAAAAGTATTTTAATAAACATAAACTCTATAGCCCAGAGTCTCTGACTAGCAACAGACCACCTGGTTTCAGAGTCTAATGGAACACACACAAAAGTAGTTTAATAAACATAAACTCTATAGCCCATAGTTTCTGACTAACAACAGACCACCTGGTTTCAGAGTCTAATGGAACACACACAAAAGTATTTTAATAAACATAAACTCTATAGCCCAGAGTCTCTGACTAACAACAGACCACCTGGTTTCAGAGTCTAATGGAACATACACAAAAGTAGTTTAATAAACATAAACTCTATAGCCCAGAGTCTCTGACTAGCAACAGACCACCTGGTTTCAGAGTCTAATGGAACACACACAAAAGTATTTTAATAAACATAAACTCTATAGAAAAAAAAATTAAAATATTTTTTCATGCGTTGGATATTAAACATTAAGGTTAATACAGTGATGTGAAAACAAAACAAACTTTTTCAAATCTAAAGTACAGTGCTACTCATTAACGAAAATCTTTAATTTCATAGTCAATTGAACAAAGGATACGTTATAGATAATAAAAGAGAAATAATTTATATAAATTTGTAAAAAAATACAATTTAAGAGAAATTTTGAATTAATTATCAATTATCAATGTACCAAAACATTGCTTTACTACTAGAAAATAAATTAAAAAGACAAATTTAAATAAGATTTTGTACCAATCTCCTATCCGGATATAATTGAAAGGTTAGAATGAAGTAAAATCTCAAAATTGAACCCCTCATTTAATTTTGGAGGATCACATATATTGCTAAACTACTTTATTCTTTTATTCTAATCCATCAATATTTTTCATAAAAACTAAAAGTAAGTAATTATCAAGATAGTAAACCTTTAAAAAGGAATGAGCAAGCAAAGTAAGTTGCACTAACATAAAATATTAACAATACAATAAGTTTAAAAACAAGAACTATACATTGATTGTCATAGTATTTTATTGTTACAATTAACTAGCAAATTAAGATTAAACAGAAAACAAGCACATCTTTAATGGAACATGTCATTAGAAGCTTATATTTAGTTAGCAGTGTCTGTTGTTTTCTTAGTTTGTGGGATGTGGCAAATCTTATAACATGATTTTGTTAATTTTGACCTACTTCTAATGCAAAAATTTCATTTCAGATACATTTGTCTCCAGTGATAATGCAAGAATATCTGTTTTTAATCTAGACATTAGGTTAGTCATTAAAATTTGATTTAAAAAAAATATAAATTGAATTATGAAAAGGGGAGATAACAAGATTAAATGTATTCAGTGCATTTAAAAGCTTATTATGAAAAATGTTTATAAATTTGTTTTATTTTTAACATAACACTATAACATTAGGTTATTGTTACCTTGGCTACATTATGTACAGCTTCCACCATCTTCTCTGGATGTATGGCAGATAAAACAAAAATTAATGTGGCTATGTGCACAGAACTTTCAGGGACTGACTTTGTTATATCATCTTTAGTGATATCACATTGAAAAGCAGTGCACCCGCAAATGTCATAAGCAGGATGAGACTGGAAAATAAGAAAGTTATTTTTAAACATTCTAATTAAGGTGTGTGCTTAAATATATATATATATATATATATATATATATATATATATATATATATATATATATATATATATATATATATATATATATATATATATATATATACTAGCTTATACCCATGTTTCGCTACGGTGTGGATATGGATATTATCAATCAATATTTTAGACATGTGACCTTGTTTTCTAGAACTGGTTTATTTAACTATAAGAAAACGACAAAATATTTATCATATCTTAGGTTTTGGGGTGCCAAGTTTGTTCGCACTAGCAACCAGAACCCCCCAGTGGTGTGTGAAAACTTTGAGTGTATGTTTGCTCTGCAACAGTGAGGTAGAACAATCCCTTTTAAACAAATGTAGCAATAGTGCTCTTAGATGAGACCAAGACATTCTGCAACACATGAAGGCCAGGGGGCCAGACGCCACCCCTAGTGCGGTTAGAATATTGATTGAAGAAGCAGCCAAACCTCCAATGCAGGATGCCTAAAAAGTAGAACCCCATGTGCTACGATAGCCTATTAGAGAGGCATATGACTTTTAAGGTTGTGTGACATATTAGCAAACAACCCCTTTAAAAAAACTTGTAGAAAAAATTTGATAGCCTTCAAAAAATACTTTGAATATAAAAGAATTTACCTTTACAAATTCAACTGCTCTTGGGGAAAAGTCACATGCATAAAAGTAGAGATGCTTGTCTTCTTCTAGTAATGGAAACATAAAGTTGCCTACACCACATCCAACCTCAAACAATACCTTTGTCTCATGTTGGTTCTGTGCATAAAAACAATTCGACTTATCATTTAAATCAAAATTGAAAAACTAAATCCAAGACTAAATGTAATAAATATTACATGTAGATTCTAGATCTGCATAACATACACACATGGACAGTGGCTCAGCCAGGATCGTCTCAAGGGGGGGGGGGTTCCAATTTTTACCCGGGGACAAACTTTCGATTTGCACCCCCCCCCCCACCCTCTCAAACTTTCGAATTGCACCCCCTCCCCTCAAACTTTTGATTTGCACCCCCCTCCCCCCTCTCAAACTTTCTATTTCCACCCCCCCTCAAACTTTCAATTTGCACCCCCCTCATACTTTTTATTTATATACCGAGGGGTCTATGGGGGGGATGGGGGGGGTTATGACCCCCCCCCCCCCCACCCCCCCCCCCGCCTATGCCACTGCACATGGACATTATTATTAAAAATTCAATGGTCTGTTTAAGTACTTTTTAATGGAAACTAAAACTGATAAATCCTAATTAAATTTACATGATTTGGAAGATCTTCAAATTCTCTTTTTGTCCAATGTCGGTCTTTAAAGAATTTTGTAGTATTCCTCTTATAAAATAAATCCCAATTTTTCTGGGCCTCTGCTTCAAGCTTTTGCTGTTTAAATTCTGACAGGCAAATTTGGTCAACTGAAAGTTTGTTTAACTCTTCTTCTGAAAGTCTTCTAGGCACAGGGCATGAAACTTGGATTTCTGTATTTGTACATTTCAGTCTTGTTTCTGAATTTTTCATTCTGATTTTGAAAGTATTTTATAGACCTATTAAAATTATTAAAATAAAATTGATTAGGTCCTAGAATCTAGATCTAGTAGTTAGTAGTAGGCCTAGGCCTACTAATTAATTACTTAATTAGGCCTATTTATTAATTAATACATTTTTGAGGGTGTGATATAAAATATAATAATAATATAATATTTAATAATAGGCCTATAGTAATTACTAATAGTAGGCCTATTGTGGTGATAGGCCTAGTCCTAATAATAAGAAATTTAGTATTTATTTAGTAATTTAGTAATTTATCCCTGGTAATTTATTTAGTAATCTAGATCTCAGATCTAGATCTAGAATCGAATAGACTGAGGCTACAATTAACTTTTATTTAAATTTTAATTTAGAAAGATAAAGACCGAGATCTAATCTAGATAAGATTCTAGATCTATATTTTTAAGAATTATTTTGGTAAGTTTCGTAACTTAGCTTTACAATAAAAAATTTTGGACCGTTTTTTAGAAAGCCTTCGGGCCAAAACAACGTCAATTTTCTATTCGGATCAAAATAGTTAATATTTTGAAATTAAGGCCGTTTTACAACACATCGGACATTCATTTAACCTTTACAGGTTAAAAACTGGTTAATTAATTGCAATCCAATCTAGATTTCTAATAGTTAGACTCTAGTTCTCATAACTATTTTTGTGTTGCATGTGATTGTGGAACGGTTACGTTTTGAGTCATTCATACAGAAACAGATGGTATTTGTAACAACCAAAACATTAGGCTACCGAGAAATAAAACAAAGTTTGACACTTAAATTAAATGTATTCAATCCTTAGCCGTCTGTATTATTTGTATTTACTTTTAGCCCACAATTTTTAGTTCCATTGACCATTAAAGTCTAAAGATCCTTACTAGTAAGTTAGGCTTAAATAATAGGCCTAAAAAATATGAAATAAAGGACACTTCCACTTAATTAAAGTAAAAGTTGACTTAATAATATTATAATAATAAGGCATAATCATATCATAAGGTAGATCTAGCTGTAGCTAGAATTGTGTAGACTTCTAGATTTATTTTTATTTAGGCTTAATCTTTATTAAGTTAAAAAGTATAGTATAAGTTAAGGGCCAGTTAAGGCAGTTAGGGAAGGCTAAGACTGTCTTACTCTTATTAAGTCTTAGTTAAGACATTAAACTAAAAAAGGTAAAAGCGGGGTAAAACCGCTGAGTAGATCTAGAATCTAGTAGTAGATCTATCTAGTCAGTAGTAACTTATTAAAAGTAGGCCTGACTTTTATTATATGAACACCTCAGTAACTCTCACTTTGGAATAGTAATTGCAGTAATTTGGATGTTTTGTAGCCTACAGGCCTACAGACAGAAACATAAAATTGGCTGTAAATAATTAAATTTAAATAGGGCCTATGTCCATTCATATTTCTGATTATTTCATATGACCATTCTTCATGTCAAATTTTGATTCATTGAATTACCCATAGAAGGATATGAGCAATTGAAAGCGACCCGAAATGTAGATGGACATTTTTATGTCACCAGGACGAGCTAAGCCTCATCCAGATGTAGCGTCTTTTTAAAGATAATCTCCCCTATTCTTTTCTTTTCATTGCTATAAAGTACACATACAAAATGTTAATAATACAAGATTATTTATTTAAATTGAGCTAAAAACCAAAAAACATTACCCCTAATTTATTAAGCCTCTGTATTAATATTATTTGTTCTTTTAATAATCAGTTTATCATTAGACCTTATAATTATCAGTTTCAGCTAATAACCATACAGAATCATTTAGAAGAGATAAAATGTTTGTAGCAGCTGATTACATTTCTAATTATTCATATTTGCTAATTATTATATCTAAAATTAAAAAATTTTAAAACTCTACGCAGCTATGAATCCAAATTTTTTGCTACCATCGGGTTTTATGGCTTCATTTAGACACCAACGGCCTCATATAATGCAACCCCCGCCTTTTGGGGTCATCCAGCAACTCTATCTCCAAAATCTCACCAAGCATAATGCAAGATCTCCATTCCCTCGCAATGCTCCCATGCTCAATGCCAGAGCTCCCATGCCACGCACTCCTGTAGGAGGTCCAGATAGATTTTCTGGGCACAAGTAAGTTAGTGTTGATCAACTTTTGGCTTAGCAGTTTCATTAGCTGATTTGAATTTTATTTATCAGCCAGATAGTAATAATTGCTTTAAATTGACAATTTATAAGTGTTTACTCTACAATTATTTGAATTTTTGAATTCATTTTTAAAGCTGTAATAACTTTCTCTAGACGGAAAAATGACAGCGAAACAGAGTCAGTGCCACCTGACAAAAAAAAGGTGCGAACAGAAGCTCCACCATCTGAAGGGAATTTTCTAGTTCCTGTTAATAAAGGCACAGAGCAGGTTTGTTCAGTAGATCTGTCTTCTGTTGTTTGTTTTTTCATTAAATTGAGCATTAAGTTTCCTCTTTTGTTACCCTATTTTACTTATTTTACCATAGTTTTTTTTTTCAATTTCTCTCACTCATTCAACTTGCTTTTAACGCTTTGAGCCCGCCAGGCCGGTAAACCGGCTTCAAAATTAGGCATATGTGTCCGAAAAGCCGGTTTTTATGAGCCCGATGATCTAGCTCATATTCCTAGCGGCTGGTATACCGTCTAATTAAATATAATTAGCGGAAGACTGACTTAAACTGCGCATATGTCTTTTGAGTGCGGGATTAAGATTTTAAAAATTGATTTTTAGGAAAAGTGAAAGTGTTTACATTTCGTAGCAATGCCGCCGAAACGAAAAGCTGAGTCACAGCCGTCGACTTCATCGTATAAAGTTGGTGCAAAACATGAAGCAAAAGACTGAAATATCAACAAAAGAAGTAGAATGACTGCATCTCAGGCAATACAACTAATTGATTCTGATGAAGAAGATAATATTCCTAGTCTATATTGTGATGATAGTGACGTTGAATTTGAGACTGAACACAGTGACATTGAAATTGACAGTGATAATGAAACTGTTCAAGTACGTTCTGATGCACGTGGTGTCAAGAACAAAGACTTGCCGAAACGAAAAAAAATGTTTACTGGTGCAAAACATGCGAATTTTTTCTTTGCTTCGGGTCTGGCAGTGATAACTGTTTTGAAAGTTATCACACAAAAGTGGACCTTTGGCGTTGAACTAGTATGGCCAGGTATCAATAATAACAAAACAATTACTAAATGTAAATTGGTTTCTTCTATTTTCTATCAAAGCAATAATGATGTGTTAATTTTATATACATTGTTCTGTTCAAACATTGTAAAAAAATTAAGAATTTCAGAATCTTGCTGCATTGTTGTTTGATCCTGAGTCTGGATACCAAATTTGGCTTGATTATCTCAAACGGTTCAAAAGTTATAGGCAAAGTTAGAAGCAGATAAGTGAAAATCGATTTGAGCATGGAAACTCAGTAAAAAGGAGAAATTAGGTCAGGAAATGGGAGAAATTAGGTCAGGGAGGCCAGGGCTCAAAGGGTTAACTTACATTTCAATAAAATCGTTAAATATTCTGCAAAATATTTGGTATTGGTGGTTTAAAATACATTTGCTATCAAGTATAACATAAATTATAGACAGAAAAAATCTGGTTGGATAAATCTATCTAAACATTATTCAACATTGGAAACTCAGTGTATTGTCACATGTAAAACAACTGGCTTACTGCTTAACAGTAACAATATACTATACATTAACACCCTCAAGGTTGTTCTAACTGCTTTATAACACACAGACATTTTGACACACTGACTAATTTTCTCTTATCACAGGATATTTGCACTACTAAAATATTTGTTATCTTTCAGATCACAGTTTCAATATGGGATTATTTTCTGTCAGCCCACATGAATGATGAGGATTTTGAAAAGAAACTGCATTTGCGGAAGTGTCTTTACTCTATAGTTAATGCAGCATTCCCAAGTATGTATTTTTATCATTTTGTTATCCTGTTTTAATTTAGCTTCCCTGTTTATTAAGTTTATAACTGAAGTGATGTCTCTTACTTAATTGTTTTATTTTTTTAGATTGCCGACTATTTATTGTGGGATCTAGTATGACTGGTTTTGCCACCAAAACAAGTGATGTTGATTTATGTTTAATGATCACTGACAGAGAGGTATATTTTTTTTTTATATTTATTGCTTTATTTTGAATGTGTTAAATTGTTTGAAAATTTTCCATTTGCACTCAAACTTCAGACTGCCTGAATTAATTAAAAATTATTTTTTTAAAATTTCACGATAAAAGTTTGCTCTATTTTTTAATTACATTTATTAATTGGGTGGTTTTTTCCATTTTTTTTAAGGTGGATCAAAAAAGGGACGCTGTCCTCATATTAACAGCAGTTGAAAGAGCTTTACGACAATGTTGTAAGATAGTTATGCAAACCATATTTTATAATAATATGTAAAACTAGTAAAAGCATAAAACTTTTGGGGGAGATAGTATAATAATCAGTTTAATGTCTTTTTCAGCATTCATGAGGTCGCCCTTGGTGATAAAGGCAAAGGTGCCAATTCTTAAATTTTTGGACAATGTTTCGTAAGTTTTTATGGAATATTTGGTTATTACTTTCAACATGTTCAAAACATGAGTAGCTGCCTTTATCAAAATAGATTATTTTATTTTAATGAATGAATTTTATTAGAAACTGTTTACAGTCTAACTGAAGCTTCCTTTGGTTTCCTCTTCAGAAAAGTTGAGTGTGATCTGAACATAAACAATATAGTTGGAGTTAGAAATACTCATCTGTTACGTGCATATGCTTACAGTATGTATATCTAATAGTAACAATACCTTTTCCTACTTTGCAATCCACCTGTTTTTCTTACCTCAGCACTTGAGCATGTAAGTGTGGTCAGCACTACGTCCAGCTGCCTTTCCCTAAAGTCAGGTACCCAACAGAGCTGAGTGGACTCAAGGCAATCCTACTTATTTGAGCTCGAAATCTGAACTTGAGACTTTTGGGTTAGCTGTCATGTGGTCTACTATCAGACCATACCGTTCCATAATATACAATATCATCACCTATGTTCCCTCTAAGCTGCGCGGTTGCACGGCAGCGCAGTAGTTTTTAACTGCCGCGCTGTCATTTTGTAAAATACTTGTATCCTTATATAAGACTTTTAGAACACCGCACACACAAATTATACGTTGCATACGATATTTTTTCCCTTAGAGGGAACATTGATCATCACTAATAAAATATGGAATAGCTTTATATCATTGTTAATTCACCATTTCTATTTCCTTGTTCACGTAATGTGCTATGATTTTTACACACTATCTCCAATTTGTTTCAGTGGACTGGAGGGTCAGGCCACTGATGCTGTTTATTAAAAAGTGGGCCAGGTTTCATGATATCAATGATGCTAGCAAAAAAACAGTCTCCAGTTATTCTTTAACTCTGATGTTGATTCACTACTTGCAGGGTAATTTGTTTTTTAGGTTGTTGTTGGAATGTTTTTTGACTCATTATTTGTATTATGACTATTTTCTTGGGTATATTGATGGACATTCATCTTGTTTAATAACCGGGTTCAGTGAATTTTGATAAAGATTTCCTTTAAAATGGCTCGCAGATACTTTAGAAGAATATGAACACCATTTTGTATGGTGTGGCTGTTTAACTTGACTTGTAAGCATGTGGTTAGATCATCTATTGGTGTAGCTAGTCAGGTCTGAACTGGTTAGTAATATGTGCTGAAAGGTATATTAGGCTGAAAGTTGAGACTTAGTTTTATTCTTTTAGTATACGTCATTTTGTAATTTAGGTTTAGTTTAGTATTTACCATTTGTAAGTACAAAGAGTATTAGACTTGCAGCAGATATGTATTAGGTACATTTTATGATTATCTAGAAATGGTGTTGGGTGGCAGAGGGAAGCTATTTTAATTATAGATCCAACTAACATTTATTTAGGTTAATTTTTTTGTTATTGTAATATATACATTTAGAAACAGTCACCATTTCAAATGGTCTTGTAAATACAATGTGATTTTTTTCTTTAAAATGAGAAGCATTTAATTTAGATTTAACTTATGATCCAATACTACTGTAAAGCCATACTAGCATAATGAAAGGAAATTATAATAATATTAGCAGATTGTAGAAAGTATGATTGAATTGTTTAAAAGCTCAAGCTATTACATATTGATGGCAACAAACATGAATCTATAACATGGTTTAAGAATCAATTATTTGACTTTCTTTTAGCTGGGATCAGCCCACCTGTCCTCCCATGTCTACAGAAACTAAAACCCGTGAGTATTTTATTTGTACTTGGAAAACTTTAGTGACAATCTGTAGTCACAGTTACATGAGCTTAAGTTAAATTTGTAAAAAGGTGAATTCAAACAAAACTGCATAATTAAAATGTTCAATAATAGTTTAAAACAGTCATATTATGTATTAATTTTTATTTTAAAGACATGATGTTGTGGTTTGTTTTAGCTTATGGGGCATATTTTAAAATCATTGTAATAAGGTGAATAACTTGTAAACCTCATCATTTATAGTTTTTTCAACTGTTTTTTATTTACTTCAGTCATTAATTAATCACATAATACACACACTGACGATTTTTCATAATTAAAAATTGTGTGTAATTGAAGTAGAAGCAGTTTTTTAAAACAAAATACAGCATTCACAGACTGATAAAGTAGTACCTTATTTACTCCCCTATTCAAATATGTACTTGGCAAATGATTATTTTTTTTTTTCTTGTTTGTGTACTATTTTCAGAACCTCTTCAATACTCAAACAGATGTGAGAAGGTTGTCATTGAAGTTTGATGAGGTGACAGCAAGTTTCACCACAAAAAACACAGCCACTTTAGGAGAACTTTTCTTGGGATTCTTAAATTATTATGGAAATATTTTCAAGTAAGTAACAACTGCAAGGTATACAGACTGGGAAGTATTAAATCTATAAGATTGTGATCTGTATAAAATAGAATATTATAAATTGATTGTATTTTAATACTAATTAATACAGTAGATGATACAATCTTCGTGATTTACTCTACTTTAAGTTATTGTAAAAGTTTGATGATTCCATATCCTTGAAATATAGATATTTTAAATAGGCCTAAGTTTATTTTTTTGTAATTCAAGATCTGTTGTAACTAATCTGGTTCATAAATTTTAATGTAATCGTGACCTATATGTTAACTTTGTCGTAGTAAGAACAATTGGTTTTTTCTTAACCCTTTGACTATACAAGTTCATCAACCCCCAAATACACCCAATATCAGCCACTTTAGGAACCTCTGGTTTAAAGGAAGATTTCTTAGTTGACATTTTCATGACTTAGTTTAACTGTTGAATTTTCATTCAGGTATGACAATGTCATCAGCGTCAGAACAGGTGGAATTATAAATAGCTGTGACCTAGGCTCAAACTCAGTGCAGTGGAAATACTTAAGAATAGAAGGTATACCATGTCTTGTGAATAATTAAATCAAGGTTGTACATGCCCTAGGTTTAGAAATTAACAAACTAGTTGTGATAATTATTTTGGAACAGAAAGAATAATAGGGGAGGTAAAGAAGAGTCAGCCTGTTTCTGAGGAATCTGCATTTGTAAATATATGGGGTCAGTTCTGAGCTACCTTTACTTTAACTAACTTGACCAATCAGAGATTTTGAATATTTTTAATTCTGATACCAAATAAATAATATTAAAAGCATCAGTTTCTTTCAACTGGAAAATATTAAAATATAAAACCTCTTCACTCGGCATTGTTTAGTTGACTAATTAAAATAAATGTTATTTTATTGTTTAGTTGACTAATTAAAATGAATGTTATTTTATTGTTTAGTTGACTAATTAAAATGAATGTTATTTTATTTTTTGTGCAGAGCCATTTGACCGCAGCAATACAGCACGGTCTGTGTTTGACGGGTATGTCTTCACCAGAATACTGCGTGTCTTCACACAGAGCTTCTCTGTCCTTGAGAGAACCAGAGATGTTGGTCAGCTGTTTGTCAGGCCTTTCTGAGATCTTCAAAATCATTTCTGTTCACCCATTCTCCACTGTTATGTTTTTTTTTTAAATTCCCATCAGGGACATTGCGTTACCTTCATCCATAATTCTATCTATTTAAAATGACTGCGTGAGTTGAGAGCGGGATTGTAGCATTTAAACATTATGCAGCTGATTGTTACAAAGAATGTAAATTGATTGAACCTTGTAAATATATTGAACAAGTGTACATTCTGTGAATATCCTAATTTGTTTTTTGTTTCTAAGATGTACCCCAATCGTCTGAGAAAAACATTGTTTTTACTCTTTAGGGCAGCTCAATATCTTCATTTTAAAAAGTTTTAAAATTTGATCAATTCTTTAGAAACACAAGTTAAAAAATTGATCAAATCTTTAAACTTTTGTTTCTAAAAAATTGATCAAATCTCTAAAGTTTTAGAAATTGTCTGTGATCATTAGCAGCTTAAAGCAAAGGAAATCAATTTCATTCATATTATCAGTTTTGTTTTTAATTTAAGAACACATTTACTACACTGTTTTAGAGCGTTTTACAATGACTGTTTATACATCACTAATAACTTGTGTCTGTTGATGACAAGAGAAGCAAAACCGTTATTTGACGAGCTGGTTGAAGAATAGCTACGGACAGTTATCTCAGCTACGACTGCACTCCCTAACATCTAGATGTAATAATGGACAAGTTCAAACATTTTGTTTAAAGACCGACAGTAATACATGTTGTGTACCATTTGCACATGTAAACTGATGACAAGACCAAATATATTTTCTCAACCTCCTCTTATTGTTTCTATTTTTTTTTTGGTTTGATCTAATTGAATATGTATGGTTGAGTTTCACCTGTTATGTTAGTGGGTTTCACCTGTTAGTTTGGGGGTTTCAACTGGATGCTTGTGGGTTTTATGTGGATGTCAGCCACCTTTGATATGTAAGTATGAAGAAATGTTATTGATACCTTCTCTTCAAAGCATGGCATACAGAGGTATCCATCATACAGTAGATGAAGCAGGAATGTCTTCAGATTTTATTCACTGTACATATAAAAATCAAGATATGGCACCCCTTGAATAATATTATAATACAAGCCGACCCGCGGCGTATCATACGCCGCTATTTAGTTTTTTTTATTTTCTACTTTTCAGTAATTCATAATTTGTGAATTCGACAGTACCAATGCTGCCACTGAAAATATTTGCTTTAAAGCACACTCAGTAGGTCGTTAAGGACGATACTACCCCCACCCCCCCCCCCCCCCCAGACAGGCAGCTAAAGTTGTACAAATGTTTTCTTAAGATTTCCCACCACTAGGATTCTAAGGTGGATATTTGGGAAGTAATACATAATTATAATTTTAACTGTGAAAACTTTCAATTGTCGTAACATTGCATGGACAGCCTGAACCTATGAATTTTTAAATGTTTGGACTGTCAAAATGATTTAACACATCACAAAGCATATTTCAAAACTCACAACACTTTACTTTTGGATGTATGGATGGTCAAAACATTGGTAAATATTGGCCTTGAAACTTTGTTTAGACCATCAAAAAATATCCAAAGTTAATACACTGACATAAAACGTAACATTTGGACTGTCACTTATGTTGCACCATATGTGATAATGTTGCACCATATATCTGACAAAATTGCACCATAGATATAAGTAGGTAGTCCAAACTGAAATTAACTATTGATTGCAGACTTCTGGAGTGAGTATGTCATGAAAGAACTTTTAATTGTAAGGTCTATGCCACAAATTTTATAAAAATATCTCAATAAATAAAAAAGTTATGCGATTTTTAAAAAAGCAAAATTTGGTAAAAAACTGATTTTCAAAAAGTGCCATTTTTGAGAACCCATATTTTTTAAACTAAATAACATAGAAGTGTAGAAATTGGTAAAGTTGCTGCAAAGTTTGTAATATATATGCCCAATTTTTTTCAGTCATCTAAAATGAGTCTTTCTAAGGTAAAAAAATAATTGAAAATGACAAAAATGCGTTTTGGTCACTTTTATTTTCATTAAAAAAAAAAAAATTCAATTTTTTTTTTTTTGCTTTGGAATAACTCTAAAACTATTGTGTTGGTAACATCAACGTGGAAAAATGTGTTAATTATTTTCAAAAATCACATGAGTTAAAATATTATTTTAAAAAATACCACAGTTATCTAGTGCAGGAGAAACAGAATCAAAATTTAGTAGAGTAAATGTAATGTAATGTAGTTTAATAAAGACGTGATGCCTACAAGTGATGCAGCAGTTGATGCCACATGCTTTGGTTTCTTTTCAAACCTATACGGTTGATAACTGCTTTGGGGGAACAGTTTTTAAAACTACAACTCCACATCTTTGTACGTCTTGTTTCCCTCAACCTTGATCTTGTGGAGCATCAAGAGTAAGTAATATGTTTTGGGAATTGTAGGGGGGAGTGGGGTCTTGGCCTTCTTCCCTTCCCTTGTAAGGAAAGTTCTGGATAGGCCACTGTAAACGTCTCCAGCTATGGAATAAACAATTGATTTAGTGATTAATAAAATAGAATTAAATTTACTACCAGCCTATTGTGTAGGCCTACTATTTGTCCTATGACTATAACTGGAAACATATGAAAAAGCCTGAAAACACCTTTTTGTTAAAAGTAATTTATACTTTATATATATTTTTAAGAGTAATTCTACTGAATGAAATTTGAAATATTCGTTGCTTGTGCCACACTGGTTGAGATATCCAATAATGAAGATGCCATACTGTGGTTCTCAACATCCTATAGGACAACTTAACTGTCCTTCATTGTTACTATTATATGCATATAAAATAAATAAATAATGAGAAATACTACTAGTACTACTTACACTTACAACTAATATAACATTTAAAACTAAGTCACAACATGTAGAATCTTAATAAATTGCACCACCATCTAAAAATTGATCTGGTACATTTTATTACGGAGACTGGCGCAGACCATTTCACATTATTTAGCAGGGGAATCAGAATCAGAGCACACAACAGAAAATAAAAAAAAATAATCACATTAGTCCTTAAAATTTAGTGTCTTTTGTTTTAAATAAATCGATAAAAATGTATAGTTATTATAATTATACTTTTCTTTTGTGTTTCATTAATATTTTATAAATATTTAACCTTCGTTCCCTGTAAATAATTGAGTTCGTCCACATAGTAACCAGGATAGTCTGGTGGCCATTTTGAATTTGTCGATTCATAATTTTGACGTGATAGTCCAGATAAACTGTAGTAATACGACCCTATCATTGATCCCAGTCAATAGATTTTAAAGAATTAGTAAACACTAGCATCTAATAGTTAAGTGCATCCATATTTTAAGTCCCTAGAATGTCCTGAATTAAATAGCTTCACGTCTAAACACACCCTGTGTACAAGCGTAGTTCACACGCTAAAACCGTGGACTTGAAGCGTTCAAATTTACATTAACCCTTTGAGCCCTGGCTTCCCTGACCTAATTTCTCCCATTTCCTGAGCTCCCAGGCCCAAACCGATTTTCCCTTATCTGCTTCTAACTTTGCCTATAACTTTTGAACCGTTTGAGATAATCAAGCCAAATTTGGTATCCAGACTCAGGATCAAACAACAATGCAGTATGATTCTGAAATTCTTTATTTTCTTTACAATGTTTGAACAGAACAATGTATATAAAACGAACACATAATTATTGTTTTGATAGAACATAGAAGAAACCAATTTACATTTAGTAATTGTTTTGTTATTATTGATACCTGGCCATACTAGTTCATCGCCAGAAGTCCACTTTTGTATGATAACTTTCAAAACAGTTATAACTGCCGGACCCGATGCAAAGAAAAAATTCGCATGTTTTGCACCAGTAAACATTTTTTTTTCGTTTCGGCAAGTCTTTGTCCTTGACACCACGTGCATCAGAACGTACTTGAACAGTTTCATTGTCACTGTCAATTTCAATGTCACTGTGTTCAGTCTCAAATTCAACGTCACTATCATCACAATATAGACCAGGAATATTATCTTCTTCATCAGAATCAATAATTAGTTGTATTGCCTGAGATGCAGTCATTCTACTTCTTTTGTTGATAATTCGGTCTTTTGCTTCATCTTTTGCACCAACTTTATGTGATGAAGTCGACGACTGTGGCTCAGCTTTTCGTTTCGACGGCATTGCTACGAAATGTAAACACTTTCACTTTCACTTTGCCTAAAAAAATTTTAAAATCATAATCCCGCACTCAAAAGACATATGCGCAGTTTTAGTCAGTCTTCCGCTAATTATATTTAATTAGACGGTATACCAGCCGATAGGAATATGACGCTAGATCATCGGGCCGGAAAACCGGCTTTTCGGACATATATGCCTAATGTTGAAGCCGGTTTATCGGCCTGGCGGGCTCAAAGGGTTAATAACGTGTACTAATTAAACCAAACTGACATTCAAACTTAAAATTCATTTATTAAAATGGAAATGAAACTTTAAAAATGATACTTACAACTTGTTTGAAGGCTCTAGCAAGGGTAAAATCCGTTTAGCATCATCGGTCGTCAACCTTTAAAACCGTTCGGCGAGCAACTTACTCGGGGCTGAAAGTCGACTCGAGGGTTATATGTTTATTGGGGGTACGGCTTCGCGACCGTAAATCAGAAATACTTGAATTTACAACACAAAGTAGTTATAAAACTGAACTTTACATCGGTGTAAAAATTGAAACAGAATTAGTTTGTTTCCGTGTATATATCGTCATTTAAAGTTTAAAATCTGTATTTTTTAAATGAAATAAACAAGTTATTTTTTCAATTTATAACCAAACGATAGCCTAGAATTCGATCTTTAAAATGACATTAAGATTATGCTTCTACGATGCTTCGTCGCGAAGCCGCGACCAAATAAAACAGTGTGGGGTCGATCGGTACACGCAAAACGGTGAAATTTGTTGACGTAACTGATACTTTTCAAACAAATATAAAACACATTCAGACATGTGTTATAGATATAAAAATACCAGATTACGACAGATAAAGACTTAAACTTTATTGACATATAATTTTTATTCTTATAGGACAACTAGAAGTAGTGAAATTTTTTTTTTGAAAACCGCAAAAAATGACCCTAAAACGCACTTTTTCGCCAGTTTGGACTACCTAATATAAGAAAACTATATATGTTTAATGTGTAAATCATGACTGTTAGCAATCTGCAGTCTTTTTGGCGACATTGTTGACATTTTGTTTAGCAAGTTGAATAGGGATGTAATGGGGCCTGACAATTGGGAGATCCTGTCCAAATGTTTTGGATAATTCAAGAGTGAAGTCATAAAGGAGGAGTGAGACAGATATCCCCTGTATGGGTGACAGACACTTTTGCAGAGAATCTTTCTATAAAGTAGTGCATTATCTTTGTTATGGTGGAATCTTGTGTGCTTGTCATGCAGTGTCTCTTTCAGGCATATGGAGTGGTAGGGCTTGGCATTACCACAGCTCCTTACCCCCTCCTGGACAAAATTCTTATGTCTCCTCCCCTCCCCTTTTGGAAGAGTGCTATTGTATATGACTTTTTGCTCGATGCTACACATATCTACTTAATTAAGCTAAACAAATTAAGATACTGTTTAGTTTACTATGTCCAAGAGAACTTATCTCAATAGAAAGTGTGTTGGGAGGGGGGGGGGGGGTTGAGAGTTGATAAAATCATTCAGAGGTTTGATGTGACAGAAATAAGCTGAGATCACTTGCTGCAGTGAACAATTACTGTTAATTTTTTATTGTAATGTAAAATGTCGCAAATAAATGTTTTCATTTTAGGGGTGTCATTGGGTTTTTGTGATTTTTAGGTGATAGTTCTAAAAAAGATTTTCAAAAAGAACTGAGATACATGAGCTACTTTGATGTGCTAGTAAAGAGTAACTGATGTGTCAGCATTATAAGGTAACAAACAGACAGCATTTTATAATTAATAAAAGAAAAACTCAAATATAGAAACAATTTTGAATCATTTTTATAAGTAGCCTAATTAATGATGTACAAAATCAAACAACAAAACGAAACCTGGAAAAAAAGAAAAAGAAAATTGTTATAAAATCAAAACTTGTACACAAAGTAAACCTAGAAAAAAAATGTATCAAGTTTTATAAGTAATTTCATTTTAATAAAGTAAAAATCGTAAATAACAAGCAAACAAACCTTGAAAAGCAAAAATAGAAAACTAAAATCTAAAAAATACATTTTGCGTGAATATATTTTTGTTATGCAGTTTTCAAATATAGAAAACAGAGCAAAAAAATAAACTAAAAAAATAATTCATCAATCACAGTAGTAGTGCAATAATTACAAGTAATAACTGAAAATGTATCTAATAACTAAATACATTTTAACTATAACTAAAAAACTATCTTAAATTAATTTCATATATTGAATTATATTTTCCCAAGCTTTGTTTTTCACTTTTACATACTTTTAAAATAATTTTAAAAAGTTTAAAATATTTACAGTTTATATTTGAAAAACTAAGCAAAATAAAAATTATTTTTTAGGTTTTAGTTTGAAAACATCTAATAGAGAAAAAATATTATATTGAAAAATAGTATAATATTTATAAGTTATAATTAAAAACTAAGGTTTTTAACTAAAGCATGAGTGATCTCCCCTGAACTTTATTGTATACTGTTTTTTTTAAATATTAGAGATTCATATAGAAAAAAGTTTGTGTAAGCCTATTTTGGTGACCAGAAAACTGCACAACGGAAAACTACATAAAAGTTCTCAAATCAAGCATGTCTCGACATAAACAAAGAATGACCACAGGTACATTACAGCATAATAAAACACTTTTCGACTATATATAACAAAATTAAAGTGTACTAGTATAATTAATATTAATTAATTTGTGCATTTTTCTGTTTACTCATAGAGCTGTCCAGAAGAAGTCATCTCTTTTCAATATCAGAAAAAGGTTAAGATGCTATTCTCTTGATTCTCTCAAATTACTTCATGTTGTTTTTAAATTTATCACCAAACTCAAAACCATAAAAAGAAATAATGGTCGAGAATGTATGTCCAAGTGTGTGTCACCATACAAAAAAAATTGTGGTAGACAATAAATGTACATGATTAAGAAATTACGGTTGGCAATGTAAGTACAAGTATGTGTCACCATAAAAAAAAAAAAAATTACGTACAGATGTCTGTCAACATGATAAAGACATTATGGTAGACAATGTATGCATAAGTGAGTCAAAACACATAGAAATGATGGAAGACAATAAATGTAGATGTGTGTCACAATGAATGTACATGCGTGTCACCATATAAATAAATCACAGTAGGAAATGTATGTACAAGTGGGTGTCATCATTAAAGGAGATTCTGGCAGACAATAAATGTTCACATGTGTCCCCATACAAAGAAATTATGGTAGACAATGCACGTTCAAATGTGTATCATCATGACAAAAACAATATGGTTGAATATGAATGGACAAAAGTGTAACATACAATGTATGTACCCATGTCCATAGGACAAAATTATGGTAGACAATGTTTGTGCAAGTATGTCAACATACAAAGACATTATGGTAGACCAGAGTTTCTTCCAGGTATCTCTTTGGGGGGGACAAAGCCCCCCCCCCCCCCCCCCCCAGAAAAATTCTACCCCCCCCCCCCCCCCCGAAAGGAATGAAATTTATATAATTTATACAGAAAATATATACTTTTAACAGTGTCTGCCCCCCCTCCCAAAGAAAGTCTCCACCCCCCCCCCCCCGAAAAATGTCAAGTGCCCCCCCCCCCCCCCAGAGAAAAAAGTCTGGAAGAAACACTGTGGTAGACAATGTATGTACAAGTGTGTCCCTATACAAAGAAATGATACAAAATATATATGTACAAATGTGTGTCAATATGACACACAAATTATATTATATATGTACAAATGTATCACCATAAAAAGAAATAATGGAAGACAATAAATGTACAGATGTGTGTCACAATGTATGTACAATTTGCCACTATAAATAGAAATAATGGTCAACAGTGTATGTACATGTGTCAACATGATTAAGTAATTATGGTTAGGGGTCATCCATAAATGACGTCACGCTTTTTTTGACGATTTTTACCTCCCACTCCCCTCCATCACACATTGTCACAAAAAGCCAGACCCTCCCCCCCCCCCCCCAAATGACATCACACCTCAGCCTACAACCCCCTCAAAATTGCAGTTTAAAACATCGATATTTTTCCAAAATCTTGTCTGATCTTTGTGAAATGAAAATAGAATATTTTAATCAATTCCTATTACAATTTATTAAACCAGCTTTCTAAAATGAAAAATGTCTAAAATTAGTTTTCTAGCTTTGCTTTTTTATAATGCAAAAATGTGATGTTGCACCATCTGAACCTCCTCCTCATCACACACTGTCACAAAATTATGGACCCCCCCCCTCCCCCCTACGAGTGTGACGTAATTTATGGACAACCCCTTAGCAATGTATGTACAAGTGTGTCACCATAAAAAATAATGGTAGACAATGTATGTATAAGTGTGTGACAATACAAAGAAATTATGATAAACAATGTATGTACATCTGTGTGTCAACATATAAAAAAATTATGGTAGACAATGCATGTACGAGTGCTAACACCATACAAAGAAATTATGGTAGGCAATAAATGTACCTGTGAGTGTCACATTGTCTACCATAATTTATTTGTACAGTATGTACAAATGTGTTTCAACACATCTAAAACATTAAGGTAAAATATGAATGTTTAATCATACAAATACACTTTGGTAGACAATGTATGTACAAGTGTGTCACCATACAGAGAAATAATGGCAAACAACTTATTAACAGATGTGTCAACATGATTAATTATCGTAGACTGAATGTACATGAACTTGTCAATTTGACATACATATATAAGAGTTTGTGTCACCATACAAAGAATGTGGTAAACAATGTACACAATGATGTTTGTCGACATGACTATTAAAATGAGGTAGAGAATTTATGTAGAAGAGTTTTCTCAACATGACAAAGCAAAGAATTGTTATCTTTAACATAATAAACTAAAATTGAGCAAACAGAGAAGAAATGTAGGTTAAGAATAAAATTAACTGCAATTATTTTTTTAATATTAAAAAAAGGAAAGAGAATATAGAACTTGGCAAAATAGAGTACAAATTTTGAAATTAAAAAAATTATTTTTTTACAAGAACTTAACATGAGAAAAATAAATGATGCTTTCTTAACATCACAAAGAGTTGTTTACTTTGTTAAAGAATACAATTAACAGCAATTTTTTTGTTTGTTTTTTTTATATATAGAAAAAAATGAATAGAGAAAGAACTTGGCAAAATTGAGTACAAAGTTTGAAAAAACTTTTTGTACAAGAACTTTTAAAATTAGAAAAACATGATGTTTTCTCAACATCACAAAGAATTGTTTACTTTGTTGAAGAATACAATTAACAGCAATTTTTTTTGTATGGTAAAAAATGAATAGAGAATAAAGAACTTTACTATAAAGAAATAGCGTACACATTTTGAAAAACAAATCAATTTATGTACATCGACTTGTCAACATCAGAAAGAAATGATGGTTGACATCGTATCAGATTTCATTAACATGACTAGTAAAATGAGGTAGAGAATTTATTTACAAGAGTTTTCTCAACATGACAGCACACATTAGCCACAGTGCACTGTGCAAGCTATGGCGCACAGCACATGCACAAGCCATAGCACATGCACAAGCCACAACAGCACATGCATAAGACAAAAGGCACACGCACAAGGCACAAGCCACAGCACACGCACAAGGCACAAGCCACGGCACATGCACAAGGCACAAGGCACAGCCCACACAAGGCACAAGGCACAGCATACACAAGCCACAGCACACACAAGACACAGCACAATTAAAAGAATGTTTAAAAAAGAATGTTTAAATAATTTTAAAATAAGGTATAAAATTTGCAAATTAAAAAAAAAATGACCAAAAAAAATTAGAAAAAATAAGGTCAAAAAAAAACTAAGGAAAAAATATGTAACCCTTTAAGTTATAAAATAGTTATTAAAAAAATATTTAAAAAATGATACAATAATTTATTAAATTATTAATTAATTATTAAATACATAAAATTTGAATATTAAAAAAACAAGATCTGGAAAAAGATTTTTAAAAGAAAGAAATCAATTTAAAAAATAAATAATCATTAACAAAAAAACAGCACAATGAACAGCCCTCTTGAAAACGAGTTCAGTTGACCACAGCACAGACAAGACACACCACAGACAAGACACAGCACAGACAAGACACAGCACATACAAGACACACCACAGACAAGACACACCACAGACAAGACACAGCACAGACAAGACACAACACAGCACAGACAAGACACAACACAGCACAGACAAGACACAACACAGCACAGACAAGACACAGCACAGACAAGACACAGCACAGACAAGACACAGCACAGACAAGACACAGCACAGACAAGACACAGCACAGACAAGACACAGCACAGACAAGACACAGCACAGACAAGACACAGCACAGACAAGACACAGCACAGACAAGACACAGCACAGACAAGACACAGCACAGACAAGACACAGCACAGACAAGACACAGCACAGACAAGACACAGCACAGACAAGACACAACACAGACAAGACACAACACAGCACAGACAAGACACAACACAGACAAGACACAACACAGACAAGACACAGCACAACACAGACAAGACACAGCACAGACAAGACACAGCACAGACAAGATACAGCACAGACAAGACACAGCACAGACAAGACACAGCACAGACAAGACACAGCACAAGAAAGAATTTGGCAAAATGGAGTACAAACTTTGAACAGCATTAGAAACAAATGATGTTTTCTCAACTTCACTAAGAATTGTTTACTTTGTTGAAGAATAAAATAATAGCATTTTTTTTTAGGTATACTGAATAGAGAATAAAAGAACTTGGCAAAATAGAGTACAAAGTTTGAAAAAAACATTTTGTACAAGAATTTGTCAACATGAGAAAAAAATTGATGTTTTCACAACATCACAATGAATTAATTTCTTTGTTAAATAAATTATTACTTTATTAAAGAATACATTAACAGCAATTTTTTTTTGTTTCTTTGTTTTGTTCTTTTGTTGTTTTTTTATGAAAAAGATCTCAGAATACAAAGTTTGAAAAAAGATTTTGTACAAGAACTTAACAAAAAAAATGATGTTTTCTCAATATGACATTGAATTGTGAAAAAACTTTTTGTACAAGAACTTGTGAAATTAGAAAAAAATTATGTTTTCACAACATCACAAAGAATTGATTACTTTGAAGAATAAATTAACTGCAATTTTTCATGAAAAAGAAAATGGATAGAGAATAATAAACTTGGCAAAATAGAGTACAAAGTTTGAAAACGATTCAATTTATGTACATGGACTTGTAACATCAGAAATTAATGATGGTTGAAATAGTATCAAATTTTGTCAACATGGTTAGTAAAATGAGGTAGAGATTTTATGTACAAGGGTTTTCTTAACATGTCAGCACATGCAAGCCACAGAGTGTGGCACAAGGCGCAGTGCACAGCATATTCCAGACACAGTTCATGCCACAGCATGCCACAAGGTTCAGCACATCATAAGGCACAGTACATCAAAAGGCACAGTACATCACAAGGCACAGCACATCACAAGGCACAGCACATCACAAGGCACAGCCCATCACAAGGCACAGCACATCACAAGGCACAGCACATCACAAGGCACAGCACATCACAAGGCACAGCACATCACAAGGCACAGTACATCAAAAGGCACAGCACATCACAAGGCACAGCACATCACAAGGCACAGCACATCACAAGGCACAGCACATCACAAGGCACAGCACATCACAAGGCACAGCACAGCACAAGGGTCAGCACATCACAAGGCACAGCACAGCACATGGCACAGCACACGGCACAGCACAGGGCACAGTACAAGGCACAGCACAGTACAAGGCACAGCACATCACAAGGGTCAGCACATCACAAGGTACAGCACAAGGTACAGCACAAGGCACAGCACAAGGCACAGCACAAGGCACAGCACAAGGCACAGCACACACTAGGCACAGCACAAGGCACAGCACACACAAGGCACAGCACAAGGCACAACACACACTAGGCACAGCACAAGGCACAACACACACAAGGCACAGCACACACAAGGCACAACACACCTTTTAAGTTATAAAATAGTTATTTAAAAAAAAAAGTTTAAATAATTTAGAATCATAGTAAAATAAAATATATAAAATTTGAATATTAAAAAAAAAGATGGAAAGTTTTTAAAAAAGAAAAAAATAAACACTAAAAATAATAGAATAAACATGATAATTAACACAAAAAAAACAAAAACAAAAAACAGCACAATGAACAGCCCTCTTGAAAATTAGTTCAGTTGACCCTGCAACCAGTTTTTTATGGAAACAGAAGAGGCATGAAGCTGCCCATACACTTGGAGGCAGAAGTTCAAATGGAGCTGGATGTTAGTAATGTAATGTACATGTCAACAGTGTGTAGGCCTACTATTAATTTTCAAAAAACTTTTTTTCAAATAAGTAACATTTTGAAGCATATCCCAATACTATAAAATTAAATTTTATTTAAACCTATCAAAATAAATCATTTTTCCACATGAAAATTTCTACTGTTTACTTTTCATTTTTTAAAACACTTATCTAAAATGCAAATCAAAATTTCTGAGATTTCTAAGCTTTAGACTCCTAATGACTTTGATCAGAATATATTTTTACATGGGGGGAGGTCCTACTTAACATTTCTTTTAACTGACATTAGGAAATTTAGAAAATATTTTTCTTATGCATCAACCAAATTGGTAATTAAGAGTTAATGAAATGTGTTTTCTCATACTATTTAGCCCACCGCATGCTCCACAACTTCAGTAACTGTCCCTGTGTGATCCTTGCAAGCAACACAAGGATCTATAGTTGAGGGCAGAACTGAATCAGTTGCAGAGAATTCTAACTTATATGATGAAGGTGTTTGCATCTCAGTGCCCCATTTCATAAACACTCAACACCTCCACTCAAATAGTGGACAGAGGTCTCTACCACTGATTCAGTGATTCTTTTTCAACCTCAGATAAATGTACTGCATTCAAAAACCAGACACAAACAAGTTAATCTGTCATGGAGAGACTACTAAGTTTCCAATTAATTAAGACACACCAAAGACATTAACTACCCTCCAAATGTTAGAAGAGAGTGTGAAACAAATCACCAAGCAAACACAAAGTAAACTTCAAACCCAACAAAAAAAGTCAAAAACTTTTAAAGGAAGCTCCAACAACACCAAGGGGAAACTACGGGGCTTAAGTTATGGAAATTACTTAAATAAATATATTTCATTCATTATTGACTGACATTAAGTACATTGGTATTCCTAGAACTATATTGATCTTAAAGTTTTATAACAATTGAAGTTAGTATCTAAACGATATTAGCACTTCACTATGTGCTTAACAGCCAGGACAGTACTGGTTATTCCACCAGGCCACCAACTTAAGGGTATAGTAATTAGTATACAGGAACTTAAAAAATCTTGTACAAGGAAAAATTTCAAGAAATTGTACAAAAACATACATTTTGCTACAAAAATGATAATGATATTAAAGATTAACAGATATATGGCAGACAATTTTATGTAGGATAGTTGTCAACAAGAAAAAGAAATCCAGTGTTTGATTACTGAAATACGAATGCATTCTTAGATGTGCAAAATAACATGGCAAATAAAGGAGCAGTTGAAAAACAAGAATCAACATAGCAAGATTTTAAAAATTTCAAATAAAGGAGCAGTTGTAAAACAAGAATCAGCTAAGCAAGATTTAAAAAAAATTTCAAGTTAGAATTAGTACCAAAAATAAGAAGTGGAGAATCATAGAAGAATAAAGAAAATTGGACTGAGATTCCATCAAATGAGTTATGGCACTTGTGTGCTCCCTTACAGTTGTTGCGAATGTTTATCCAAAGATGGAAGGGAATCATTGAAGGGTAGATTTTGTTAGAAGCTACTTTAACTGGGAGTTAAAGCATGAATAAAATAATGGCTAGAAAAGTTATTTTTAATATTATCTGTTATGTTGAAATATGCAGCATTTTAAATTTTCTTAACCCTTGTTGTAGACTAGCCTGACTATTGCAATCAGAATGTAGTCTAGAGTTATCAAATACTGACCATTGCAAGGTGATGTTTTCTCCAGGGTTCCAATGAAAAGCTTAACCAATGAAAGTATTATTAATCTAAGGTCAATCTATCAGCCTGATAACAGAATGTGATAGCTCTGACTATTTAATTGCAGAATGTAATACACTGTCTGGGTACAGAATGTGATAGTCACCCTGACATCGAGAAAACTTTTTACTGATTCTGACATATTTATTTGCATATTCTTTACATGATTGTTAAGAAAAATATAATGCACATTCTTAAAGAAAATGCACAACAGATAATACTAAAATAAAATTCTGCCACCCTAAGTAATGGTTTTAGTATTTTTTTAGTGCTGCACTAGACAAAGGAAAGACAATTGGGTAAGTTATTTTGCAAGATGAAAATGCTCTTTGCAATCCAAGTGTTTAAAAAAGTGTTGGACAAAATGGTTTCACATTACAGAGGTTGCTGTAGGATAAAAGGTAGTGAATAATTGAATTGGAGAAGTAGCAAGCAGATGTAAATGCTAGAAAGCAAATCCATGATAGTTTTGTAATAAAGAAATAAATGAAAAGAAAATACAGCTCATAAAGTTTGGTCATAAGTGGGGCCTGCTGGAGAGAATTGGCCAGGAGAGAAATATAGCTGTTGGATCATACTCCACAAAGAGAGAGTGTTGAATATAGCTGTTGGATCATACTCAGCAAGGAGAGAATGTTGAATATAGCTGTTGGATCATACTCAGCAAGGAGAGAATGTTGAATATAGCTGTTGGATCATACTCTGCAAGGAGAGAATGTTGAATATAGCTTTTGGATCATACTCCGCAAGGAGAGAATGTTGAATATAGCTGTTGGATCATACTCCACAAGGAGAGAATGTTGAATATAGCTGTTGGATCATACTCCACAAGGAGAGAATGTTGAATATAGATGTTGGATCATACTCCGCAAGGAGAGAATGTTGAATATAGATGTTGGATCATACTCTGCAAGCAGAGAATTGACCAGGACAGAAAAGTGGCTGGTGGATTATATTCCACAAGATGGAAATGTTTATTACAGCTGGTGGATTATACTAAAAGAATTTTCATTAAAGGTGGTGGATCATACTCTACCATGGTTAAGAAAGAGAAACTGACAAAACTTGACAATAGCATATCAACCATTAAACCTTCACCCTACCATGATTAGAAGATCAAGAGAAACTAATTTAAATCTATAATTAAACTTGCATTCTCACATGAAAGACACAACTTTGCCTATAATCTTTAAAAAGTTAATGCAAGTTGGCCACCTTGCATAAACATTTTAAGAAAAAATGACAAATTGTAGCCTCACACGCTTAGCAATTTTAAAAACTGACAGGTAAGGGGAAACAATCCAGATTACATTTTGCTGGAACAATTATCAATACTTGTTCTATTTTTAGAAAAAATACAATACTACAGGTTTGGGAACTGCTGATACAATGACAAAGATTAGATTGTAAATGCAATACTACAGGTTTGAGAACTGCTGATACAATGACAAAAATTACATTGTGAACACAATGCTACAGGTTTGAGAACTGTAAAAGATTCACACAACTATGTATTTTTATACATACTATATAGATCTATTATTTCAATTTTTTTAAAAATCTGAGCTTAAGAAATATTGTCATAAAACTGGTGCATGATTAGGCCCTACAACAATATACATACTTTATAGATCTATTATTTCAATAATTTAAAAAACCTGAGCTTAAGAAAAAATTGTCATAAAACAGGTACATGATTAGGCCCTACAATAAATCAAATTTGTGAACATAAATATCTATCAGGGGCAATTCGCTCATTGAAAGCAGTTTGGTGATTGGTTGACAGGGGCAATTTGCCAATTAGCTCATTGAAAGCAGTTTGGTGATTGGTTGAACTGACACTCAGCATACAAAAAGAAAGGCTGAATATTTCCCCCATTTAAAGGTGTGCTGGAGCTATTTAAACTAAAGCTTATAAAAGTATAAATTGACTAGGACTGAAGTCATTGTCAACTAAACTAAAAGCCGTGTTGGAATCGTGTACTTTGTCATAGATTATATCGCATTAACATGCGTGTAAATTAATCTATCATAGCTCAGAGCTGTAAAAGCTAACTATTTTTAAATGAGTAGGCCCACACACTATAAGACACATTACATTACCTTACATTCAGCCCATTGGTACCTCCACATCCAAGCAATATGGATCCACCTCCATATCCTCTTCATGTCTGGGGTTCCAGATATCTCCATAAAAAACTGGTTGTGGGTAAAGGCTTGGGGTGTATGTGATGTGTACTTGGTAGTTTATGAAGCATTTGATATATGTGTCTATGTGGATCATTTTCACGAGGGCCTTCAACATTAAGACAAAGAAGCAACAATAACAACCAATACCAACAAGAACTTCAAAAAGAAACCACAGTACAAACATGCAAAAAGAAACAACTGAAAACATGATGAGAATCACGTCACCCAACAAACACGGGCAAGCACAAACACGGGCAAGCACAAACACGGGCAAGCACAAACACGGGCAAGCACAAACACGGGCAAGCACAAACACGGGCAAGCACAAACACGGGCAAGCACAAACACGGGCAAGCACAAACACGGGCAAGCACAAACACGGGCAAGCACAGCACAAACACGGGCAAGCACAGCACAAACACGGGTGTGCACAAACACAATCAGGCGAGTACACAAACACAGGCAAAAAAACGGCAAAAACAAAAACAGGCAAAAACGAAAAACGGGTAAAAAACGAAAAACTGGCAAAAACGAAAAACGGGCTAAAACAAAAAAGCACAAAAAAAACACGGGCAAAATACAAAAACGGGCAAAAACGAAAACGGCCGAAAACAAAAACTTGCAAAACAAAAAAGGTAAATGTGGGATAAGCAAAACTGGCTGGTATGCTAAAATTAGCAGGAATTAGAACATATTTGATCCTTTCCCTACGATCTACACTGTATTTAAAGCTTACTGAAAAATGAGATGGAAAAAGAAATTAATTGAAAAAGACTTCAAAGATCAGAACTATGAAAGATAAACTAAAGCAACACGCTAGCCAAAACACATGCACCCAGGAAAAATGGTGAAGACGGAATGAACGATAAATCTGGTTGCAGATATTAAGATGTTGATGTTTACCACTTGCTGAATAGTTTTCAGTGATATTTTCATTCGACAGAACACCTAGGCGTACACATGTCAATGTGTGATGTGTTGTTGATAACAAACTCAGTTCAACAAATGTTATTGTCCATCCCAACTACCCCGTACACACACACACAACTTATTTTTTCAGGTATAAAGTCCGCACTAAACATTTTATCCCCACCCCCACCTTTCAACTCATCTGGACAGGATTTTTTTTTTCGCGTCTCAGCTGTTGGCCTCTACTATTATTAATGTAGGTTATGTTTATTTGTTTCGGAAATATCTTTTTAAATGTTAGTTATGTAAGCCCTAATATAAAAATCGGTTCCCAGAAAGAAGCGCAACGGAAAAAAGCGCAACGGAAAAAAGCGCAAAATAAATTATCGCCTGTATCGTGGTTAGGGGAATGCACATGGTAGTGGTACGCTTTAAATGGTAGTAGATCACGTGATCAAACACGACACTCTTACAGCAGCCCTAACAGTCATGTATAAATGTGTCATCTAGTCGATATAGGTATTTGTGCTAAATTTCTCTTTTGCACATTTTTCGTTGTTTTTTCTGGTTGCGCATTTTTCTGTTTGCGCTTTTTTCCGTTTGCGCTTTTTTCTGTGTGCGCTTTTTTCTGTTTGCGCTTTTTTCCGTTTGCGCTTTTTTCTGTTTGCGCTTTTTTCTGTGTGCGCTTTTTTCCGTTTGCGCTTTTTTTCCGTTTGCGCTTTTTTCTGTGTGCGCTTTTTTCTGTTTGCGCTTTTTTCCGTTTGCGCTTTTTTCCGTTTGCGCTTTTTTCTGTTTGCGCTTTTTTCCGTTTGCGCTTTTTTCTGTGTGCGCTTTTTTCTCTTTGCGCTTTTTTCCGTGTGCGCTTTTTTCTCTTTGCGCTTTTTTCCGTGTGCGCTTATTTCTTTTGCGCTTTTTGTTTTGCGCTTTTTTCCGTTGCGCTTTTTTCCGTTGCGGTTCTTTCCGGCCACCATAAAAATCATGCCCTACCACTACCCGCGTTGGGATTTTTCCACTTCTCTTAAAAGACTATTTAATTCATTAATCATTTAATTAAGTGAAATTATTATTTTTCTGGATATATTTTGCTTATTTTTGCCTTGGTGTCACCCCCCTAAATGGTGTCACCTGGTGCGGTCCTCACCCCCCCCCCCCCCCCCGCTACGCCACTGATTGTAAATACTCATTTGTAATTAAATACTCTAAGATTTTTATTTTTAGTGTATTTACTTTGTGCATTATCATTTATTGGTCTGCTACATTAAATTTTCAACACCGTGCAACTTTGTTTGATTCCCCATATTTTTACAAGCTTTTATTTAACTCACTTCCTCTGTCGACAGTCTGTCGTCAGTCTGTCTAGACGGAAACGCAGGAGTGAAAATTCGGACAGTTCTACTTGACCGATACGATTCACAGTAGGCACGTGGGTCAAGACATGAAGACAATGCAATCTGAAACTAAATTTGACTTAATTGGATGCCTAATTAATTTTTTATTAATTAATTAAAATTTGGACCGAATCAATAGGCATGTCTATGCCGACCGCACCACACGCGTCATCACGTTCCATAGCTGCGCCATCAAGTTCAGTAGGCGCGCCATCACGTTCAATAGGCGCAATGGTTTTTAGTCATGTAACTCTATTGTGAATAAAACATGTAAAGTACTGAAAAAAATTCATAAAAAACGTTTTAATAACAAGCTTTTATGTACTTATGCACTAAAAAGTAGAAAATAAATTATACACTACTATTTAAATTACTATAAAGAAAAGCGTGGGTCTCTTCTCAAATATTAGTAAAGGTATCCAATAGGTAGTAAAGTACTAAAGTGACCCACGCTTTTCTTTATAGTAATTTAAATAGTAGTGTATAATTTATTTTCTACTTTTTAGTGCATAAGTACATAAAAGCTTGTTATTAAAACGTTTTTTATGAATTTTTTTATTTATTTTTTTATTTTTTTCTGTTTGGTTTGTGGGCTAAATATCCGCTTTTGCATTATTCAAATGTAGAATATGATTAATGCGAAAACAATTCTATTTTAAAACAAGGTCATGTGGTATAAACAAAATGGAGATCATCTACTAACCTTTGTTTCATAACTACAGTTACGACAGAGTGTAAAAAATTAACCTAATAATTTAATACAGGTCTAGAATCTATTCATTATTACAGCCTAGTGACACAAGAAATTCATTTAGAATGAATCGATCATGTGTATTACTTAGTAAAACTAAAGGACTTTACAATAAAAGTGCCAAACCTATCAACGCAATACTAGAAAAAAATAAAGGCCAAAATCGGCAAAATGCAGTGGGCTGTTCCTACACCAACTTAGCATCTGCAGCAGAAAGAAACTCACTAATGCAACAGATTCATCATTGTCAAACTAAAAGAAAACATAAAGATCTTGAACTTGTTATTAGTTCATATGCATTTCGCCTATGTGTTCGAAATCATCATTCATGTTCCAAAGAACATAGAAACTGTTGGAACTGTGGGCGGGATACCAGCCCAGAGACTGAATTATTTTTCTGTGATTGTGGCATGGTGCAGAAACCAGCTAATGATCTTACATATTTTGACTTGATGCAACTTCCAGCAGGATTTGATATAGACCTCAAACTACTCTCAGAAGTATACAAAGAAACTCAGAAAAAACTCCATCCAGACAAATTTTCAAACAAGTCTGAGGTTGGCAAGAACATTTTTTTTTTATTATTAAGCCTAAAAAAAATTTAAATGTAACTTTACAAGTTAGATATACTATTACTAGCAAATGAGAGAATGTCTTAATGTTAAAATGTTTTTAAAATTTGCAGTGAAAAAGCTTTTTGTGCAAGTTTTTTTTTTTTTTTTGAAGTGGCATTAGGACCCGGGTCCCTATAGCGATGGCTGCTATTCGGACCCTGCATAAGTTTGTTAAACTAACACTTTTTTTCTTTTTCACCTAACCCCCGCTCCCCCATATACCACGCCCACAACCCCACCCCTATACAGTGTCCAAGCGTCCTTTGTCATGCGCCTTTTCTTTTGGATATCGTGCCATTTAGACAAGATGTGTTTTAACTGTCTAGCTAAGTCCAAAATTGTGTTACTGTTTGTCTAATCTGTAACCGCACTGTTGTGTGCTACGAAGACCTTGGGTCAAAACTTCCACATTATTTGAAACTGTCTTTAACTTGAGAGGTAACTAACACTATCTTCTGTTTTATTACTAATTTAAATGGTTAGGAGCCTGACAGTGGTGAGGTGAGGGATATGCTACATCAACTTTGCTCCAGGTGGAGCTTTTGTAACTCACAACATCTTTCCATGCTTTTCTGTCCTTTGATATTTTTCCATTTCTTACCAACTCTTTCCAAGAATTTTTTAACTTTTCGTTTGGTAATACTTTTTGCTGGTTTCATCAATGAATGGCTTTTCCATCTTCACCTATCTGTATAACATCTTGCTGCACCAGGACTTGTCCTTTCCGGTAAAGCTGTGTTAGGTACTTTTTCAAGCCACTTTAAATTAAATATTTCCTGTAAACAGCTATTTATAAAAGATTTTAGTTTGTTCCACACCCCTTTTGTTGTCAACCAGTTTTCCGCACCATACAAAAAAAGTTATAACTACCAGGTCAAATAAGTCTACTTAGTAGGTCTATTTTATTATAATTTCCTTCATTTTATGCATTCACTTTATATATTTTTAGGAAGAATGCAAATTTGCAGTGGAGCAGTCATCTCTCCTAAACAAGGCTTACAACACTTTGCAAAAGCCACTTTCTAGGGCACTTTATTTACTTGAGCTGAAGGGACTAACCATTGAAGAAGACTTAAATTTTGATGATCCTGAATTTCTGATGGAGATTTTAAGTATAAATGAACAGATAAGCAGTGCTGAATGTTCGGAAGATCTGAATAAATTGGAGGCTGGTACTAATAAAACCATTGATGAGATATCTAAAAAACTGTCACAACTGTTTAAAGCAAATAATTATGAAGGTGCAAAATTTGCCACTATTCGTTTAAGGTACTACACAACGATCCAGGAGAGAATTGCTGAGCTTAAAAGAAGTAAATTAGGCTAATTATTTGGATTTTTCCTTCACAGTCATATCCTCAGAAAATGTGTTTCAAATAATAATTTGCTTCAACTCATAATGTTCATCCTTCGATAGTGATATTTAACAGCCATTTTTAGATATCCTTTTGTTCTTTCTTCTAGTTCTATTCTCCTCATTTTCATATTTTTTTGTGTCCAGTAAATAGGCATCAGTTGGACAAAATTAAACATTTTAAAAAGTAAGCTTATTTCAGGGTTGCCCATAAATGAAGTTTCACTTATTATATGTGTTGGTTGGAAAGGGGAGGGGTGTTTAAAGAAATTTTTAAACTAAATTTTTATTGTTATTTTTAAAATATATAAATACTTTTGTACATTATACACTGATCCATGCTGCTAATATTGATATGCTCATATTTAGGTATTATTTGCAAAGACAGGGGGTGGGGGGTTGACAGTTACCATAATGTTAAGAATAAAAATCAGCAAAAATAATTGACATCATTTATGTACAACCCTGACAATCATACAACAAATTTCATAGTAGTTACTTTCACTTACAGAATAAAGTGATAATTACTACGTATAGATTAGTACACAGCATCTGATACTTGATAAGTTGTTTCTTGGTAATAAATCCCTGCTTTTGATTTCCACTTAAGTGTGTTGACAGTCTGGAATAAAATCCTTAGTTGTTCTTTCATTCACTTAAACCAAAGCTACTGGTAATGAAAATATTCAATTCTTCTGCTCTTATGTTTTTTGGTCAATCATTTGTCAATAAAATTATTTCATTCTTTAAAAAGATAATCCAATTTTACTGTTTTTACAATGTCATTAAAAGTAGTAATTAAACATGGCGTGTTAAGGTATTTTTTTAAAGAATGTAATTATTCTAGTCTGCATTTGTTTAAATAAATACCATGCATCAATAAGCAGTTGTGTGATTTTTACTCCAAGTTTAATTAAATGCATTACCTGTGTGATGTAAAAAGCTTGCAATTGATTGTTTACATTGATTTTTTAACAATACATACTAAATCACTTGTGCAGATCAAAGATATATTTATTTATCTAACAGTCATAACCATTTTATGTAATGGAGTTAATAAACTTTTTATTTGTAGTTTTTTTTTTTACTGAATTTTGTTTTTTAAACCCTTGATGTATTTGAAAGTAAAATACAGGAGTACCGACTTCTGTGGTATGCTACTATGAGGGATGTGAGTGGGGGAAAAAATAACATACTGAAAAAGGTGTTTTTTTTGTCAGACGTACAGTTCTTTTTTTAGGTGGAGCTGGGACTATGATAGTATTTGATAAGGAACTGGCCTTTTTAATACAGTGCATTGGAAGTGCTGTGAATGATCTTGAAATAGTGTATTTTTAAATCCTGGTGTGGCTATTAAAATAAATATGGTTATAGAAATGTGACAGATTTTTTACGGACTTTACTTAAGATGGAGTGTATTGTTTTTTATTTTGGGTAACTAAACACAACTTTTGAAAAAAAACAATTTGGTTGATTACATTTTTAAAACAAAAAATGTAAAAACAAATGGCTGATCTAGGTCATGAGGATTTTAAAAAAATCTATTTAAAAATTATACCTGCAAAGTTTTGAGCACAAATTACAATGAGCTTTTTACGAAGTGGTTTCGAAAGATCAATCACAGAGTTCCTGCACAGCCAACTTGTCTTATAAAACTTATAAAGCCTCATGAAAATAAATAGTAATGTAGCCTTAAACTCAAAAAATTATTTTCAAGTTCTCTGGATTTGCAACTTTTAAAAATATTCTAAAAATATTAAATGAGACTAGAATGTGTCATTTGTAGTCATTGTTGGTTAAATCAGTCCGTGAGAGGAAATTTTGATGCTGACCAGCGATTCAATATAGCCTAGCAATCTTCTAATGCATCTCTTATCAAACATGTTTTATTGTTTGTTATAGTCACCTGAGATGAAAAGAAGCTTTTAGAAAAGTATATTAAAACTAAAGTAAGAGACAAAACAAAACAAAGGTTGGCATTACATACAATTTTAATAATCAGACATTCAATTATTTCAACAGTCAAAAAATACATGTCAGAAAAAATATACCATGCATCACCATAAATATGAAATAATGTTTTCAAATGCATACATCTTTTTTTCTTAACAAATATATTGAGAACCAGTTAAAGAACACATGAAACAGGAGAAATAGTTCTAAGAAAATCGGCTCCGATAAGAATATTTTTTTTTTATAACACAAGATGTTAATTGCTCCATCAAGTATACAGATGGGGCAACAATGCAGATTTCAATTGCCAGTTATTTTCTCCAAATGCTGTTCAACATTGATTTAGCTTATGAGTAATGGAGTAGTGATGAATTGTGTCTGTGTGTATATATACATATATATAATGTTATATATATATGTATATACATATATTTATATACAAAATGATAATAGTTTCACTGGCATATACAGATTTATAATTTTTCTCCTTGGATGTAATAAAACAGTAATAAAGGTCTCACCACAGAAATGGAGGCCAATATTTCCCTGACAAACAAAAAAAAAACTTTAGATAAGAAAAATTCCTCAAGTCTGATATTTGCTTCATAGGATCTTACAAAACCTAAAAATATGTTTAAATAAATGAAATCCCTCTTACATTTACTGATTTTGTCTTTCATAGTACACATGACATGGTGATAAATACAACCCATTTCACGAACAGGATAATTTAGCTTCAATAAATGCTAAAATAAAAGACATTGTTCTTGCAATAGATTTTCTGCAAATTACTTTAAGAATTTAAATAATTTAAGCATTAACAAATTATTAAATTCTAAGCAGTATCTTGTAACCTTATTGTTTAAAAAGAAGTCAACTGATTATCACTTTAATTTTTTATTTTTTTTTTGCTGCCTTTAAACACAAGTTTTCTAATAAGATCCTGTTTCACCTGTGCTTCTTTTAAACAAGATACAAAAAGAAGAGAAAGATCAAGGACCGAAATTTGTGATAAACATTCAACTTCTTCTTAAAAAATACTTCTACTTGTATATGAAATCTGAATGAGTAGCAATCCCAGAAATTTGTCAGGGATCATTTTAAAATAAATGATATGTAAATAAGTGTACTGAAAGTCGTGTAAATAATTTATACAAATAAAAATTATTCTACTTGCAGTAAATCATAATTCAAACAACAATAGCTCTTTTATTAAAAAAAATTATTGTACTTCAGTACAGCAATATTGCTCTAGTTAGGGGTTTTCTTTGTTTTTGGTCATCAACATATTTGAAATCTTCCTATTCTGGACATAACTAAATGTAAATATGTAATAAAATTTAAGGTGAACATGCTGCCATTGTAGTTTTATTATTTCCAAACACAAGTATTTATTTTCTTTATTTGTACAAAGTGTGAGCAAATCAATAGTGAGTTTATAATAGTGAAAAATCAAGGCTTTGTTATTATAATAGGATGATATCAAACGTAGGTTATCAGTCATTTGTATCTGTATGTTTGTTTAGACCTGCATGCTTTGTAGACATAAATATGTGGTCTTGGACAAATAAAGCTCTCGTGAGACAAACAGCTGGCAGCAAACACATCTTTCTCTTGCCCAAATAAATATTGAATAAAAAAACAAGGTCTTGCACCAGAGACCACTTTTCTGTACGACTGAGTCTATTATTTATGCACTTAAAAAGAAATATTTTGCTCAGTAGAAACAATAAATATTAAGAGTATGTAATTTACATGATTAAAAAACCATTGATCTGTACAATAATTTAAAGAGAAGAATCTATGTATACAATGAATGCTACATAATGATTGTAGAATTTTTTTCCTCACAGAGAAAGCATTTTTAAACACACGACAACAGTAAAATTGCTTTTACAATAAATAAAAATCATACATATCAGTTTATCATGGGAAAACTCTTATATGAAATGTGTTTTTGCAACAGGCACAAAATGATAGTAATGCATTTAAAGTTATTAGAGAGCAAGCACTAAAGCATGTAGAAACAGGGTAGTCTCTTTCAGAATAGACATCCAGCTAAATCTTTAAAGGCATAAATAAAACCTTTGTGCTAATTTTTGAATTGCCATCAACATATTTAGTTTGAAAAATAATTCTTTACTTTGATGATGACCATATTATGTACACTTGTGTTATTTAAGCTTTACAACTATTGTATAGAAATTTGTTTAATAAAAATTTACTTTAACAAATCAGAAATAAGTGTAATATGTGTCATTAGTATCTGTTATAATGAAAAATTAACTGGCAACTTACATCATTTTAACTGGTAAATAAAGTAAACAGTATAGCTTTCTGCTTTGAACATTATCTGTATTCATTACTACATTATTTCGTACTATAGTATGGCGATGTGTGCTGCAACTTACTGGACCACACATTCAGATAATTCAACATAGTTGAGACAGATTAATCATGTTTGCTTTAGTATTTTGAAGCCTAAAGAATAAGAGTTTGAAGGACAAGTGATAAAATTATTGTTAACTTAGCATTAAATATTAACCAAAGCAATTTTCATTTTGCTTGGCCAAATTTATGTTAGTAACAATGATGAATACATATATTCAACCTGTCCCAAAAATATGCATGTGAAAATACATAAAATTAAAACATACAAGAATTTCAGTCAATTAACCCGCTTTGTCGTCATTAACACAATAATCATTTACAAAAGGCTCTTACCACAAACATTCTTCATGATTTTATAAAATGATGTGACTTCTTCTTTAGCATAACTGACAAGTGATTTATAAAATATACATGTGAACATATTTTAACAAGTAAATTCCTTTACAAGAAAAACAATAAAACCTTTGATTTGGATAGTGGTAGCGAAGGTGAAATGTTTACATGAGCATCTTAATATGAAAAAAACTGTCAGGGGAATCATGGAGCTGTACCCATATAACATGAGAAATAAATAGCTTTTGTGTCTACACATAACTAGTAAGGTTAGCAGTAATGAGCTTCAATGTTTTCTAGTAACTTCCATTATTAAAAAAAAGTTTTTTAAAGTGGTTTAAATTTAAATACAGAATTTTTGTTTAATAAGTGATAATTCTTCAGTTTTATACCTAAAATACCATTATTTTTTCATATGCTTTTCATTTTAACACACCACTTAAAAAATAAAAAATAATTCTTGACTTCTATTAAATCAATTGTAAATGTATATTTTGATAAGTATATTTTCAATTAGTGGATAAAATTATTTATTATTTAGACAATAATCTATAGCTATACGAGTAGACTTTTTTCACTGAGAGGTAATGTAAAAATGGATATAATATCAATAAGATCAGTAGAGCAAGAGGAATCCAATGAGAATGTCAGTGTGCTCACACCCTACTGTGTTGTGAAAAAAGGCATTGATGATTATAAAAATACATTTTTACACTACAAATTTACAACATAAAACTTAGGAAAGTTAACATTTTCATTTTGTTACAATAACATTTTTGCAATCATTCAGTCCCTTAGCAATCAAGCATTCATACGGCAGATATACTCAATCAGTTAATCACATAGGTGCTCTTCCCCCATCAGCCCTCCCCATGTGTTATTCCCCAATATGCTACCTCCCCTTCCCCAAACTATGCAAACATCCCGAATGACCAGCTAGCATGGTGCTGTCCGATGTCTTATTGCAGGCAAAGATATGTGTCCATTTGTTAATCCATTTATGAGTGAATGGCTTCCAGAACTTTTTGTGCTTTCCTTGCTACCATCACTAGAACTACTAGCTATTGCATTGGGAGGTGGGGAGTATGTTTCAGGCAAAGTCAGACTTGTTTCTTCCATTCTACTAAGTCCTTCTTCAATATGAACGAGGTCCAAGTTGGCTGGGAGTGCTGCAGGTTGGTCATTAGAGTTTGGCTGATTGTTTCTAGTACTATGGTTATTGTTGTCCATTGAATTATATGGAGGAGCCCGATGGTGTCCAACTATTGGAGGTTGGATCAAGTACGGTAGCCTTAAAGTGGGCCTTGATATTGTTGATGCAGGTGATTGTCTCGCAGAGAACAAAGGTTGAGGTGTTGCCCATGATGGGCTGTTTGAGCTATCACACTGTAATCCTGAATTTAAAGGGTCAGCGTTAGTTAAAGAATTATGGTGTGAATCAGTAACACTGTGTGTAGGGAGTGTTGGTGGTTGGTAAGGTAAATACTCTGATGAAGCAGAACTTGTCAATGGTAAAGAGCTGAGTCGTGGTGATACAGGATGTAAAGATTTATCCTTGGTGATCAACGGCTGAAGCTCCATTAAACCTGGGTTGTGCATGTTGTCACTTCCCACTTGGTGTGACAGCAGGGGCTGCCGACATTTCACAGGTGGTATAAAGTTATCAGCCATGAAAGGCTGTCTGGAGTCATCTATATCTTCCATTCCCTGTGGGAAATAGTTAATCCTCCCTGATTCTTCATCATCAAAATCCTCATCCATATAACCAGGTGAGTCTATATCATCATCATACTGAGAAACTGAGGCCGTGCTTGGGTGTGGTGAGCAACTGTTCATATTTCTTGTTGCACTACCCAAGCGAGGTGCTGCAGCCCCTTCACATGTCAGACTATTAATACTGCTGGAATCATTACTATCTTCATCTGGCTGGGAGAATATACCTGTTTCTGCCACTGCCGCATTATCTTTGGAATAGTAGGACACTTTCTCAAAGCTGGGTTTTAAATAAGGAAATAGATATTTAATTATTTCCTTGAATGTTGGTCTCTGCTTTGGTGTCTTTCTCCAGCAAAGCTGCATAAGTTTAGCCCTGAAGATGAATGAATACACCTTTAAGTTCTTTAGCACAAAATGACAAAAAAATGAAATTGACAAAATGTATTAATGTGGATACAGTTTTAGCAAGCATATTTCAGTATTTAGAGAAAAAAAAAACAGGTAAGAGGAAAAAAAATATAACTAAATAGACTTAGAAAATATCCTGAAGCTGTTTCAGGACAAAATTATTTTCACAAATTTGCTAAAATTTGCAACTAATTTTTTTGGTACCCTAGAGCGATAAAACTCATATTTTTCACTGGATAATACCATTTAATTAAACCTGGACATTCTTTAAAAATCCCCTCCAAAATAATATTAATTTCAAGTAATGATTTATTCACGGGTGAAAGAAAATGTAAGTAATTTTAGAAGAAGAACAATTTGTTGAGAAACAAAATTTATCAATTTTTCTACAAAAAACATGGATCAGATGAGTATTAGTAAAGAAAAAATTTTGGTACATTATTTTATGCATTATAGCCAAAACTGCAGTGTTTAAAAAAAGCTGCGACCAACACAAAGTAAAAAACAAAACCTTACATTGTTTCAGGACATCCATTTGGCATATCCATTGTGTTATATTCAGAAATATATTTCACCACTTCCTCATTTGACAGACCTTGATATGGCTGAGCTGCCAGTGTAACCATTTCCCATATAACTACTCCATAAGACCTTCACAGAAATAAAAATTACGCTTTTAAATTTCAGTTAACAGAACAAAATAATACAAATTCAAAACAAAAAATATTATACCAACCAGACATCAGACTTGATATCAAAGATTCCATCCTTAAGAGACTCAGGCGCCATCCACCTAACTGGTAACATTCCTTTTCCCCCTTTTCTATAATAATCTGTCTCATATATGTCCCGAGTCATTCCAAAATCTGAAAAAAATTAGTTAAGATATACATATTGAAAAATATATATCATTTCATTTATACAGTTACATATGTATATAACACCAACCTCCAATTTTAACAGTCTTGTCTTCTGCTACCATACAGTTACGAGCAGCAAGATCTCTGTGAACAAATTTGTTATCTGCAAGATAAGCCATTCCGTCAGCTATTTCTCCTGCCATTTGCAAGATTTCTCCCAAATTTGGAGGAATTACATCTGCATTATCCTATAACAAAAATATAGTAATATGTGTTATCACATATGAGAGGGAAACTTTCAAAAGTACAAGTGTGCACATTTAAGTGTGAAATAAAATAATGTCTAAATTACCTCATCTGGCCTGTGTTTCCTGAGGAAATTTTTTAAATCCCCTAGAGCCATCAACTCCATAATTACAAGTGCTGGCTGACCAGTGGAAACAACTCCTAAGAGTTTCACAACATGGTGGCAATCAAATGCTCTGAAAACAATTGTTTAATCATTATAAAACAAACAAAAAACATATTAATACATACAAATATATATAAAGACAGATATATAAATATTAAAACAGAATAAAATTGAAATCTCAAGTATTTTCCTATATAAGTTGAGGGTATTTTTGTAGTTTTGTGACAGTAGGGTTTGTGAAGTATGAACTAGTGCTTCCCAGCAAATCCTATTGGTGTATGAAGAAATAAACACTAGCTTACTTCATTATAGTTGCTTCTTTCAAAAATTCTCTTTTATCATTGAAACTGGCCCGATCATTGACAGTCTGGATAAAACAACATTATTTTATTAAATACTTGAAGTCATATGCCTTATGGTTTGAGAAATTGCACCAAGTTAGGTTCATTTTACAAGCACATCAATGCAAGTTTAGCTTAATAATTTTGAAAAAATTACTTTTACCTTTACAGCAACTCGGACCTCCTCTTCTGGGCAATCTTTTTTTATTCCGGTGGCAACCCCTTCATAAACCATACCAAAAGAGCCTTGTCCAAGTTCCTTAATTAGCTTGATTTTATCTCTCTCAACTTCCCAGTCATCCTCAATGTACACTAATAAAATATTTTTTAACATATTTTTAAACGTCAAAATATAAATATTAGTACTTCAGGGATGTGACCATTCCTTCCTAAAACCAAATTAGAAAATTTATTGGACAAGACTGAAATTGTTTTATGCAGCCCTTGGGTAATGTTTTGTCCCTTGGGTCCAGAGCTGTGTAGAGAGAGGGGTTTGCTAACAGAACATAGTGATCCTCTACAGCACCCAGGGCAAACTATCAATTTTATGCCCCCTCCCCCATTTATATATAACTAATAACTATTCACTTTGGCGAAAAAGTGGCCTCTCCCCATATGGAAAGGTTGGGGACACCTTTTACCAATTCGAGATTTAATAGAAATCTGCAGAAATTATTATTAAAGCGGAAAATGAACTAAAAATACAGGTATTTAATGATACCTTAATAGCTTAACATACAAAATTGACGGCACCCAGTCTCTGGAGATATGGGACGTTTTCTGAATGGAATGGCAACATTTAAAAACAATTTTCCGGATATTTGTTTTTGTGGTGAAAATATATAGCTGAAAAATATATATTTTAATTGAAAATTTGAATTCTGAAAAATTTGGAAATATGCTGAAATTTGGAAAAGTCACATCCCTGGTATTTGAAATCGTATTTGAAAAAATTACAGTGCTTACTTTGTTCAGAGGGCATGTAGTTAGCATTTGGTGATATAACTGTCATCTCAGATTTACTGACCCTGCACAAATTTGTTTATAAAACATTAAAGCAAAAATTCATATAAACATGAAAAATATTAATAAAGGAATACTTTCACAATAAATCCCCCCTTGGCACAAGTCTATGTTTTTTTAAATGTTACAAGTATTTTTTAGATGGGAAAATCTGAACAAAAAAAAAAGGTTCACAAGCAGAAATGTCTCACATAAAATGATAATTAATTAAAATTAAATTTTACCTTCGTTTGTAAAGAATCCAGGCAATAGCCACAACAACTATAATGACAAGGAATAACACCAAAGATACTACTACTTGAGGCCAGATTCCTAATGGCTGATCTTCTGCTGAAAAGCAAAACAAAATATTGCATGGAATGATTAATATTTAAATGTTGGTAGTTTTAAGTAAAGATCTACAAGGGTTTTGCATTGTACACTTACCTGAACTAGGCACTAGGAAAAACTTGTCTTTCGTAAAGGTGTTATTTCCTGCCAGTGAAACTGCATTTATTCGGAAGGTCCAGTTTCCAGCATCTAATCCAGTTAATTTGTAGCCTTTATATATCTTATATTCCGTTATTGTGATACACATTTGTAGAGGTACAAGCTGTTAATAAATGTTTATTTATTTTAGAGTGTTTTTTTATGGAGATGTATAATTTACAACAGTAACTTAGTAAGCTGTTTTTATGGAAATGTATAATTGACGACAGTAATTTAGTTTAATATACACTAAATAGAAACAGACACATCTGAATGCCAAATAAACTGAAAGAGTCAGTACTCACATTTTCCTGATTGGCCTTTTTATAGTAAATGTGGTACTTAATAATGACACCATTGGGTCGAGGTGGTGGGTCCCATTGAATTAATACATCTTTGCTTGAATTAGTCGCTACGACCACTTTTATTGTTGACTCATCTATCTGATCTTCAGTCCCTGGAGGCAAAGAAATTTTAAAAGAATTAACAGTTTATTTGCATCAAATGATAGCATTTTTTATAATAATTGTTTTTAATAATAATAATAAAATGCAACTCACAATTAGCTGTTGTTCTTTTAAGTGTAATGGCCTTATCACTGCAAAGCATCACATTGGGTTGTGAGCTTTTTTGGCAAGCTTGTACCTAGATTAGATAAATTGAAATTAGATGAATACTTAGTAAACACTCTTCCTCAACACTGCATCTTAGAGCAAAACCATAATGCAAATTTCTAAGACAAACTGCACAGTAATTTTAATTAATAGTGTTTGTATTACAGCTAATCCATAACATCCTTTCAGACATACTGATTACACAATGTTGTTTTTAACACAAATTGATCTTAAAATAAACTACTACGTCAATCTCATCTTCATCAAATATTACAAAATACCAATGAAAAATTATCTGTAAGAGATCTAATGTTTCCAAAATAAACATTTATACAAACCTCAACTGTATATTCTCTAAAATGTTCCAAATTAACCAAATCAATTTCTAAACCATTATGCACTTCTACTTCTTGCATATTTTCAGTCAAGTTGCTATCATTATAGTCATTGAAAACTGTTTCATTTTTTATTGTTATTGTTTCATTTTCAGATCTGGCAAGTGGAAGTTCAGAGGTTAAGTCAGGAGATGTGTTCTTGGCATTCAAATCCATGGTAGAATAAGCTTCCAATGAAATTTGGTCAAGCTCAATATGAAGGTCACTAGACAGGCTGTTGAAACTGTTACTGAGGAAAAAGAAAAAACTTTATAGTTTCTAGATTTAACATTTGATTCAAATGGCATGATCAGGTTGAGTTGGAGGTGTTAATGGAAATGTCTCTACGTATCTTTGCTAATGCTAACTTGTACATAATACTGTAGGGCAATTATTGCCAAGCAGGATGTAAAAGATAAATTAAAAATATTTGGTTTCATGCCACATCAGATACTTTACAAATGAAAATTTTGTGAATCAATTAGATTGGGTAAAATTATAAGATGTTTAACTTAGACAAAATTGTTTTATAAATTGTTACTTGAATCAACTATGATGGGCACATAACAATTGTTAGTGGAGTAAAGGTGATTGATTATTGTACAGGTTATTTCTGTGTGCATTTCATACACTCTAATCACCAAAAACCCTTGCTGTTTCAAAAAAAGAGTTAAAAATAAATTTTGTTCTCCAGCTTGCAATTTTGTCGTTGTTATTTTGGTTAAATTATTGCTACGGCTTTTCTTTTTATCTCCCCTGTAATAGTGAGATGTAATATTGTGGTGTAGATAAAACCTTTTGATACTGACCTTTTACAATAAATGTGTGTATGTAAATAATTCTCAAAGTATATCTCTATCTCCCGTTTTCTTGTTTCAGATTCAATCTGGTCTTTTGATTTTGGACAGGCACAACATTCTGATGAATAATTAATGCTTTTCTCCACTTTTTTATATTCCAAATTTTCAGGAGTGTTTGTGACAACAATGGCTGTAAAATAAAAATAAAAACAGTGATAAATTCCAGAGACTCAAATAAAAATCAACATTTAAACAATGTTGATTTTTTTTTTTAATTAATCATCATTGACCCTATAATAAGGCCACATTTATTTTCCAGACCAAAGTACAAAATAGTAAAATAGCAATGAAATATTTTGGTCTACACAGAAGAAACATCCTCAGGACATTTAATTTTCTAGCCTAATAAAACAACAGTAGGCATTACAGTATTATAAGAATTTACAATGCTTTACACTTTCAAATTTTAAATAGTTAGCAGAAAATTTAACTTACGGTATTCACAATAATCTCTTATTTCATATGGTTGCGGATCCAGTGGCTGCTTGCTATAGAACACTTTATAGAAGGTTACATTTCCATTAGGTGTGAGGGGTGGTTTCCATGTTACATGTAGCTCATGGGGATCATTTGATGTCACCACCAACTCTCTTGGCACAGAGGGATCTATTGACAATTAAAACATCTTTAAATATTAGGAATATTCAAGTTAGATGGTTCTAAGGGATAGTAGATTTTTAATTATAAATAACAGAGTAAAATAACTTTGAAATCTTACAAGCTCTAAATATACAAATTTAAAAATAAATCAACTTACAATATGGCAAAGTTGAAAAAATGAGAACATTGCTCATTGAAGTTCGTGCAGCACTGGCAAGGGTATATGACTGTACATAAACAGCATAGGTTGTGAATGGCTTCAACAAACGAATGAAAGCCAATTGTATAGTATCAGGACCCTCACTGGGCAAGACTTCTCTAGTTAACCATCTGGTAAAAACAGTTTAAAATTTATGAAATATGATATTTTTTAATGTAAAAATATTAATTGTTATTAAGCTTGCCTATCCAATTTTTTTAGCTATAAAAAAAAAGAGAAATACAAGGAAACTCATAACAATGATGTGTGACCTTGCAATCATGTGTGACTTTGTTTTCAGGCTATACTTTTCACTAATCTGTGTTGTTATAACAGACCAAGAGCTTTCATTGATCACCCTATAAAAAGGTGAGGTGCAACACTTTTCATCAACCACCAAGCTGTCAGGCATTGTGGGGAGCTCATGTGAGAAACTGGTAAAGACATCTCCTGTTTTGCTTTACTCATCACATGTAGTAGCCCACTGTATCCTGAATATAGGCGGCATTGCTCATGGGGGAGCCTGAGTCTCATGGCTGACATGACTGTTAATTTGGTACCCCTGACCATCTGTGCTGGAGTCCTGACTCAGGTAGCCACAGGGTTAACTCTGGCGTAACTAACCCCACAATAGCACTTGGGGAGTGTTGTTATGCTCAAAAGAACAATGGGAAACAACAAGTATTTACATGTAAAATCTCCATCCACTTTTTTTGTATTAAACAATATTGGTATAAAGAATTTTAATCAAAAATAAAGTTAACCTTAAGCATGGTTTGTAAATGACAATATACTAAAATGTGGAAGAGATCTGGCTTTAATTACAATGAGTGACGTGAATGATGAGTAGTTTCTTATATTTTGTATCTTTAAAAAAAATGTACTTTAAAAAAGGTGAATTAAAATAGGTTTAAGTTTAATCACAAAATTTGAGAAATTTCAAATTTATTTTTCATTGGCAAATCTGTTAGTATTATAGACAATTTGTATTGGGCACTCTTACTAACATTAAATTTTATAACACATTTAAAATTTATCCAGCTTGCTACATTCATGGTCAGCAGATTACTCAATGACACAAAAATGTATGATTTTAAAATATTTGAAAACTAAGGTTCATTTATAAGCAGAAAATCTTTTATAATTTGAGTAGACAGAAAATATTTTCAAAATAATTTTATGCTGACAGCTTTTCAGTGCCTGTGTTTAATAAGTAATACTTCAATAAAATTTTATGTTATAACACTTATTTCAGCAAAAGTTTACTTACACATCATCTGAACAAGCATCACGACCTTGATGAATATTGATGGTGTCTTCCAACTCTTCCGGGGTGCTAGTATTTTGATGGAATTAAGTTAGAAAATCAACAATAAATAACAACAAAAACACAGATTAATGTTAAACAACAGACTCAAATTTAAACGGTACAGAAAAATATAATTGTAATTTATTAAATTGATTTTTTTAAACAAACGTATACTTATGATAGTAAATGATTATTTAAACAAGTAAAACTTTAGCTTACACTTCTTTAAAGCTGACTATGTAGGTAAGCAATTGTCTTGTATCCCCAGTATCTTTTAACCATTGCAGAACTACACTGTTGTGTTGTATATTAGCTGTGGTTACGTTGAAGATATGTTCCACACCTGTTAATAAAAATGTATACCAAAATAATATAGATGCCCCATACATTCATAAACCATACATACTTAAATTTTTGCCAGAGGACTCAAGAAATTAATGATACATTAAAAAGAATGATTCCCTAAATATAATAAAACTAAAATAACCTTAGACTGTAATCTATTTTTAACTTCAAATATGTCAAAAATGTCTTTTGCTTAGGAACAAAAATATAGTCAGTTAGATCATACAACAACAAAAATTAAACTTAACATTAAAAATCTTAAAATCTTACTTTGATAAAATGCAATGACTAATGAAAGAAAACTATACTACAACTCACAAGGTCGAGCATCGCCATTGTTAGAGCTAACATCTTTTTCAGTAAAATTTAGGCCTAAGAATCCCACAAATTCCATTATCTCTTTAGGACACAGCTTTCTATTATTCTGGAAATATGTGAGTGGGCAGCCGGTACAATTAGCTTTTAATCGCATTTTCTTTGCTTGTTCCTCAGGAAACAATTCTTGCAGGTTGTAGTTATCTTGTACAAGCAAAACTCTGTATGAAGAATGTATTAAAAAGGCTACAAATAGAGCAAGGATTCATTACATTAACCAAAATTAAATGAATGTAATAAACTTAATTACATATTAAAGGTTGTCAGAACTGGAACAAAAGCTATTTATCAATACAGATTTTAATGAATAAAAGGAAACAGGTTTACAATCAAATATTTTTTAAAAAAGTTATCTTTACGTTTTTGATATCCAGCTATCACTGCCAATAACTTCCAAATTTTTAAAGAAGTACAAAGATGTGAGAGCATATGATCGTTTTATAATAAGGTTCTGTGTGATCTCTCTAATGGAACCCAAATTCTTCTCCAATTCTTTGGCTATTTGATCTGATTGAGAAAAAATGTAATGGAACAATATTAAGATAACAGTTTATAAAGAATGTATGTTTTAACAGTGGGGTTGGGGAATATCTGAGTCACAATGCATTTTTCAAAACCAAGGGATTCTGGAGCAAAGTGCTCTTTAAAAAAATGGTATCTTCATGATAAAAAACAATGTATTTTAAAAACTTTCTTCTTACTGCTGTTCATTATTTGTATAGACAGAGTTCCAATAATCTTGCTGCAACCATGTAGCATTTGAGCATCTTGAATACTGCTGATATCTTTACCAAGACACTCTAAATAGAAGGAATAGTGAAAAGAATTTAAATCATGAGATTTAAATGTACATATAAGTAAGCCTGAATATAAAACAATTAAACCTGTGCTGTGTTGTATTATACAATGATGTTTTTAAAAACAATAATTACAAAGTTGTCTAAGATCTTATTAGCTGTAGAATTTAAATCAATTTTATATCATAATGATTACATTCTAAATACAGTGGGGTTGTTTTGTTATGTTTTTTTTTTACAAACTACACTTCTACTTAATCTCTATATTTTTTTCAGTAATTCTACGTAACTTTTAAAAACTTAGCCTTCTTTATTTTAACAAAATAATGTTGAAATAGAGGAATTCCACATTGGAAAAAGTTTTGTTAACCAGCTTATCCCATTTTGAGCCAAGTTCACAACTGATGATTCACTGATAAATTATTTCTTACAAATACAATGGATCTTAGATTAAAAGTTAGCATATTGCACTAATAAATGAAAATCCATATTCACCTTTTGGGCAGGGACCATCACATTTAACACAGAATCGAGAACTTGAATTTTTATCGGCTGTATATTTATCAGGACATTCAATCACACATAAGTTGGATTTTCCATTTTCTCCAACTAGTAATCTTGGTTTTGCTCCGATTTTCAACTCTAAGCATTCTTTATCAGTGAGACATCTCCTATGATAAAACTGAAAATTAAAAGAAAACAAGCATTAAATATAACAGTATAACTTCAAAACATGTTTTGCTAACATTTTACTAAAATTGCAAAGTTTTCACTAAACAAGATGGATAAGCATTTTATAATGTAGTTTATGTTTGAATTTGCATATACATTAAAATGATAAAATGAGCATTATTTTGTCATTAAAAAAAATATTACCAAATAGGTATTAGGAGGACAAGTGGGCTGACATTTGCCTTGATAAATGACATCTCTGCAGCTATAACAATCTTCAACATTTGGACCAGTGCATCCGCCAAGACAGTACTCATGACAACATGTACCGTCATCCATACATGTTTGGTTACCTTTGCAATGACAACCTGTGGATTTTTTAAATACATTTCAATTAAGTAATTTGATTAATATAGCTAATGCCAATAGTTGTTTTTTTTTAAATTATGTCAGTACATGAGGCATAAATGATATTAAATGATAATGGTGACACTATATTATAAATTCATGGCTAGTTGAAAGGAAAGCCAATTTTATTTAAGAAAATTATGTGATTTTTAAAAGACATTTCAAACAAATTATACAGTTTTTAAATAAAAATGAACCACAATTTCTTTTTTTTTAAAATCCCACCACACTTATCTTAACCCTTATCCCAGCACTAGCAAGCACAAACACACGTTTCCCTTTACAACTTTATCCTAAATAGCCTGATACAAAACTATATTTTGGGTATCTCATCATACATGATACAGACCTGCTCATCACCCATTGAAGCAACCATTATCTCTCTTATTGGTCAAGTCAAAAAAAAAACGTGTTCAGTTAAGAATGTATACTTTGATTTGATCTAACAAATATCAATCCAGCTGCTCATAATCATAAATAACCTAATGCGATTTTGGCAGATTTTTCTCCCAGGCTACAAATATACGGGTCACCCGACTAAAGTAAAACAAGAAGACAACCGCCTTAAAAAAAAGATCGGTATTTTTTTTTTCTCAAACACTTTACGGTAGTTCAAGTTTGTTTTTACATACGTTTAAAAACCATACTATCTAGGCCCTAATAAATTGTGAAGTCAAATCATTTTGGGCTTGCATCGTTCTTTAGTGTCAAAACTAAAGACGATCTCTCGAATGACGGGAGACCTAGTAATTGCGTAAACGTCCTAGCGCTGTGTAGAGTGTAGACCCCTGCAATACTGCTCGCGTGGAGCAAAATGGTGTAAACCCAAAGAAGAGTCATCGTGTTCGTAGGAAAGAAAGGACATCGTGGAAAAATTCTATTTCTAAAATTAAGTTCATGACTTTTTTTAAAAAACAAGACATTTTAACGTTTCACAAAACAGATAAATTGGCTTTTTATTTTTGACAAAACAGAAAAATTGATCGGCGGAAATTTCCGATTTTTTCGAAAAAAAAGTTGGTCGACGAAAAAAAAAAAGCGGAAATGTTAAATCTTTGAATTTGAACATAAAACTATTGTCAGATTTAGCGTGCTTCTCGTTTATTTTATTTAAATGTGACGAAGCATTTTAAAATGGTAAGGGAAAACGTGGTAGAAAGAGACAAAGAAAACACGACAGCATACAATGTTTACCTTAGCATAAAATGTCGCTGTTCGGCCTATAAATGGGATGTAATGAATTTTGTATTTAAAGTCACTCAACAAATATGCGCGATTCGTTATCTGCTAACTGTCAAGTGTGGCGCAACGGGGCAATGCGACTGTAGCCTACTCGACATGCATACTGTTAACGATCCATTTGAGCACCACCATTTTTAAAGTTACAACGGAGTACAGTTGTTTATTTTAAAACATTTACATAATAGTAACTTTTTTTTATTCACACTCACCCAGGCTAAATATACCATTCTAGACTAAAAACCCTCTATACAGGTTAATAGGTGACGTCATTAATGGCTACTCAATTCGCCGTAACTATTGCTACTGCGTAATTTTCAAACTGCGATCGGCAACGTCCCTTGCTACAGATTGGTATACAATATATCTAGCCTAAGTTAAAAGTCTATATTCCTTGCCTAAAAGTTGAAAGTCCATATACCTAGCCTAAGTTGAAAATCCATATACCTAGCATAAGTAGGGAGTCGATATGCGTAGCCTAAGTTTGAAAGTCTGAGCTCGTTTTTCCCACACAAAAAAAAATAAAATAAATATTAACAGGTGATTAAATGGCATAACTAATGCAGCCCACCACAATATTTGTTCGTACATTTGGACAACTATTGCTATATTTTACGTGTAAAACGTTCGAAAAAACAAATAGATCGATCACGAAGGAAAAAGACTAGTGTAATTTCAGAGAAGCTTGTCGGAACTGGGGAAAACGGTACATTGAAAGTATAAGCAATCATTTTAAAAGGCTTGTAACACGTAAACGTTTTGTTTAAACAGAGTACAATCATTATTTGTAAAAATGGGTTTGCGACTACACTTGTAACTAATGTAACGCTTATGGTTCGTGTAAGTGAATACATTTAATTTGTAGTTAACTTTTGCGTGGACTTCCGCATGTCAACTCAATAACATTACCAAGAACACAAGCAATGACATTCTAACACAAGCACATAGAGAGATTGGGAGAGACAGAAGGTGAAGACTGAGAAAAAGACCGCCGAGAAAATCCTCCACTCTTTTTTTTTCTCGTCGGTACTTGGACATAATTACATTTACAATATCAGTATGGATTCAAATTGTGCCAATTTCATTATTTTCAAAAACAAAAATTAGTTCTGGAAAACAATGTATCGATTTTGTAGAGTGCGTCGGCTTCGTTAAAAAGGGAAATGGCAATTTGACTCGGGTAAAGGCGTCTTTAAAATATCAGTAAACATGACAATGTTATTTACACAACTACAGGTAAGATCATGTTTTTTTGCAGGAGTTTTAAAATATTACAATCATCATGCCTAAATGCATATATACTATTTCAACTTCCTGTTAAATGACTTGTCCCGAAATATCCGGGGTTTGAACGATCTTCAGTTCTATAACTTACGAGCTGACCCGCGACGTAGCATACGCCGTTCGCTATTTAGTTGTTTTAATTCCTATTTTTCAGTAGTTCATAATTTGTAAATTCGACACTACCAATGCTTCGACTGAAAATATTTTGCTTTAAAACACTATCAGTAGCTAGTGTAGGATGATTATCCTCATCCTCACTTTCCACCCCCAACCGTAAAAGCAGCCGTCCGTGACGACAGTTTACAGACGACAATGAAAAGATCAATCAGATCGTGTTACCTCCCCTTAGTTTCAAATCGCTTAAAAACTAAATTATCTGCCCCTAACAGCCGGCACTACGATTGTAGATTGTAAACAGCTCACCAGACTGGTGGGGGTGGTAGCGATATGGTCTGTTGAGATTATGTCGTGGTGGTGTCCCGCATGGTCCGTCCATGAAGAGAATTATATGTATAGATCCTATTGTAATTCGACGTAAAGGACATGAGATTAATCAGTATCTGATGTATTAACTGACAATCAGAAATAACTGCAATCTAGGAACAGTTATTTTGGCTATTACACCTCGCGGTCGTTCCTTTAGTTAAATTTCCCTTAATAATAATAATCGTTGGTTGGTTGGTTGTGTGTGTGTGTGTGGTGATGTTTTTTTTTTAGGGGTGGGGGGACGACATCAAATCTAAACTAATTTCTGGGATAGCTTCAGCTAAATAGTATTATATATTAGTGTTTACGTACTACTTTGCGGTTTGCTTATCACGAACTTGCTGCTTCAAATGTTTTCAAAAATTGTTAAAAATTTGTTTAAATATTTTTTGCAGATTTTAGCGATACATTTTTTTAAGGGAATGGGCTTAATGTTGTTAATGTTAGTATAAGACTGTGTGAAAGGTTTTATAAAGACTTAAAATAATGTTTAATTACTAAATAAGTATAGCGCTTCTACTTTGCCTGGAACACCCGCGATAATGAGGGAATACTGTACTAATTATGTGCGACGCTGGTTTAAGAAATCTGTTTAAATCAATATGGAGAAAATAGGGTGTCTGGGTACGGTTTGACTGACAGACTTAAACTAATCAACTTAGTGAAGTTACGTTTTACGGTTGTTAAACGGTCGATTTGGTAAAGCAGGATTTATGTTTCATGCATGTTTAGAGAAGCGAGTCTAACACGGCGCTGATATTTTACTTAGTGTAGAGAAACTTGAGTTAAACACGGCGCTGATATTTTGGGAAACTCGAGGTAAACACGGCGCTGATATTTTACTTTGTGTAGAGAAACTTGAGTTAAACAAGGCGCTGATATTTTACTTAGTGTAGAGAAACTTGAGTTAAACACGGCGCTGATATTTTACTTTGTGTAGAGAAACTTGAGTTAAACACGACGCTGATATTTTACTTTGTGTAGCGAAAAGAGTTGAACACGGCGCTTGTATTATGTATTGAGGTATTAAAGAGCTAAGATGATGCTCGATAAACTGTAGAAAAACAGAAATCCAGTTCCAATAAACCCGACTTTTTTTCGTGGTCGGGAGACTAATAATGAAAAACAATGTAGGTATCATTCGAGTTAATAAACTGTTAGATCCACTGTATTAGTCGGTACTGCCTGATGTAGATTAAGTTGTTAATTGTTTTCGCGAAAAGCGGAACTGAGTTTATAATGGTTCTTAAAAATGGATACCTACGTGTATACAACACCCGGAAAAAATCATGTATTAAAATATGGAGGCATTGATTTTAACCCCGTGCACATATAACATTACTATATAACTAATTTTTCCTACCGAAAAGATGTCAAAGTAAGACACCAGCTAATTACTACTTGACAACAACAACAAAAAAAGAACGCAGCCGTTTCACGCATATAGCCTACATGGTTTATCCGAAGTTGACCTCATTTCTTTTATATTTTTCTATCTCCGACAATTTTATCTCTCTAGTATCCGAGAAGTAATGTTTGTATTCAGAATTGTCGGCAAGGAATTTGGTTTACGGCCTATTTGGATAGTACAACAGTTATTGGCTATTGGTCGTCATTACGCTTTTATATTACAGCCCATGGTAAATTTAGGTGGTGATGGTGTGGTACGTATGTTAAATCAGGGGTGTAAAGGGCGATTTAACTTAGGTTGTTGGTGCACCAAATAATAAAATTACCCGACGTCACAAATAGTCGAACCCCACCCCTCCCTTGAGTTGTGTCACGCAGTTCCATCCCCCCAATCTTAAAAAAAAAAAACTATTTTAACAAAATATAACTTTCATCTTTTTTTTTATAATTTCGTCTTTAAATTACAAAACATGACTTCATCATAGCGCGTAGCACCTCGTCACAGATGTCTGAACCCTCCAAAACTTCCGTCGACTTAAAGCGCGGTTGTACTATGAAGCCCTCACTAAGCACATAGTGACAAAACATTGCTACAGCTTGGATATGGGATAGCACGATGTTTTAACGCCCGTATCAACACCCTCTCCATCACTCTATCTCATCTCTTTCTTTCTCTCTCTCTCTCTCTCTCTCTCTCTCTGTATATATATATATATATATATATATATATATATATATATATATATATATATATATATATATATATATATATATATATATATATGTGTGTGTGTGTGTGTCTATCCGAAATATGCGAGGTGTAAGAATGACAATTTAATCATTAACAGGTGTGTGGCTGACCAAACGCGCTGAGAGGAAAGATCACCTTTGGCAGGGGTCGAAAAGTCGTCATGGTTGCATTCATCTTTTATATGGGTGTAAAGTCTAACTGACCAGCGGATCTCAGGCTATTGTTGTTGTTTGTTCCGCAGGGCTATTTTGAAAGTTCAAGGTCAACGTCAAGTAGCTCAACTTACTGTTATTACTGGTACTTGCTACCATCGACCCGGAAATCACGACCAGACACGACTTTTTTTTAGCGAAACGGTGAAAATGAAATAACCTTTGTGTACTAGACATTTATGGTGATAGCTATTAGCCTGTGTAAAAGTATATACGGGAACATGAAAAAAAAAAGTGGGTAAGATTTCGTAACGGCAACGCACTCGACATTTTAACAGAAACATTTAATATCAACGTACTAAAATGAGTATTACTGTTAGTAATTATCGCAGTTTGACATACTCCCATTTAAGATGTAAGTGTATATAGTAACCCAGCTATCCCTAACGACCTTGACACTCAAGTGGGATTTCACCGTCGATGAAATTTCGTGTACAATTTCGCGCCAGAATTCCGTCAGTAGCGACATGTAGTTGTGCCGACACAACGACCGTAAGAATAAACATGATTAAACACAAGTGTAATACTAACTACAAGAAAACTGGAATATATTACAGGACACTTGGGAATCTACAAAATAAGGTACATCCTATCGCTTCAACCGTAGTCAAAATGTATGAGTTCGTGCTAAATCTCTTTTATCACGTCATTGATCTGCATGCGGGGCGCAGTGCAAATTGATAGCTCGCATCCTGTTGACAGCATTAGCTTTAAAAGGTTTCAAAGTAAAAACCAAACTGCTGTTTTCCCCTAGTTCATGACTTGGGCCAATATACTAACCTATTTAGTCTAGAACAGATGGAATAAATAAAAAAATTATGCTTTAACCTACAATGTTGATATATGTATCTCCTAACAGGTATGTTTTTTTCTGACAGTACTGCTTTATGGCTCGGAGGATTACACGGTCAATTAACAAAAAATAGATGTCTACGATAAATTCTTAAGATAAGATGGCTAGACAAAATATCCAACTACGATCTGTGGAAAACTAAAACAAAAACTGACATGGATATTAAAGCACACCAAAGGAGATGGATCGGACCAGCCCTAGAAAGAGGTCAACATCGCGAAGCAAGCGTTGGACTCTCCAAAGAAAAGTAGGCGTGCCTAAGCTTTCATGGAGTAGGATGGTGAAAGGGTAGCGAAGCTAGAGCTTACGTGGTAGAAAGTTCGATTGCTAACCCAAAAGAGAAAGTACGGTGTCCGTGAGCCTACCCAGCTCTGATGGATACTTGATAGACGTTAGGAAAAGTAAAGGTGTTTGGGCATAGCGCTGACCACACCATTCCTTTATATGCGGGCCACTGATCAGTTTCTTCCAGGCATCTCTTCGGGGCAGAGAGACCCCCCCCCCCCACTTGAACGAAATGGAATTTATGTAGAAAATATATACTTTTAATAGTGTCCGCCCCCCCCCCCCCCCACCCCCGAGAGAAAGTCTGGAAAAACACTGCCACTGATACAGATGAACTCTACTTCACCTTTAGTTTTTACTTCTTTCTGGATATGATGCATAATACCGTAAAAACTATAATAATGATAGATGATCATAAAAGCTACATGCATTTATGCCAAAATTATGTAAAGAAGGATTACTTATGTAATTCCTTTGAAAGAAGAAATGCTTTGTTTTATATTTAATGGGGGGAGGTAACTCATTATAAAAGAAATCTGCAAGAGTATTTTTTAAATGTTTGAAAGGCACAAAAAAACGTATGTGATTTTATGAATATTTTCTGTGAGCTACTTAGGGAATGTTTATCTAATACAAATAAAAGAAGTTGGTAGACCAGAAGATTTAAACCTTAAGTTTAATTTTCTTCATTATTTGATATGACTAATCAATGCTTTATTATTTCAGAGAGGTTAAATATTTCACTATGTTTTATTCAAGGACTTTCAACATATTAGTCATGTGTCAACTTGCCTATATCAAATTTAGACATTTTAAGAACTTGAAACATTCAGGCAACATGACATTATTAAAAAACTTATGATTACAATATGCCTGCAACAATGCGACTTCTTGTACTTGTATGGAAATAAAAGATGACAATATATGATGCCCATACACTAAAGAAAAGGTATTTTGACTATTGTTGCATTGTGATGATGCTGTGTGGGAAATGGGGGTCATCTTTTTAGTGCTTGGTCGGAGAATAAAAGTACCCTTTTGCAGACATGCCTACTCCTTGATACCAAAAGTAGGAACAGTATTACATAAAAAGAGGAATTTCAAGCAAAAAAAGAAGAAAAAATCTATGTGTATATATATATATATATATATATATATATATATATATATGTATGTGTATATATATATATATATATATATATATATATATATATATATATATATATATATATATATATATATATACATATATGTATATGTATATTTAACTTCAGCTTATATGTTTTAAACTTAATTAAACTTTAATAAAATCATAACTTGGCTGTTACATTTTTGGTATGATTCAACAGTTGTTGCTACAACAATATTAATCTGATTCATTGATTTGCTTTAAAAGTTCATATGTTCATGACTTGCTATGTATTAGCTAGATTCTAGTAGTATGAATAACCAACAACTCCTAATTTGTTTTAACATTTTAAATTCTAGATCTGTGAAGTCAGGGTTGATCATATTTTCCTCCATATTTTAATTACTGTATAATTTGCTATGACAAATCTTCAAAAAAAATGTGAGTTCTTTTTTAAAGAACCTGCAGTCTTAGCAGCTCACATTTTCCATATAATCTACATATAGATCTAAGTAAACATTGAAATAGAAACAAATGCCTAAGGAAAATAATAGCATTTTCCCCAGTCTTTTTTTTTCAATTTTTGAATTTGATTAGCAGAACAAAATTTTTATGAAAGCTGAATGGCAGCATTGTAGGCATGGCTGCTTGGATATGATATATCAAGCTGGGTGGACTCAGAAATGTCCAACTGATCCCAACAGGTTAGCTATCATGTGCATCACCGCTCATTCACACTGTTCCATGATCGGGGGTGGGGTAAACTATCTAAAATTATGTGATATTATTTATAAGTCAAGTTCAAGCTAAAATAAACAAGCTTTTTTCATTAGACAGAATATTTGAATTTACTTACTGATGCCTTTTTGACATGAGTCGTTGGTCCAGCAACGTTTAGCTTCCACGCCATTATATTTTGTACTTTTACAATCTGGTCCACAGTAATTAGGACACTGCATCGGTGGGGCGTTTGCTTTTATATCCAAGATACTGGAGGGATCTGTTATTTTTGACCAATCAACTGTATCTATGTAGCAAAGCTTTCCATTTTTAGAAAGCCTCACGCCACCACGGCTTATAGTACGAAGATTTATCAAGCCTAATTCCACCAAATCAGGCATCTCGTAGGAAATTAGGGCATAATTGTTGAATAATTTATGTCCTTTTATAACAGCCAAATTTGGAAAAAGATGTCGAAGTGTTGTAAGACCATAAGCACGATAAAGCAATAGGTATTCTGTAATTTCTCTTAAAGCAGGAAAGCTAAATCCTTTATAATCATTTGGTGTGGCAACGCCATTGATCAAATTTATGTGCAAATATCCTTCAATTACAGTGCAGTTTTCCAACTTTCTGAAATTCGAAATTGATGTTCGTATGTCTATGCTGCCACAAACTGTAATGAACAAGAAGATTTTTAAAAATTAAATATTGAAATGAAAACAAGATGTAAGAAGAACACTAAAACTGTAACATTGGTGAATATTTGACCTGCATACCAACTAATGCCAATACTAACAATGGTCTTAATCACAGATTTTCTCTCTGCTGGTATTGCTACTATTACAGTGTACGACCAGTAGCCTAAGGGTTAGAATTTAGGATAGTCATCGATAGTAATAGTAACAATAACAGCCTGCTCTGAGATTTTATTTTAATTTTTCAAGTAGTCTCTTGTACCCATAGTATTTATTATTAGGCCAAATATATGGGCGACTGAATGACTGGCCAAAACCTCTAACTACTTAGCCTATTAATAGTATTATTAGCTATTGATAGGTCTATTTAGTGGATTAGCCTAGCCTAAATCCTAATTAATGTAAAATCATTATTACCTCCATCTTTTGGGTTCTCCTGGATAGCTGCTTCATCAATACAAAATTGACCAGTAACACCCCAGTTTTGTGTTAATAACTCCAAATAGAACAAAAAAATCAAAATAATGTGTCTGTTTTTCATATTGATCTCATCTGTGTGATCCTTCAAGAAAAACAGGTAGATTCTAGATCTAGTATCCCTATTGATATCTATGCGTTTCCTCAGGATCTAGAATAGTGACCCACCGTGGCATTTTTATAATGCACGTCAAAACAAACTAACAACATCATAATGTATACATCGCCATCATGTTGAATGAATGGAAATAGAATTCCGAAACAACAGTGAACTGGAGTGGAATGTGAATGCTGTGTTGTTGGAAAACAATGATCATCTCTACTAAACTAAAAGCTCTGTAGAAATCAAACCAGTGTAACAAAGAGTTGTGAATCGTTGTGATTCGATTTTAAATACAAAGAACTAGATCTAGATCTGTATCTGTAAGATTCATCTAAGTTCTTGGCATAAACATCCATATAATAATATGCCCACTATACTGGACAAACATTGTAATTCTCAAATTCACCACACTCAACTGGGTTTTCCTTTGAAATTAAAACGTTGGAATTTATTCTACATTCACTGTTAAACTTCTGATTGATTACGACTTGTCCTCGAAGAAAGAACATATACTCCATTGATATTGAAACAGGGTTGATAAAACTAATGATCTAAATCTACATGGTCACAGTTTAATAAAAATGTGATTGTAAAAACATATCTAAATTTATTTAGAAAAGGAGGTCAAGTCTCCCAATGCAACTAGCAGCAAGTAAACAACCTCTTTTTCTGATTGGTCAACAGGAAAGTGGAGCTAGCAAAAATTATTTGCGAATAAGTTATCAAGGACACAGACACCGAAGGTGTAGTTGAATAGACTACTAGGGCCTACCATGAAAGAAAACACTTTCGAAATCGTTTCTCGAGTCTAAATCTACACGATTGATAGAACTTCTTCATCCATAGATTTTCGATTTATTGCGCGCCTGCCCCGATTGCTTTTATGGCAGAAATATTAACTAGGCCTACAAGACTATGGGGTCTAGCCTACATTGTTCGTGATAGGCCTACGTATTCTGGTCTTGTAGATCGCACATCACATGAGTTTGAGTGCATGAAGGCTATATATATTATGCACTGTCCATAACCTTCACTTACAACACAGTAACTTACAGTAATGTTTTAATAAAAGTTGTGTTTCAATTATTTTTGTTTTATGTAATCGAGCATATCGTTAGTTTTGTGATTGTGTTTTTAGATGATGTCGCAATGTAGACTACATTGTTCATTGATGTTGCACTTTACTACTTTTCCTACTAGATCTAGTCTAGTACTAGACAACACAAAGCTGTAGCATATAGATTAGATGTATAGAGGTCTAGATTGAACTACAGCTAGAGAATAGGTGACGTTCATAAAAGTGTGAACGATTTTTTAAAATTGTTATTATGTTTATTTAAATTCATGGGCCTGTCATTACGATCACTTTGTTCATTGTTAGCTACATATATTATTATTTTAGCTATAGGCCTAGATCTATATTGGGAACAAATCATTAAAAAATACAACTATTTGTTAGCAGCTTTTATCCGATCGCCATGAAACGTTGGGAAGTTGTTGAGGAATAGTCTAGGGAAGGTTTCTGCGAACAAAAACACTTCAAATTCTAAGGGCGGCGACGCCCGGTGAGGGTGCGATTTTTCTCTATATACGGTATATAAAAAATAAAAGTCGAATGCGCTTCGACACCGTTCATCCGAGTGTTATGAAACTTTGGGGAATTGATGAAATTATTTAGGAGAAGAATTCTACGAAACATAAAATTAAAATTTCTTATGGGCGGCGCCCGGGAGGGTGTGATTTTTGTCAATACACGGTTTGACGTTCGGAGTTCCAGAACAGTTGTCTTAGCACGTAGTTTCCATTAAATTGGCGTCCTTCATAGCGGGTAGGGGGTACTACTATATTCAACGGTAAAACTGGAACAGACGCAGCCGCCGGCGACCCAACAGTTGCATGACCCGAAACGTCCCGGGCTCCCCTGGAGGCTATACACTAAAGACACGATGGGCAACAATCAGCGTTGACTATATTGAATCAGGCGTGCCTGCTGGCGCCCCGCGGGGTGCGATCTGACGCATCAATATCGGAACATGGAACGTCCGTACAATATAAATTATAATCCACAAAGCAAAAGAGAAAGACATGGAGACGTGACATTGAAGAAGACACCAAGAAGATGGGATACACCTGGGGATAGTTGGAGAGCCTAGCCCAGAATAGATATGCTCTTGTCTGCAGCGTATGTCCTAGGAGGGACACAATGTGGTAAACTAGCGTTTGTTTTCCTCATCCTTGACCAGTCTCCCAAACAAGCTGTGGACGAAATATACCCGAGCGTTCAACAGTTGGATAACAGTACACATTTCCATCTCTTTTTCGCAGCTCTACAACAATGGTTGTAATCCTTTCTCGCTCTTCCAATCCTTTTCACACAATCTCTTATGATGTGCGTTGTCCTTTAGTTCAACCCAAGATCAGTTTTCAAAAAGCGTCATTCATATTTGTCTTGTTTTGTAATGCTGCGCAACCATTCCTTAACTCACCAACAAGAATCGTTAATTATGTCATCAAATCGCATCAGGTCTCAAAAATTTGCGACACTGACAAGGTTAATTTCCAATGAAATAAATGATGAAAGTGTACATTGGATAAAGATGAAGAACTGGATACAAGGGAAATTCCCATTCCACAGGATATGAAAATCAATGTCCTCCCTGTGTACTGTAATAAACGAAGGAACATTTGAATTCTCCATGAGAGAACGGTGAAGCTTAACGATGTGGAGGAAAAAATCTTGCTAAAATTTGAATATATTTAGCTTATATAAATGATAGTTTTTGTTGTTGTAAATAATTGTCATTCATTAAAAATTCAAATATTATCTCTGTTAATCTTGATATAATTAGTACAATATGAATATAGGCTGTACCGACCAATACAAACGGTGCATTAAGTATAACATGCTGTGCATTAAGTATAACATGCTGCTGATATTATGTTATCATTTCTTGATTCAAGATGTGCATACTTTGTTGTTTTTATGTAACCCTAAACAAATTTACCTTTGTTACTTAAAAAAATTCCCCATCAACTACAAAATTTACACACTATTTTAGACCCACAATTAGCCTACATTTGAATAGGAAGTGTATTATGGGTTTCCATGAATTACGTAACATTTTCACTCCCCCCCCCCCTCGGTCTGTAAATTTTGTAGTTGATGTTACACTCTTCTTCCCCCCCCCCCCCCCCCGGTTGATAGTTTTAAAGTGTGTACAGTTAACAGTAAAGATGTTCATCTATTGTCGATTATTAAAATAGGTGGATTAACTCTAATTAATCAATAATTGAACTGGCAAAAAGCATATTTCTTCTATATATTTTACAACTTTTCGCCAAGGTGTCAACCCTTGCCCCTCAAGTGGTGTCATCCGGTGCGGTCCGCACCCCCGCCCCTGATACACAAAAGCAAATTATCAGAAACATTTATTGTACAAATTGGAATTCGGACATGGGTATTTAGTTGACTGGTTGATTGTATAATGAAACAAGCTAGAGGAAACAAACTGGAATCCAACGGACACAACAGCTCGAAGTCTTGGATTTCGTAGATGTGCGCTTCCTTCTCGCACACAGTCAACAACAAAACAAATGCAGAACAAATTGTACTTGTTGAAGAAGCAGTAATACTGGTTTACTGATAGTGGCACCGCACTTGACGATCAGATTAGAATCGGCTGCGATAAAATTCGTTTTAACATTCAAAGCCGATGTAGAATTCAAATGCATTGTCAAAAAAATTCAATCAGGTTCTATAGCTAAATGTGAAATCTCTTTTACTGTATGGCGCGGAGCCAGTGGCGTAGCGAGGTCGGGTGTCACCCGGTGCGGCACTTAATGGTGTCACCCCCCAGAGGCGTAGCGACCCTTCCTGGGGACAAACATTCAAGTTTTTGATTTGCACCCCCCCTTCAGACTTTCGATTTGCACCCCCCTCAAGTTTTCGATTTGCACCCCCCCCCCCCTCAAACTTTCGATTTGCACCCCCCTCAAGTTTTTCTCTATAAATTTTGCTCTTTTTTGCCTTGGTGTCACCCCCCTAAATGGTGTCCCCGGTGCGGTCCGCACCCCCGCCCCCCCCCCCCCCTCGCTACGCCCCTGCGCGGAGCTATGTAGTAACAGACAGTGAAGAATGAAATAAGAGCAACAAAAAGGTGGGTGATTATAGCACAATATCAGAAAAAAACAGTAAATAACATCACTAAGCAGGTGCATATGTAAAGTTCCACGGGGAAAGATGAAGAGTAGGAGACCAAAAAGTCATTAAAAATCGTTTGAAATAGAGATGGGTGAGGCTGGATAATTATAGTTTGATTTTCAAAACAAACAAAAAAAAAAGTGAATTGACAAAGTGTTGCATACGCATATGCTCCCTGTGAAGCCGAAACGAATAAAAAGAAGAAAATCAAAAGAGTTGAGAGCAGTGGTTCTTAACACACACCGACGCATATGATTCACAATCGGATTTTGTCAATGAGGACGATAAAATTATTAAGAAGGGATTGGTGAATGCGCATATGAAACTGATGAGGTTCGGTACATCCAAAAAGGTTAAGAACAAGTGGCGTAGCGAGGTCGGGTGTCACCCGGAGCGGCACTTAATGTTGTCACCCCTCAGAGGCGTAGCGACCCTTCCCGGCGCCCGGGGACAAACTTTCAATTTTCGATTTGCACCCCCCCCTCAAACTTTCGATTGCACCCCCCCCCCCCCTTCCACCCATGTCGGGATTTGTCAAATTTGCTCTTAGAAGACTTTTTAACACTCGAATTAATCACTTAATTAAGTGGAATTATAATTTTTCTCTATATATTTGGCTATTTTTTGCCTTGGTGTCACCCCCCCCCTAAATGGTGTCACCCGGTGCGGCCCGCACGCCCCGCCACCACCCCCTCGCTACGCTACTGTTAAGAACCACTGTTCATATGTTACAGTTTTAAATTACCAGTCGTAGTATTGTACAATTTATACCTCGTTTAGTAGGTCTAGTGGCTTTAACTATATGAACATTGCAGTATTAAGACTTGTTATAAAACAAGCAATCAAAAATGATCTATTAGGTACAGTATACTAATTTTCTTAGCTCTTAAAATTTGCAATTTTACTAATAGGGGGTCATCCATAAATGACGTCACGCTTTTTTTGGACGATTTTTACCTCCCCCCTCCCCTCCGTCACACATCGTCACAAAAAGCCAGATCACCCCCCCCCCTAAAATGACGTCACGCCTCAGCCTACACCCCCCCCCCCTCAAAATTCAAGTTGAATTTTTCTTAAAATACGATATTTTTCCAAAATATTGATTGAACGCTGTCAACATAGAGTATTTTAATCAATTCCTATTATAATTTATTAAAACAGTTTTCTAAAACACGAAATAACGGCTAAAATTCGTTTTCTAGCATTGCTTTTTTATAATGCAAAAGTGCACGTCACACCATCTGGAACCCCCCCCCCCCCCTCTCATCACACACTGTCACAAAATTTGGACTCCCCCTACGAGTGTGACGTCATTTATGGACGATCACTAGGATAGCGATACAAGAATCAGTGATATTTATTTCTCTTTATAACAGTGGTCCCGGCAAGATGTAGTGCAACCAAGAATGTGATCTCTTACGTTGAAGTTGAGAGAATTCGTAAGTTAAATCAGTAAGTAAATGCTTGTAATTGTAACCGTTATTATTTTTTTTTAGCTTTGGCTGTTTATAATTCAAAACTGCAGCTTAAAATGAGCTAATTTTTTTACCCTTTTTGGTGCCCCCGTAGGGTTATTGCGGGGCGCCCCCCCCCCCAGCCAGTGTTTCTTCCAGATTTTTTCTTCGGGGGGGGGGGGGCGGTAGACTTTTTTCGGGGAGGGGGGCGGATACTGTTAAAAGTATACATTTTCTATAAAAACTACATTTCATTCGGGGGGGGGGGGGCGGTGGCGGTAGACTTTCTTCGGGGGGGGGGGTGCGCTGAGCCCCCCCCCCCCCCCCCGAAGAGATGCCTGGAAGAATCTCTGCAACCCAGCGACGCCTCTGAGTGTTGGCAGGATTTTGTCACGGGTCATATATAGGCCTAGTGGGACGGTGTGGTGAATGCTAGTCGCAAGTTCTTGAGTTCGGATCTCGGTTTAGACCTGTGGCTGTAGGACCGCACTCGAGTCTACCCAGCTCTGATGAGCTGATTTGGGGAAAGTGACGAATTAGTGACGGCTATTAGGGGTCGTCCATAAATGAAGTCACACTCGTAAGGGGGAGGGGGTCCGTAATCTTGTGACGGTGTGTGATGAGGGGGAGGGAGGGAGGGGGGGGTTCAAATGGTGCGACGTCACACTTTTGCATTATAAAAAAGCAACGTTAGAAAACGTATTGTAGTCGTTATTTCGCGTTTTAGAAATCTGTCTTAATAAATTGTAATAGGAATTGATTAAAATACTCTATTTTCAGAGTTCAGACAAGATTTTGGAAAAATATCGATGTCTTTAAAAAAATTCAACTGCAATTTTAAGGGGGGTTGTAGGTTGAGGTGTGACGTCATTTTAGGGGGGGGGGGGGGTCTGGCTTTTTGTGACGATGTGTGACGGAGGAAAGTGAGGGTGAGGATAATATCGTCCTTCAATAGCTACTGATAGTGTTTTAAAGCAAAATATTTTCAGTCACAGCATTGGTAGGGTCGAATTCACAAATTATGAATTACGGAAAAATAGGAAATATATTTTCTTATTTCCAGTTCATTTAAAAGCGTGTTGTTATAAAGGTTTTTAATATTTTGTAATAAGAAAAATTCATATGGAGGACCTGCTAAATTTCAAGATTGTAAAATAGACTAGATCTACAACCTTATTTATTCACCATGTGCTGTCTAAATAATTTTTTATATTTTATGGTAGTAAATCTATAACTATTTTTATAATAATCCTACTAACTTTAAACTGTTGGCATTTTGGTGACATATAGTGCAATGGGAAAATACGCGACTGAAAATGTTCGCAAACAGAAAAATGCGCAAATGAAAACTCATTAGGCCTACACTTCACTAACACAGTTTTATTTGGTTATATTTCATAAAAAAGGGTTTTATTTTAATTAGGGGAAATTTTATTTAGATCTAGTCTAGGTTATTTAATATTTATTGCAAACTTTAAAAAAAATAATTAAATATGAAATACACCAATCTCCAATGCGCACTATTTTGTGATGCGCTTTTCCCGTTGCTAGAATATAGATCTACTAAAAAAAAATGGCTTTGCCTCTTGGATGGAAAAAGGAAGAAGTTGTAAGACAGACTGGTTTGTCTGCTGGAAAAATAGATGTTTATTATTTCACGTAAGCCTTTTGTATTTTAGGTAGAGGGCTAGGTGTATTCTTTAATATATTATATAGCCTACTCTACTATTTAGAAGTGGTGGACAGATCTGTTTACTAAAAATTGCAAAAGTGCAAGATCAACAAGAAAATGCGCTAAAATTTAGTGGTTAAAAAGAAAGTCTAAAAACCTAAAACTAAAATATTAATTTTTTTTTAAAAATTAGTTAAGTAAATTAAGCTTTAAAGTAGTGACTAGAATTTAGACCTAGAAAGTCTAGACTCCATAGGCCTACTCAAAATCTAATAAGTCGATTCAAGTGACTAATAAATTTTTAATTAATTTAATTAGGCCTATTGTTACAACTATTGTATAATAATAGTAAAGTACAATAAATTGAATAATACAATTACAAATGTCTTTAATACAATAGTAATAAATTAATAATAGTTACTTTCTTATGCCCTACTTTTACTACTTAGGCTAATAGTATTTACTTTATTGAATTAATAATACTGATACATTACATTTAATTACATTACATAGGCCTAATGCCTAATACATAATATTAATTTCACAACTATTTGTATATGCTATTCCCAGTCGTAACTGTTTTTCAAATACATTTAATGATTAATGGGGTGTTGGGAAATTGCGAGACGTGAAAAGCAAAATGGCGAGGCGGGAAAATACTAGAAGATAATGCAAGACATACCTGCAGAATCAAGGGTAAATAGCGAGACACCTTTTGCGAAAAAAAGTTTTTTTCATGCTTTTTTCATCTTTATTTATTTAAATTATTTTTTTTTGTTTTAAAATCAACAACCATGTAGCTATACCCTTTAACACGAGTGTTGTAGGTTGTTATTTGTTATCTAGATTTCATTATATATATATAGATACTAAGAAGATAGACCTATATCTAGATCTATCTATTAAAAAATCCTAACAGCGTTGCTGTGCTACTGTCATCGCCCGCTATCGTTAGCAAAAAGAAAATCCCGTCTCTGTAATAGATTGAAATAATTGTGAGGTCAAGGGAACTCACTCTTCTGTATTAGTTATATTTATAATATTGTTATCTTGAGTGATGTCCCTTACATGTTTTTATGTATATAAGTCTCTGGCCACTTCTCTCTCGCTCTCTCTTCGCATGATGGCGTCTGTACATAATAAAGACTGTTATATACAACCACAGGCTTCTGTCGTCAATCCATTATAACTGGCGACGAAGGATAAACATCTACTAGAAAGAGCACCTACTTACGCAAAAAAGAGGTTTGCTAGAGCTTATTAGCTAATTATTTCTAGAATTATGGCGCTGTATGGCCAAATAAATCAATTTGATGCGAATGATGAAATCATTCAAGATTACCTAGAGAGGTTAAGCTTTTACCTAGAAGCTAACGACGTGACGATAGAAGCCAAAAAGAGAGCTGTTTTGTTAACAGTCATAGGGCCTCAACAATTTAGGCTACTAAAAGACTTATGCGCACCAGCTAGTCTAACTACCAAGAGCTTTAACGAGCTGAGCAAATTGCTAACAGACCACCATGCGCCTGTACCATCAAAGTTTCTATGTCGAGCTAGATTTGACAGTAGGACTCGTCAACCAAACGAGTCAATATCAGAATATGTTGCTGCTTTACGTCATTTAAGTAGATTTTGTGAATTCGGAGACACGCTGTCTGACAGACTATGTGAAAAGTTTGTGACAGGTGTAAACAGCCCTGATATTCAAAGAAAGTTGCTGCTCGAGTCAGATCTAAAATTAGAAAAAGCAATACAACTCGCAACTTCAATCCAGCAGTCATCAGATGCGGCGAGATCTTTAGCACCTTCAGAGATCCATGCAGTAAACAGCAGGTTAGTCAATAAAAACCAACCCCAACAGAGCATTCCAACTTATGCTAAACACCCTGCTCGTTCAAATCCTAGATCTAAATCTAGTAATAATTATCAAAAATGTCATCGATGCAAAGGTCCCCATGCATCTCATCGGTGCAAGTTCAAGTCTGCAACTTGTTATAAGTGCAGTGAGCAAGGTCACATTGCTAAGGCCTGCTTTGCAAAGTCTTCGTCTGTTGCTAAATCTAGCCAGTCAAGACAGTACCGCAACCAAAAGCAGCACTATGTTAACTCTCACCAAGACTACCTAACCCAACCAATGAACCACTCTACCTGTGAAAATTCTCAAACTGATTCGCAGCCGGATTTCAGCCTGTTCTCTGTGAAATCAATGAGTCATGCTCCCATCAATGTACAAGTTAATATCAACGGTAAGAGCATCAGCTTCCAACTTGACACTGGAGCATCTCTAACAGTCATAACAAAGAAAGATTTTGACGCTGTCACAGGAGGATCAGTGCCTCTACAGCCGTGTCACAAGTGTCTAACAACATACACTGGTGACAATGTTCCGGTAATAGGAGAGTGTATGGTTCATGTAAGTTATAATGGTCAAAGTGTTAAACTTCCTCTTCTTGTGGTTGAAGGAAATGGACCGCCATTACTAGGTAGGAACTGGTTAAGTGATCTTAAGTTAAATTGGGAGAGTATTTGTTCATTGAAGAATGTAAAAGAATCTAGTCTTACTTCACTAGATAAAGTTATATCTGAAAATAAATGTGTTTTTGGTAATCATGGATTACTAAATGATAGAACAGTGAAGTTAAGCATTAAAGATACAAATCCAAGATACTGCAAAGCTAGAGTTCCACCTTATGCAATGAGGAATAAAATTGAAAATGAGCTAAGTAGATTGGAATCTAATGGCATTATAAAGAAGGTAGACTATTCCGATTGGGCAACACCCATTGTGCCAGTGTTAAAGAAGGATGGTTCTATAAGAATTTGTGGAGATTATAAAACCACACTGAATAAGCAAATAGAGCTAAATAGGTACCCTATTCCTAACATTGAGGAAATTTCTTTGAATTTGGCAGGAGGAGACAAATTCACTGAATTAGACTTTAGTCATGCTTACACTCAACTAGAACTGCATCCAGATTCAAAAGTCTATACGACAATAAACACACATAAAGGACTCTACCAATATGAAAGACTATGTTTTGGCATATCATCTAGCCCTGGAATTTTCCAAGCTGTCATGGACAGTATTTTTAAGGACATTCCAAATGTTTGTGTGTACTTTGACAATGTGTACATAACTGGTAAGAATGACACTGAACATCTTAAAACACTTGATAAAGTATTGAAAATTGTTGGCGAAAAAGGTTTAAAGATAAACAAAGATAAATGTCAATTCATGTTGACAGAAATTAGTTTTCTTGGTTATATATTGAGCAAACAAGGTATCAGACCTCAACCTGAGAAAACAAAAGCCATTAAAGAAGCACCCAAACCTGAAAATACCCAACAACTAAGAGCTTTTTTGGGCTTAATAAATTACTATGCAAAGTTCATAGGAAATCTGTCTGGTAAACTATCACCACTGTACAAGCTGCTACAGAAAAATGCAACTTGGCACTGGGGTAAACAACAAGAAGCTGCTTTTAATACAGCAAAAGAGGCTTTGTCTGCTGACACCTTACTAACTCACTATGACCCAGGGAAAAGACTTATATTAATATGTGATGCTTCACCAGATGGTGTAGGAGCAGTCTTGTCCCACATGGATGAGAAGGGTGACAGACCCATTGCTTTTGCCAGTAGATCTTTGAACCAGGCTGAGAAAAATTATTCTCAGTTAGATAGGGAAGGCTTAGGCATCATTTTTGGTGTTAAGAAATTTCATAAGTTTCTGTTTGGTAGGAAGTTCACCATCATTACAGATCATAAACCATTGCTAGGTTTATTTGGAGAAAACAAAACCCTACCTGAGCATGCCTCACCAAGAATTCAAAGATGGGCTATCACACTAACTGCATACAATTATGAATTGAAATACAAACCTGGATCTGATAATAGTGCAGATAGTCTTAGTAGATTACCTTTAAAAAACCAAAGCCTGAGCTATGTACCAGAAGATGTATTTGTTCTCTTCACTATCATGGATAACTCCAATATAGATGTGAATGATATTAAAAGAGAAACACAAAAAGATGAGTGCTTAATAAAAGTATATGAGCACTGTATGAATGGTTGGCCTGAAGAGTCTGTGAATGATGACTTAAGGCCATATAAAATAAGAAATTAAAACCCTTTGTGAAGATAATATAAAAGATGGAGAAGATGCAGTCCATTATCAGTCAGAGTTGCCTAAACAAAGTATTTGTAACTTAATAAATGATTATGGTGATATGGCAATTTCAAATGTTTTAAAGAAAATACATTAGTAAGAAAGAATGTGATCATCAAACAACTTTGCTAACATCATTAGCACTTACAGAAACTAAAAGGGTAACATCAAAAGAAGAAAAAGATTTTTGCCATTTAATACACCCACTTCAAATACTGGATCACAGTTGCAAAGTGATATGGTCCAGAATATTACTCATAAACAGTATTTTTAGTTACCAGGAAAGCACTATCAGATTACCTGAGGAAATTGATCAATCAAAGAAATCTATGTCAGTCAAGGATCTGAATAACAGCATAATACTTTCAGATGCCAATTCAAAAATAGTTCCATTAAATCATGACAACTCATGCATTGAAAGAGAATTTGGTGTTAATAAGAATGTGTATCTAAGAAATTATGGGAGAAAGGAAAATGGATACCAGGTCAAATTGTTCAATGTACAGGACCTGTGTCTTATAAAGTTAAAAATAACTTGTGCAGATAATAAGTGTGAATCTATCAATCCCACCAAATCTGAACAGTTCACACCAACTCAGTTGTTCCACAACCAAGTTCTGTTGATATGAGTGAACCAAGTTGTCTAGAGTCAGAAAATGTAAATTCTGGAGTTAATGATTTAAATCCTAGACCTCCTGAGATAGAGAATCCAGATGGTCAGAATCTTGAGTCACCAAATCAGAAGCCACTGAGAAGGTCAAGCAGGACAATCAAAGTCCCAAATAAGTTAGACCTATGATTTTAAAGGTCAAAAGGACTTTGACATTATTGTTTTGTATTTTGATTATGTTGTAGCATATTGTGCATTGTTTGTAAGGATGTAATCTACCATAGTGTTCATGTTACAATATAATTGGTGATTTTAGGATACTATCAATTGTCCTATTGAGAGATGTGTTATTGTGTTCTAAGGGTAAAGGGATGTAATAGATTGAAATAATTGTGAGGTCAAGGGAACTCACTCTTCTGTATTAGTTATATTTATAATATTGTTATCTTGAGTGATGTCCCTTACATGTTTTTATGTATATAAGTCTCTGGCCACTTCTCTCTCGCTCTCTCTTCGCATGATGGCGTCTGTACATAATAAAGACTGTTATATACAACCACAGGCTTCTGTCGTCAATCTATTATAGTCTCAGTCTACATTAATTTTAAAAATCTAGGCCGCTCATGTTTATACAAACGTGAGCTGTGTCATTGTGAATTGGTATAATCTTGTCAACAGGAGAGATATTCTGCAACATGTATTCATGGATTGTTGTACTTGCTATAATACAAAATTTCTATGCAACAATACGAAATAGGTTTGCGGCAGCAGCGGATTCGGGCACGGTGATCTTCAAAGATGGTAAATCAGGCGGCCTCGGCGTTCCACACAAAAGAAAGGAGTTGATCTAGCGTCGGCGGTATTTGGGGCGGTTTCGAACAAGGTGATATTCTAAGTCGACACAAAAGATGGGGGGAGTTCACAAATCATCAGTATGTCTAGCGACGGAAAAATTGGAAGTTTTAACAATGTAAACGAAATGTCTTTGAAGTCTGCACCAAATACCACTGTAAATCGGGTGGGGTAAATTTTTCGCAGAAATCTTTGCATTTTAACACCATCTAGCGGAAGTATCAGGTTGTGGTAATATGCAAGACAAAAAGTCACGTGACCGACCGTTTTCGCGCCCTTCTCGCATTTTCCCGCCTCGCCAATTCGCTTTTCGCGTCTCGCAATTTCCGAACACCTCATTAATGTTTAAAATTAAAATGTCTAAAAATTATGAAGCTTTGTATTATGTATGTCACCGAGTGGAACAATGAGGGGATTTTGTGCCTGCTGTTGTAGCTATTCCCAGCGAACTGGGAAATGCCTTGGTTTTACATAATCATGTCTAATGCTACATTTTCTAGACTAGTGGCTAGATTGCACCCACTCTTAATTATAAATCTAGTATAGCGCATCATGGCTAGGCCTAGTCGAGTGGACGAGCAATGAATATTAATTTAATAATTTTCATTAGGCTTATATTTATTCAGATCAATAGGCTTCAGCTTACAATATTATAGATATATTTCTCAAATCCCATTTCTACCTAGCCTCCTAGATCTAGATCTCATAATTAGACTTTTTAAACCTAATTTAAAAAACTATAATATTAGGCTAATAAACATTCATTAATAAGATAGTGGTACCTCAACAAATGAGTCCTTTGACATGAGGTTTTTGAAATACAAGCAGTGAAGTGATCAATTTTTATGGTTTCAGATATGAGCAAATTGGCTCCGCAGGTTTCACTATTTATTTATGGAAAACAAACACAGCACATTACAGCTATTTAAGATATTTGTCTTACTCATTTCTGCATCTTTGAGAAAGGGAGGATGAAACAAGCCTCATTTGCAGGTTTTGTATTAAAAAGCCTGCAGGTGAAAGTGATGATGACCCTGCTTTAATTTAGTCCATGATTATAGTTACACGCAATATCCATAGTGTATGGCACTCTTCAAATTGAACCTAGGCGTCATAGTGCTCATGGTGCAGCCCGGGTTGAACAAGGTCATACAACTGCCAGGGCACTGGATGATGCCCGTTGTTCAATTTAGACATCAATTTTAGTATCTATCGAGATTGGCGATATTAAAATGTATTTAGGTACCAAATTGGTCACGGGGGTTGCCAGGAAGCTCAGGGCACCCAACAGTAGTGGGCATTGGCAGATGAGACTGGTGTAATTTAGTCAATTATTATAGTAGCCCACCAATCCCATAGTGTATGGCACTATTTAAAATGAACATAGGCTCCTAGTGCTCAAGGAAGAGGCTGGAGCACACCGGAGTGATACTTTAATTATCCTTAATATTAGTGAGTTAGAATACGCCTTGATGACCACGTCGTGGGGCCCTTTGGGAGCCAACGGTTACACTACTACAAGAGCGAAAGGTACAGTCCCTGGTCAGTTTAATAATGGCTTGTCGTGTATTACCATGTCCCAGGTTACTCAGGTCATCCAACTGATGAGGTGGTGGCGGACGCACCTGATTCAATTTAGAAGACGATAATAGTAGCCCATCTTATCCATAGCGATCGCACTCTTTAAAACTAACGTAGGCACAATAGTACTTACGGAGGAGCCCAGGGCGCCAAATTGCAACCTGCCATGGCACCAGCGGACCCGCCTGTTAAGATATTATGAACAATTAGTGTAAACTGTCATATCTTTAAAACTGAACGTTAGTGCCATAGTGCTCAAGGGGAAGTCCCGAGCGCCAAATCGCACCCTGTTGTGGCATCAGAGGACGTACCTGATTTGATTCAGTGAACAATTATAGTAAACCACAATATCCATAATGTATTGCACAAACGTATGCATCATAGTCACGGGTGCTAAATCACACCCTGCCAGGATGCCGCCCCTGCAAAATTTAAAAAAAAAACATTTTCTGCACAAACCTCCCCTGGAGTATTCTTATCAACTCCTCAAAGTTTCATGGCAATCAGATGAAAGGTGTGGTAATGCATAAAGGACAAACCCATAAACAAGCCTATCTCTATTATTCTATTAATGGTTAAATGGCCCGTTGAAGGAGAAATTCAATGGGCGCTAGATTGATAGTGTTTTCTTTTTCTCTAAACCAAAACCAAAATCACCACCTCAACTCCAAATTTGACCAGAGATGAAAAAAGTCATCAAATACGGAATTTTATCCAGAATCTGCATTTAGTTACTGCACATTCATACTAAATATAGTCAAAGTCATACTCCTAAACCTTTCACCTAAGCTCAAACTTGACAAAAGTCGCATTTAGAGTTACTTTCATAGAATTCAGAAAATATATTTTTACTAGTGCCCGTCCCCCTCCCCGGAATTTTTAGTCCACCACCCCTGTAGATCATACAGATTAAAGGTAGAAACTACATTTATAATTTAGACTCGTTTCCTACTAAACCTCAATTATACAGACATTGTTTCTTTCAGACTTTTTTCCGGGGTTGGGGGTGGGGCACTTGAAATTTTTGCAGCGGTGAATAAAATTTCCCGGGGCAGGGGGACAGACACTGGTTTAAGTATATATTTTCTATATAAAATCTATTTCGTTGGGGATGGGGGTGTTTTGCCGAAGAGATGCCTGAAAGAAACTCTGCACACAAACCACTTTTAAGACAAAACAAATGAATTAGGCAATAGCTGTAATGTCAGTGTCTTTATTATTGAGTATTGATGATGTCATTATTATTGTGTATTTTTTCAGCATTGGCTTTTTAATTCTATCTTTACTCGGGAATCAATGGCATCATTTTATTGTGTGTACTTTTCCGGGTTTTAAACTGTACATATTTCGTTTCATTTTGAAAATGTTCTATATTTTCCATGTGACGTCATGGTCATGGAAAGTTGCATTTTTCATTTGACTGTGAAAGTTTTTATTTTGCTTGTGTTTTCTCTAGAGCATTCCTGACAGAATGACAGAATAGCAAAACTATTATAATGATACTATAGGGTCAATATTGTACATTTTTTTTATTGATTATAGTGTCAGAATTAGAAAATGATTAGGGATAAAGTCAAGATTCGGGGTTCAGAACTTAAGGTAGAGCCAGGGTAGCTAAACAATATTAACAAAAACATAGTTTCATGGCCAAGTATATATAATAGTTTCATCTTAACATGCTTGCATTTTATAAGTAAAATAAAACATCAATATCTGCTTATTGATATATTTGCTTAAATTTTCAATTTCTAGGCCAGATGGTAAAAAGATTCGCAGTAAACAAGAGTTGGCTAGAATTCTGGGTGAAACATTTGATTTAAGTGCATTTGATTTTTGTACCAGACGTGCTGCCAACAGTGCTAGCAGAAAAAGAAAATGTCAGAAAGAATCTTCTTATGATTTTGCTAGAGGTATGCACTTTTATGTTGTAGTTATAGTAACTTTTCTACTTAAGCAAATCATTTTTTTTTTTGTCTTTTAAGAGAACAAGGAGTTAAGTCTTGAATAGTTTAGCAGTTTTGTCTGAGTGGATCTTGTTATTTGCACGGCAAAATCAAAATTCCTGTTTTTATTTTCTTTAGTCGTTTACAAGACATCTTTAAATTTAAAATGCCAAATGTTTTAATAACTTCAAAAAGCTTGCTCGGGGTCAAGTTAACTTTTGTTTTTCCTTTTACTTTTGGTTATAAATTTACTTCATTAAAAGCTGCTAGTGGTGACTTAATTAAAATACGAATAACATTCTAGGTGTGCACCATGATGCCAATCTTGGACTACCTACAGTTATAACGAACACACCCGAGTGTAAAACTGAAGTTGAACTCAAGAATGGAATTCAGGATCAGTCAGGGCAGGTTAGTTTTTATATCTTGAGGGGAATTATGTTCTTTTTTGTGAAAATCTATCTCCCTCTCTAGATCTATAATGTAGTGTGTCAGTCTTTCCTTCCTTCCTTCTGTCATCGCTATAGATTTTGGAACCATAAAAGTAAACACATCACATGTTGTGCTTTTTACTTGCATCGCAGTGTCTTATTTTATGAAATAGAGTAAGGTTTGTTTATTTAATGACTTAAATTTATTTAATAGTTGCTACAGTTTTTATCCTTTCGTATAACATAAAGAAAATATTAAATACACGCAAATTGATAAAACATTAAACAGATCAATGTCAAATATCATTTTCGTTTTTATTCCCAGAAAAAGTGGATACATTTTAATAATAGTAGGGTCAAATTAATTAATTAATTATACTGTTTTGTAATTTTGCCAAGGGAGGTAATTTAAAAATAAATTCAACTCACACTAATACCAAAATGTGAATGCAAAATCTCCAAGAGGGAATTATTGTTGGAATAATATAATTAGCAAAATGTGAATGCAAATCAAATCTGCAGAGGACATTATTGTAAGAGGACATTATTGTTGGAATATTATAATTAGCATGGATTGATAAAAGGCAATCTTTTATTTATTTTATTCACTAAACCTCCTGTTAACTAACGCGTCATCATGTTCATTAGGTGCGCAATGGTTTTAGTCATGAAACTATTGTAAATTTTTTTAAATTTTAAGTACTGAAAAAAATGCATGAATTGATAAAGTGCAATATAGTAGGTAAAACACGGATATTTTAAATACTGCCTTTTATTTATTTTATACATTGAACGTACTGTTTACTAATTATTAATCTAACTTTCCGTTTGCGGGCAAGCTGGGGGTTTTATAGTCATTGTGTTTGTGTTTTCTTTTGTGGTTGTGTTGTGTTTGTGTTTTCATTTGTGTTGTGTTTAGTTTTGTTCTGTTCCCAAGTTGGTACATTTAAAAAAGAGCACGGGTATGCAGCTAGTATGTCTATATATATATATATAAAGCAATATCTGTTTGTTTGTCTGTCTGTCTTTTATGTTTTACTGCACCTTTCATCACATCGCCATGAAACTTTGGGAAGTAGTTTAGAATACTCCTGGGGAGGGGTTTCTGTGGGGGGAAAACATTTCAACAGGAGGGCGCAATTTTGTTTTTTCTATATATACGGTATATAAAAATAAAAGTCGATTGCTGTTTCACACCGTTCATCCGATCGCAATCAAACTTTGGGGAGTTAATAAGAAAACTTCAGGGAAGGGTTCTGCATAAATTTTTAAAAATTTCACTATGGTGGCGTCCCAGGACGGTGCGATTTTTATATATATACGGTATATAAAAAAAAATTGTGTGCGATTCAACACCGTTCATCCGTGTGCCATAAAACTTTGGAGAGTTGATGAGAATACTCCCAAGAAGGTTTCTGTTTATAAAATAATTAAAATTTGATATGGGCGGTGCCAGGGAAGGTGCAATTTTTGTCAATACAAGATTTGGCGCTCAGAGTTCCAGAGCGGCTATGTTAGCACTTGGCATCAGTTAATCCCTGCGAGCACTATGGGCTTACGTTGGTTTAAAAAAAAAGGCCATACACTAAAGACACGATGGGTAACAATATTCTTTGACTGTATCAAACCAGGCGTGTCCCCCAGCGCCCCTGCAGGGTTCGATTTGGCGCCCTGGACTTTCCAGTGAGCACGATGGCGCCAACATTCGTTCTAAAGAGTGCGGTAAACAATGGATAAGATGGGGCGTTACAGTCGCTCACTAAATTGAATCAGTGTGCCGGTGCCCTGGTAGGATGTGATTCGGCTGCGAACAAATTGAGGGCCCTATAATTAATTTTTTTTTATTAAACATATTATTATTAACCGGGTTGTTTCCTTTTGTCCATAAAAAATCCAAACAATTCCAAAGCCTACAGTTCTCAATATAATGAATATTACGCTAAAAATTTAGTTTCGTAGGGCAAATCAAATCTAAAAATAAAAGTCACACTTCTAAAAATAACTTTGTAACGCAAGGAAATTCTTCTTTACAGTTTTGTCACTTTGCAAATGATGCAAATAGCATGTATTTTTAGACAACCCAATCAGAAATTGAGATCGAGCATCTAATAATACACCATTAGTAACACTAAGAAATCGCATCAGTCAAACTGAAGTTGATAACACGTCAAATAATTTTTTTTCTACGTGCCAAAGACGCAATCTGCATAATTGTTTCAGGATGCTATTTGGCACTCTGGGTTATCCTGTGAGCTCTGTGGCACCTATGTTAGTTTTAAGGAGTCTCTGCGGTAGTGTAATCGGGGACTCCTTTCATCCGATCACCATGAAACTTTGGGGAGTTGATGAAAATATTTCAGGGGATGTTTTTGCTGGGGAAAAAAAATTTGATTTCACAGGGGAAGAGCCCTGGCAGGGGGTCTATGTTCATTGTAAACAGTGCAATAGACTATGGATAGGATGGGGTATTATAGTCGTTTACTAAATTGAATCAGGAAGGAGCGTGGCCCCCAGCAAGGTGCAATTTTGCGCCCTGGACTTTCCAGTGAGTGCTATGGTGTATACGTTCACTTTAAAGAGTGTGATAGGCTGTGGATATTATGTGTTACTATTGTTCACTAGATTGAATCAGGCGTGTCTTCTGGTGCGATTTGGCTCTTAGGGCTATCTTGTGAGCGAAAATGGCGCCCACATTTGTTGTAAAGAGCACCCTACAATATTGACACAGTGGCACACGACATTCAATGATTTAACTGAGCTAGAGGGTGTATTCTGCGCCCAAACAGCAATGTAACTGTGGGCGCCCCTCTATGTCCCTAACACTTGGGCTGTCCCCGAAGTGTGTTCTACCTCAGTATTATGGAGAGTGGTTAACTTACACTAAAGGCTTTCATAGGCCATGCTCTGGGGTGTACTGGGTGGTAGTGGTAGTGTAGGCAAAGCCGTGCCCTGACAAATATGATCCAAGAAATATAGCACAGGTGTTGTTTACATCTAAATAACTCAGTGTTAGAAAACTAGTTCACATGTCTAAGAATATAGGATTGGTAACGCATTGATAAAAACCTCTTAAAATATTGCACCAGACTTTCTTCTGAGGCCGCTGTAATGCGTGAGAAGGGGCACGCAAGTAAAAAAAAATAGGGCTACCTATATAAAATTGTATGTATAAAATTTATATGTCCCTGAACTATCTGCTTTAAGAATTTCTAAATGACTAACATAACACATTTTTTTTGTGTGTTTTTTTTTAACTAGATATTTTTGGAAAAACGCTTTCATGGTCTTCATGCGTGTAACAACAGCGAGGAAGTTATACCATCCCTGAAATTACCCTACCAAATACAGAGTAAGTTTAATTATCTCCGATAATGTTAACGTTTTAATAACATTTTAGATCTACTTAAGACCACATTATAAAAATATAGATCTAATCATCGCTTAACATTTGTTAGGGTCATTGGGGCACCACAGAGTGGTGCATCTAGGTCAAGGTGTTGCGTAGTGGTGCCCACCCCTCTCCATGCCTGACCACAAGCGGATGGCTCCAGCTAGGTGGCTCGTCTAGGTCAAGGTGTTGCGTAGTGGTGCCCACCCCTCTCCATGCCTGACCACAAGCGGATGGCTCCAGCTAGGTGGCTCGTCTAGGTCAAGGTGTTGCGTAGTGGTGCCCACCCCTCTCCATGCCTGACCACAAGCGGATGGCTCCAGCTAGGTGGCTCGTCTAGGTCAAGGTGTTGCGTAGTGGTGCCCACCCCTCTCCATGCCTGACCACAAGTGGATGGCTCCAGCTAGGTGGCTCGTCTAGGTCAAGGTGTTGCGTAGTGGTGCCCACCCCTCTTCATGCCTGACCACAAGCGGATGGCTCCAGCTAGGTGGCTCGGCTTGGTCACAAACACGTTGCCGTTGAAGTTCATCTAGAAACTGTTGCGCCTCGACTAAAGTGATGCAGTGTTAGCATCAGTTTAATTATGGAGTTTTTGTCTCCTAGATGAGTTGCTGTCCCTAGCTATCAAGCCTCATATGCCTGGGGTTTGAACACGGGACTTTTTGGTTTAGCACCCATGAGATATACTGACTCCTAAAATGTGTTTATTAGATCTATTAGACAAACATTTTGAAAAAGTATTTCAGATGGGAAAAAAGAGTTTGTCATGATTTATTTTCTCCACAGTTATAATGAATTGATGACACAAATTTTTTCTTGAAGAAAAGGTTGATGTTAACATTTTACTTACCAAGTATTAGCTTCAGAGCAATAATATAACTCATAAGATATACATTAAAGAATATCAGGATAAGTTCTTGTGTGAAAAGATTTTAAATCGATGTATACAAATTAATATAAAGATTTCTGCTGTTAGCAATCTCATACGTTTTCTTATTTAAAACAACACAGGAAGGAAAAAAGTGCGTGCTCCCAAGCTAACACTTGTTGAAGAACTAACTAAAGGGCTACAAACTGATCCTGCTGTGATACGGTCCAATTTTACAGTCAAGGATGAGGATGGAAAAGGAAGGGGAGTTTACTTAAAGCTACCTATTTTGCGCAAGGATTCTTTTGTTCTTGAATATGAAGGAGATGTTATATCAGAGGCTGAGGCTCAAAGTAGGGAGAAAATTTATGCATATAACAATGAAGGCTGCTTCATTATGTCCTTTGTTTTTAGGGTAAGAATATACAACTTTAATTTTTTTGTATAAGTACATTTATGTCGAAAAGCGCTAAAGTGTAGTTTTTTACACATAGTAAAATAGAATATTATCAGAAAATTATTTTCTTTTAAAGTTATATAAATTATAAGAAATATTTTAGATTTACTTTGAAACAAATTTGTAACAAATAATGCACCTTCTTAGAGAAAAAAATTAGCTGTGGATGCTACAAGAAGGTATGATTCAATTACAAGACTACTCAACCATTCAAGACAACCAAATATCAAGTTCCATGCTCCTTTATTGTTAGACCTTTCAGGCAATGGCTTGCCTAGAATAGCAGCTTATGCACTGAGAGATATTCACAGGGGTGAGGAAATTGTCTTTGATTATGGTGTCAGAGACAGGCATATACCTTGGTTAACCAGCAAACAGGTGGGTTTGGATTGTTTTTAAACTAAATTCTTGAAACACCAGGTGGTTCATTGTTTATAATTTAATCGTGATTAATATTTAAGTAAAATGTTTTCAATTTAGTTACACCCTGTGAGATGTTCCTAACAGCCTTAAACCAAATTCATTTTTCTCTAGGCTGGCTATGTCTCCGATATCGACACAAGTTCTGATGAGGAGACAAATGAAGGATGCATATCAATGCGGATATCTCCTCATGAAAGATCTGATTATGCCTACAAAGAAAATGAAGCATCAGAATCTAAACCCACGACATTTAAAGAAAATGAAGCATCAGAATTTAAACCCATGACATTTAAAGAAAATGAAGCATCTACTTCTAGCAATTCCAGCTCTACCAAAAGTGAAGAATTGTCAAGGAAACATTTAACTTTTAAGCAAAAATCAAAGGCAGCTTTCTCAAATAAATCACTAGGAAATTTCAGAGTATGTTGTGGTTGGAGGTTTACCCGTTTGATACCAGGGAGCAACAGCTTTTATGCTGGACTAGAAAATATTGGACCAGATATGAAGATTCACAAAATGTATGAAGATTTCTCCAGACGTATGAACAAAATTGAGGAAGAAATCATTTGTTTGTCAGATACTGACGAAAGTACATCTTCAATACAGAGAGAGACTTTTGAAATTTCTTCAGTATCTGATGTAGATCAACCAAATACTGTTTTAAGTAATCTGTCATCCAACATTAACACTAATAGTGATAGTAAGGTGCTGGACTGGCTACCATCTGTTAGAGAGAGTAGCAGTGGTTTGTCTCAGGATATGGATATTAAAATTATATGTGTCCAAAGTCTTATTGATCCAGAGCCAAAGAACTTGAATGTAAAGCAACCTTCCACTGAACAAAAGCAGCAACCTGAGCCAGTCTTAGTAATAGAAGACTCGTCTGAAGATGAAACATTAACAGCTTTACAGAACCTCACATGTCACAAATCTACAAACCTAACAGGTTCCAGCCCATCATCTGTTAGCAATCCTTTGCCAAACATTTCTGAACAATCACATTCATCTACTGATTGCTGTGTATCTTCAAAACATAGAGAGACTTCTAAAAGTCCTTCCGTTTATGATATTGTTGATCAACCAAAAACTGTTGGAACATTTCATATAACAACATCATATAATATTTGGCAAAGGCTAAGTTATCCAGTAACTTTACACAGTACAGGGTATCATTAAAATTGTAGACACCAAAGTTCGATATGATTATTTATTCTTATTCATTTTTAATTTGAATGTATTGTAATTGTAAAAGGGGAGTTCCTCCAATTGAATTAAGTATTATGTGTCAACTTGTTATGTACCATATGGCCTGATGACGTTAGCTTCATTTTTTCTTTTTTTTTGGATGTGTTGTCAAGGATAATGTGTAAGGCATCCATTGTTTGATTTTGGAGTTTTCTCTCCTAAATAGGTGCTGCCCTGAACTAATGAACCTCATCTGCCCAGTATTATAATGATAATGCTGATAGAGGAGCAGCCAAAGACTTCCACATTTTCTCTTTATAATGGTAAATCTTCTAGTGTTAACATCAGCTGTTATCACTACATTCTCGTACATTGTTTAATAAATTCTACTTCACACAATAGAGAGTTCATTTTTTTGGACAAGCGAAAAAACTCTTTTAACTAAGCCATAAACAATAAACATGTGTTTATTGTGATACTTGTGTCTGTGACAGATCCGGCTAACTGCTTATAAAATTGGCCAGGTTGTTACGTGCATTGTTGGATTGAGCAGAGGCGTAGCGAGGGGGGGGGGGTGCGGACCGCACCAGGTGACACCAAGGCAAGAAAATAGCAAACTATATATAGAAAAGCGATAATTTCACTTAATTAAATAATTAATTAGAGTGAGTTAAATAGCCTTTTAAGAGCAAAGTGGACAAATCCTGACGTAAACCTGCTAATGATAAAGAAAATATGCAACATTCAGCTGAATTTATAACCGAATATAGATATAAATCGTTAGTTTTATCTGAGCTCAGTTTAAAGCAATCACCGGGGGGGGGGGGTTATATCAACTCAACGTTGCAATATATATGCATGAGGAAAACGTTTTGGTTGAGAATCGTATGTATGTATGGGGTGGGGATAAAAAAATTAAATACATCCAGAAGAAAAAAATTGAATACATATACACATGCATATACACATACTTACACGAGTGTATATGGAATAAGAGGCGTAGCAAGGGGGGGGGGGCATGTCCCCCGCAGAGTTTCTTCCAGGCATCTCTTGGGGGGGGGGGTGCGAAGCCTCCCCGAAAAAGTTTTACCCCCCCCCCCCCGAACGAAATGAAATTTATATAGAAAATATATACTTTTAACAGTGTCCGGCCCCCCCCCCCCCCCCGAAAATTTTAAGTGCCTCCCCGGAGAAATAAGTCTGGAAGAAACACTGGTCCCCGGGCGCCGACCTTAGGGGGGGGCGCCAAATTGAAAGTTTGAGGGGGGTGCACATCGAAAGTTTGGCGCCGGGAAGGGTCGCTACGCCTCTGGAGTATATATATATATATATATATATATATATATATATATATATATATATATATATATATTCTCATGGAGGGGGGGGTGGCACCATTGGGTGCCGACCCGGGTGACACCCGTCCTCGTTACGCCACTGGGATTAAGGCTAGGGACCCAGCTTTTTACCCATATTTTCTCTTATCAGCGATGCTAAATTATCGTCTTACCAACTTTTTGTTATTTACTATTTATTAATAAGTTGTTTTAATATTTTAAGTTTAAAAGCGAATACATTTTATTTGATTTTTTAATTGCGCAAACACAAAAAAAATAAAACTATAAAAGATATTTTCAACATGAAAATACCTTCGGACAACAAAAGAAGCCAGACAATGTTAGCTAATTCCAACGCGTTTGTTGTAGACCCTTTATAGAAAACAAAATTCTCTCCCACCCACTCTCAAAATATATTTTTGTTTGGTCACGTAAAAATTTCAATCAGTGTGAAGTCCTTTATGCGATCCTATTTAGTCAGATGTACACAACTTGAGACTGATCGCACACAATATACATCAAACAGTTCAAATGTCTATTAAGATCCAGCATCGTCCACTACATTTGTGAAGAGCTGTGATCTACACCAGGGGTCTCCAAACTACGGTCCGCGGGCCAGATGCGGCCCTCGAGGTCCTCTCATCCGGCCCGCGGAGATCTTTTTGTCCACGGAAAAAACGTTTGTTGGTGATGGCTGATAAACTTTGCTCAGAAAAATCACGACATGCCTAGAAACAAATTGGCCCCCGAACTGAAATATGATAGTTCATGCGGCCCTCGGACTAAAAAGTTTGGAGACCCCTGATTATTCTACACAATACAAAATATCAAGAACCACAATCCTGTGTTTACAACACTTCTTACCAAGTAATGGAAAGCTTTTAAACTGTTATTAAAAATCACAACTTCATAGTCAATAGTTATGTCTTTTGTTGCATTTTTTTTACAATGCAAGTTTTTTTAGGCAATAAAACAGATCTGTGGGAATGGGGCCAGTGTTGCAGACAGGACTACGATGTTGCAGACCGGGTGCCTAGTCGCCGGCCAAATACGTTGCTGACACTGACTGGGGCACTAGCCAATAAGGCCGTCGTTGTCTTGGGGTATTTAATAATTCTAGTCAACTACAGTAAAATATACAACGGGACATGAGATCTGCTTATTTTATGTTGTTTATTAATTAACTAAATGCTTGTTCCGCCGAGCGAGGCTTCCCCTAACCGCCAACGTCGGGAGCGCTTGTGCGAGAGAGAGACTAACTAACCTGCCTGTATTTATACCCTGTTCTTACCCCCTAGCTATTCCCACGGGACAATGAGCTCAAAACTTGTGACCTAACAAATTATCCCCCCTGGCGCTAACAACCCTGGCTACTGGTCAGTATAAAGCTACTATTGTCCTGTCAGAGCGGTCAGTCTCTTTGAACGCGTCACCTACTGTCCATCCCTACTGTGTACCCTGTAATTATCTAGTGAATGGATGCTTGTGGAATTCTGACCCAACAGCCAGGTATTTGGGGATGGGTGAGTGCATATAAAACTCCAAAAGCGGCAACCTTTCAATTTCATCAATTTAATGTTTTCCTCTCTTGAAATTTTGTTTGATATTATTTTGCCAGCTCCTTTCCATTCCATTGTATATATAAACCCATTCAATATAAACGTGTTATGCATCCCTAAAAGATAGTCAAACAATGCTTAGGGCATCTTGTCACTAAAAAAACAAACAAAAAGAACTTAAAGTTAGTTTAAATCCCGCCTCAAAATTTGATATGTATTTCAACACCCGGTACATAACCAATTACAAACTGAGAAATGAAATGTAGGCATACTATAGTGTGTTGTGTGCTGGAGGTACATAGCTCATTGTAAGACAAACTTAAGCAGAGGACAAAAAGGCAAAACAACTTTGTAATGCTGGTTGAAAGTTGATACTGGGCAATGAATTGATCAAACTGGGAGTGGGGTGGGCGTCCTACAGGCTGTGACCCTGAGAGTAAGGTTTATAAATAGTCATAAACGTTATTGGGAGCACAACAGAAACAAGTCTTGAACGCTGTTGTCTAAACTCAAGTGCTAATGATAAAGGAATATATTTGCCAGTTTTAGCATAGCAGGTAAAAAGGACCAACACGTTTTGAGTCTGAACTATCAATATCAGAGGTGAAGATGAAGAATGGCAGCCATCAGTATCAGAGGTAGAAGATGACGAATGGCAGCCATCAATATCAGAGGTGAAGATGAAGAATGGCAGCCATCAGTATCAGAGGTGAAGATGAAGAATGGCAGCCATCAGTATCAGAGGTAGAAGATGAAGAATGGCAGCCATCAGTATCAGAGGTAGAAGATGAAGAATGGCAGCCATCAGTATCAGAGGTGAAGATGAAGAATGGCACCAATCATTACTTGAAGACAATGCTGGTTCAGTTTCAAGCAGCTCTGATGACGAAGGCTACCCAATATACTCAGTGGCGTAGCTAGGATTTTTGGGCCCCTATGCAAAAAGTGTTAGTGGGCCCCTCAGAGGCGTAGCGACCCTTCCCGGCGACCGGGGACAAACTTTCGATTTACACCCCCTCAGACTTTCGATTTGCACACCCCCCCCCCCCTCAGACTTTCGATTTGCACCCCCCCTTCAGACTTTCGATTTGCACCTCCCCCCCCCCTCAAACTTTCGAAAAAGGGCCCCTATTTGCCTTGGGCCCCTATGCCTTGCTTACGCTAGCTTTACGGTAGCTACGCCACTGAATATACTGCATTTCAACTATCAATAACGTGTCAACGGTTGGCACTCATAATGAAATAAAACTGATGGTGCAAAATGAAGAAAAAGAAATATTTTCAGGAAAGACAAAGTAGCAGTATACTAGACCATTGCCTGAAGTGCAAATCCCTGGAAAAATAAAAACAGCCTGACTGAAAATATTTCTTCTGTACATGAATACAAAAAATAATACAACCGATATTTGACTGCATTAGCAGGGATGGAGAGAAAGGGGACACACTGGCACTCTGCAGAATAACAATTTAGTTGTATGTCGATTCAGTTCTGTTTATGGAAGATTTTGAAGGCAGAATTTTCTATGAAGAGATTCAGCAACCTTCTGGATCATATTCACTTTCACAACAATAACACTAACAGTCCATCAGGCTCATGGTATATTTGCTCCCATTATGGTAGATATTCCATATAAATTAAGCAGGGTGTTATTTTTCTGGAGAGATCATTACTAATTGGGCAACTGGTTGATTTTAGAGGTGAAAGTAGATTTATCCAATACATAACAAGCAATTCCGATAAGTATGGAATTAAAATATTTTGGGCATGTTACTCATGTAACACCACTAAAAGGGTGCCCATATTTTGTCAAAGAAAACTAAATTTCCCTGCCAGCAAAAGGAAATGTCCAGTTATTTTTAATTTTATCTAGATTAACAACTGTGCTCTCTGAGGTGCAAATTATTAAAACATGTTAATGTTCTATTATTTTATTACTAAAGTTGATTACTTCAATCCTGTTTGATATCTTTGTTACTCAAATACCTTCAGATTGTTAATTTATAGTTAAACTTTGAAAATTTAACACAATGACTTAACCCATATGAGTAAAAACAAATATTTAGAAGCCAGTTTATAAGTTATAAATATTTTACACCCAGTTGCCAGGGACCGTATAAAAAAATTTCAAACCCTCATTAAAAAAATTGTTTACGGATATTTTTAAAATGTACAACCTCCAATGTGTTCATCCCAACCACCTTATAGATGGGAATGAGGCCCAGAAAAATGTATAAAACGAGACTCGAGATATGAGCAAAAATATAGCGACTTCGGGTCGATTACATTCAGTCGCCGGGGAAAGGGTTGAACATTAGTACAGTGAAATAGTTTGACTGTTTCTATCATTAACTGTCAGCTAAATATTCGGACTTTGGCCGGGTGCTCCTAGCCAGTCCGCGAACTGGTTGGCTAATGTCCGAAATTAAGAAACATTTCGGACATTAACGCCCCTGGCCAGTCCACCGACTGACCGGTCAATGGGATGTGGTATTGGCTAATGACTCATTGACTAGCTTCGACCTTTGACCGTAACATTTTGGCTTTTATATATAGATTATATATAGCCTATATATATGTATATGTATATATATATATATATATATATATATATATATATATATATATATATATATATATATATATAGGCTCCCGACAGATAGGCTCCCGACATATTGGCTCCCGACATAAGGGCTCACGACAATTGGGCTCTCGAGATAATGGCTTCCGACAAAATGACTCAGGACATATTGGCTCCAGACAAATGAATGGCATGACCACTATTAGCAAAAAAGTAACCATTTTGTCCTACCTCCAATATCACTATAACCTCTTTTAAATGCCTGAATGAAGTTGTTTTTCATGAACCAACACCAATTCACAAACAAAACGAGCCTTTAGCAGCTAAATTCCACCAATTCTAAAGTTTTGACAATGTTTAATTTACAACATTAAAGATCTGTTGCTTAAAAGCGAGCACAGAAGTGTAAAATGTATGATATACATGATGTTTACAGGATAACGGCATTTTGTTTTGATAACCTACAAGAGTACTGCAGGTAGGAATGTTCAGCGTGGACTCATCTCCCCACACATTGAGTTGGAACAGCCTATAACCGACTCATTTATGGAAGTCATAGATACTATTTCTTATAATAGATAAACTATTATAAAAATAAGGCCTGCCGAACAAGAGATGCATACGTTGTATTACTTAAAGAGTGTTGGATAAGCTAACTCTAAAGAATATTGATGGGGTCCCACTGGCGGTGTCATATTTAATGAGACCGTTTTGCCGGGAGACTTAGTCTCTACAGAAACCGTTTTGTCAGTGGTCCTTAGTCGTGTGCCGAATTGACAGGAGTCTATTTGTCGTGAGCCAAAATGACGGGAGACTATTTATCGGGAGTCGTAATGACGGGGGCCGCTTTGTGGAGAAACCAAATGGCGGGAGCCTATTTGCCGGGAGTCGTAACGACGGGGGCCGTTTTGTCAAGAAACTAAATGACGGGAGCCTATATGTCGGAAGCCTAATAGACGGGAGCCTATTTGTTTGGAGCCTTGTTGACCGGAGCCCTTTTGTCGGGAGCCTATTTGTCGGAAGCCTATATGACGGGGTCCATATGTCGCTGGCCCAGAGGCGTAGCAACCCTTCCCGGCGCCCGGGGACAAACTTTCAATTAGGCGCCCCCTCGGGAGCAAATTTTTCGATTTAATTTCGATTTAATTTGTTTTTACAACCCGTTTTGGCGCCCCTAAGGTCGGCGCCCGGGGACATATGTACCCCCCTGCCCCCCCCCCATCGCTACGCATCTGCGCTGGCCCTTTTGACGGGGCTCTTATGTCGGGGCCGATTTGTCATTGGCCGATTTGGCGCCGCACGTCATTTGGGGCTTGATGAGGGCTGAAACTCCAAATACCTTCTGCCTATTTAGATCGTTATCTAATTGGGGTAGATTCTAGGTCTAGATCTAGACCTAGAAAAATCTAGACTTTTGGTCGAGGCTAAGCCGTTGTTGAAATAATTTGTATCTAATGTTTGCAAGCTAGACTAGATTCTAGATCTATTCTGTTTGATTACGGTTGCTCTTGGTTTATAGTGAGACCTTTTGGTGGATCCAGTAGTACCAGCCCTCCTGGATCTATTAATCTATATTTTTAAAATCGATGGATTTTTAGCAAAATAATTTGGCCAATGTAGCCTTTGCAAATCAAATGATAGCCTGATTAATGGTTTTGTTTATTTTTTATGATTATAATGACGGTTAGTTATTAAATTAATTACTAAACTAAAGTTTACTTTGATTTTCTTCATATTCACATGGACGCGGTTGTTAATCGAAATGTTAAAAATAAAATATTTCAAAATTCTGGTGCCATGTTATTAAAATAAATAATAATTAAATGTGGTTATAAAAACCTATTTGATTTTTGATGGACTTTTATAGGCATACTTTAAGATTGGATGTAGAGTCTAGGATAGTTTTTAGTATACAAGTGTCAAGTTAGTCAACGACTCAAGTACTCTAGATTTCTAATCTAGATCTCTAACAACTCTGTGTGACTCTTGGTCTAGAACTCTAGCTGCTAGCAGCTTAGCTAGTCTTAGTAGATTTAGCTAGACTCTAGATGTAGATCTTTCATTTATAATTAAATTATTGAATATTAGGCCTAGCCTAAACTAATAGGCTAATAAATTAATAATAAATAAATAGGCTAGGTTCTAGCCTATTCTACTATTTAAATTTATTTAATATTAAACAAAGACAAACCATTGAGTTTGGTTTTATTTTTATCACAGAAAATGTAAACAAAAATGGGGATGATTAAGCTAATAGATACCGGTGTCCGATAATGGAATCTTCTTTAAAAAATGGGTGTTGGGTTGTTAGTAGTATTGTAATCTCGACTAATTTTATGGTTAGAAATTAGGGTTAGGTGTATCATAGTGCATCGTAGGACCAGGGTTGGGGTTAGGGTTAGCATTGACATTAGCCAGCCCTGTGTGTATTTAGTTAACTACCAGGAACCTATCACCCTTTTTTAAAGAAGATTCCATTATTGGACACCGGTGTAAACATTTTCCCAGCATTGATTCTAAAACATTGATGGCTAAATATAAAAAAAACCAACCTTTTATCATGTCAACAATAACGATGAAATCCAACTCCATCTCGGGCATCTCCATTGTTTTAAAGTCTATTCATAAGTTGACTTAATAAAAAGCACTGCACGAGGTAGATAATGAAGTTTTTGAATCAATAGACTATTAGGCCTACTTATTGTTAATTAATGATTAGGCCTAGACCTAATAATTCATTGTTGTAAAATTGATATCAATAATAAATCTAGATATAAATTCTTACTAACTAGTACTAATAGTGTTTTAATGGTAAAGAGTTATTAAGGCCTTTGCTTTGACTTGGTCACTTTTTCTTTATGTTTTAACTAAACTTTAAGTAAAACTATCTAAGTTTACTTTCATGTGATAAGCTGCATATATAATGCTATTTGATTCAGTCCTGCGTCCATATGGTCATATAGCCAAGAGACACTATTCAGACCTGGCATTTGGTTACTACTAGTCTATACGCCCTACTTAGTATACTAGTCTATAATATTTACCTAGTTACTTTTAGTAGGCCTTCGCTTACACATTACCTGTATTAAAATGTATATCTCTATAGTTATCTGAGTTTCTAGGTTCTATACCTTTTAAGTTTTTCTGACATTAAAGGAAGCCAATGTGACCTGTAGTGCCAGGGCTACACCACAAGCACTATGGTGGGTGTTGGTAAATTGAGAAATTGCAGTGCGCTAGAGAGGGGGTGAAAACTTTATGATTTATCTACTTTTTTCTTTTGTCTTGAACACCGAAGCGGCTATTCATTGTTTTATGTCAAAATTTTTATACAAGAGTTTATACAATGTACAATTATTTTTCTATTTTGAGATATAAAATAATTTTTTTTATTTATTTTCAGGACCAAGTTCTGAAAAGTGAGTATTTCCATTTATCTTAGCGACAGTAACTTAGTGTTAAGTATTGTTTTTTCTATTTATATCAAAATGTAATCCTACTCGTTAAGTTTGTGTAATTGAATATTGGGTTAGTTAGATTTGTTGCAGTTTATTTTCTCTGGTTACCCACAGTTAAAACCAAAATAATTAGGATAAAGATTCCCTCGGAACACCATGTTTTATGCATGGTTGCTAAGGCTTGTTTGGGAATAGAGGTGCAGTGCATGTTTTAATTTCAGCTGTGCACTCTACTTCATAATTGACATTGCTGCCTAAATATGTGAAATCTTTTACTTCGTCTACTTGTGTGTTGTTTATTTTAAAAGACTCACTGCTAGTTTTATTTTTTATTTTTGTAACTCTGTTTTTTGTTAATATGAAGTTTAAGACCAACTCCATTAGAACTTTAAAAAACCCAGTTGTTCATAAAGTAGTCTAACAATAAAAATGACAGGTTTTAATTAACTTCAATCATGTGGGGCTATATGACATAGTCAACTGTGATTATTTTTCTCTTATTTAAAACAAAACAGGAAGGAAAAAAGTGCGTGCCCCCAAGCTAACACTTGTTGAAGAACTAACTAAAGGGCTACAAACTGATCCTGCTGTGATACGATCCAATTTTACAGTCAAGGATGAGGATGGAAAAGGAAGGGGAGTTTACTTAAAGCTACCTATTTTGCGCAAGGATTCCTTTGTTCTTGAATATGAAGGAGATGTTATATCAGAGGCTGAGGCTCAAAGTAGGGAGAAAATTTATGCATATAACAATGAAGGCTGCTTCATTATGTCCTTTGTTTTTAGGGTAAGAATATACAACTTTAATCTTTTGTATATGTATATTTATGTCGAAAAAAGCTAAAGGAAATTGTTTACACTTAGTAAAATAGAATAGTATAGGAAAATTATTCATGTTTTAAACTTTTTATAATAAATTATAAGAAGTATTTTAAATTTAGTTGAAACAAATATGTAACAATTAATGCACCTTCTTAGGGAAGAAAATTAGCTGTGGATGCTACAAGAAGGTATGATTCAATTACAAGACTACTCAACCATTCAAGACAACCAAATATCAAGTTCCATGCTCCTTTATTGTTAGATCTTTCAGGCAATGGCTTGCCTAGAATAGCAGCTTATGCACTGAGAGATATTCACAGGGGTGAGGAAATAGTCTTTGATTATGGTGTCAGAGACAGGGATATACCTTGGTTAACCAGCAAACAGGTGGGTTTGGATTGTTTTTAAACTAAATTTTTGAAATTCTTGAAACACCAGGTGGATCATTGATTATAATTTAAACATGATTAATATTTAAGTAAAATATAGTCCCACTCTGTGAGATGTTCCTAATATAATAGCCTTAAACCAAATTAACTTTTCTCTAGGCTGGCTATGTCTCTGATATTGACACAAGTTCTGATGAGGAGACAAATGAAGGATGCATATCAATGCGGATATCTCCTCATAAAAGATCTGATTATGTTGACAAAGTCATGATATATAAAGAAAATGAAGCATCAGAATCTAAACCCATGACTTTTAAAGAAACTGAAGCATCTACCTCTAGCAATTCCAGCTCTACCAAAAGTGAAGAATTGTCAAGGAAACATTTAACTTTTAAGCAAAAATCAAAGGCAGCTTTCTCAAATAAATCACTAGGAAATTTCAGAGTATGTTGTGGTTGGAGGTTTACCCGTCTAATACCAGGGAGCAACAGCTTTTATGCTGGACTAGAAAATATTGGACCAGATATGAAGATTCACAAAATGTATGAAGATTTCTCCAGACGTAAGAAAAAAACTGAAGAAGAAATCATTTGTTTGTCAGCCTCTGATGATAGTACGTCTTCAAAACAGAGAGAAACTTCTGAAAGTCCTTCAGTATCTGATGTTGTAGATCAACCAAATACTGTTTTAAGTAATCTGTCATCCAACATTAACACTAATAGTGATAGTAAGGTGCTGGACTGGCTACCATCTGTTAGAGAGAGTAGCAGTGGCTTGTCTCAGGATATGGATATTAAAATTATATGTGTCCAAAGTCTTATTGATCCAGAGCCAAAGAACTTGAATGTAAAGCAACCTTCCACTGAACAAAAGCAGCAACCTGAGCCAGTCTTAGTAATAGAAGACTCGTCTGAAGATGAAACATTAACAGCTTTACAAAACCTCACATGTCACAAATCTACAAACCTAACAGGTTCCAGCCCATCATCTGTTAGCAATCCTTTGCCAAACATTTCTGAGCCATCAAATTCAATGCCTTGTTTACAGCCTAAAGCTATAACAGCTTTGAATAAAAAAGTTGTGACTGATGTTTATGTCATTTCTGATGATGAACTCCCACATAGCAACCTACCGCCACGCAGACCTGCTGGGCAGTCACTGCCAACAGCTGTGATCAAACCTTACGTTGCCCCAAAAAATTTAGATCCAGCACCCACTGAGTTGCCAGTCTCAGAGCCAGTCAATGCTGTGTTGGACAGTCATGAGGACGTCATGGTAATCTTTTTAAAAATAATTTACATCTCATTTTTTATACACCCAATTAATTAAAAAAAAAATTATTTTTGTTATAATCTTTAAATCAAAATTTGTGTTTTATTAATACATGTGAATAGCAAATTAATGTTTTTTTATATAAAAAATTTCCTCCCTTAGTTTAGGCATGGCTTTTAAAAATGTGTAGAAATGTATTGTTTAATTAGCTTGAAGGATAATATTACATTCTGGTGGTCAGAAAAATCAAAGTTTTAATGCAAAGTTTCTTTCACTGACTTTTGGCAACTGTTGATTGTGAACAGTGGTTTAATTTCTTTACTTTATAGGACATGGCTCTCACAGATGATGAAATGATGCATTTGAAAAGAATATTTAATTTCTTTACTTTATAGGACATGGCTCTCACAGATGATGAAATGATGCATTTGAAAAGAATATTTGACTGTCACATATTTTCTGAACAGGTTTCTCAAGATGCAGTAAGTACATTTTTAGATTTAAAGTATTTTTTTCCTACAGATAGCACTCTGGCAATAATTGGGTTATTGCATTTCTTCTTATCATATTTGGTAATCTCAAATGGTTTTTCTATTTGTCTTCATATTTTACATTTTATGCTTCTTTCACTTTAACTGTTTAAAAAGTAAGGATAGATTTTAAATTTTTTTTTTATCAACACCATGATTCACCATCTGCACATTTGTCAGTTTCACTGGGTGATATAGCACTTACACATTACATTGCTAGGAAAATAGACAGATGGAAAATGCACCATACATAAAACTAAACAAAAAAATATTTAGAATTTTTCAAAAGACTTTAGTTTAATAGTATAATTCTTTATTGGTTTTATATGGAGTTTGTATAATTATTAATGTGCTTGTAAGTGAATGTAGACATAAATGTCATGGAATTAAGTATAGAGTAGACACGCCATACCAATGGAGGTAGCTCAGGTAGATGAAAAGAGATGAAATCACAGAAAACTTTAAAATAATAGCAACTGAGCTACTGCTGAAGGAAACACTGTGTACTCAGGAGGTCAAGAACATGGTCCTGCACACTCTGGCACTGAGATGGAACAACTAAATTAAAAAGATATTTCTTGAAACTAAAAGGAGCGAAGAAGCTAACGTTATATCAATATAGACTAGCTTGTGCTCTCTTAAAAAATGCATGAATGGAGAGCATTAAACCTCCCTGTTAGTTAAGAACAGTGCTGCTATCTGTGTCTGCTAGTTTCAGGATGTTTGTTTAAAATAGGAACTATTAGGTTGTTTTTGTTTTGGTCGTCCGCTTCTATTATCCCATCACAAATAAAACATCAAATGTTAAAAGTAGTTCCATGAGTGTATACGCTGGGATCCTCTCTATGAAAGTCTTCAAAACTGATCATTCTACCGTGCCAATAAGTCCAAGTAGCTGTACCATTGACTGAAAGGTTGACAGTCTTTCAAGAATGTTATATATTGATACATAAATATAAAATTATTTTTGACTGGTATGATGTTAAAAGCCTTGGAAAAATATTTCTGGAGTTCTAAACTATAGATGTCATTTCAGGTGAGTTGATAAATAAATCTAAGATTACTTTTTTATATCATGAACTTAATTTAATTATATGTATACATGTGTATCATAATAAAAGGACTGTGAGTTTCAGATACAAATATTAAAATACCCAAAACTTTTGTTGGACTTTGTACTCAATCCTGCATAGCCTTATTGTCAAATATCTATTTTCAAAAAAACCAACGTAAAGTTATAATCCAAATTATATATATATATATATATATATATATATATATATATATATATATATATATATATATATATATATATATATATATATATATATATATATATATATATATATATATATATATATATATATATGTATATATATAGAGAGAGAGATATATATTAAACACCTAATTTTTAACCAAAATATAAATGTTCTGATTAGAGTATTATAAAGTGTGGACCACATCAAGTTAATGCAAGTTAGAGAACAATCACACAGTAATTTTAAACATTTTTGGATTCAATTTTCTCTTTCCTCAGGATAGCACCTTGAGTCAGCAAAATACTTTATCCGTTGAGTTTGTACTGTCAGAGAAAGGCAAAGAGAAGTTAATTTTGGAAGGACATATGTACTTTAAAGAAAGACAAACCAAAGACAAAATTCATTGGAAATGTGTTCAGTACCAGAAGTTATCCTGCAAGGCTAGGTGCACTACAGAAAACAAAACTGTTGTTAAAACATCTGCACAACACAACCATGTTGCTGATGATGCTACAGTAGAAGCAACAAAGGTTTATGCTGCCATTAGGAAACAGGCAAGAACAGTAAATGATGCACCATATGCTGTAATAGCTAAAGAAACAACACAATGCAGACAGTCAGCAGTTGTAAAATTGCCATCAGTGACCTCCATGAAACGATCCATTTGTAACATTCGACGAAGGCAGTCAACCACACAGTTTTTATCCAGTTAATGTCCAGACGTTTAGTTTGTTGAGGCCAAAAAATGTTACATTTTTCACCTTTTGACTCTGATAGTGGGCCTTTTTTTTCTTACTTCAAATAACAATTCTTGCAAACGTGTTAAAATCAGTGCCTCATATGTTTCATTTCTTACAGCACAGCTTTTTATGCCTTTAAACAGTTTTTTATGCCTGGTTTTAAGTTAAAAATGACAGTAACTCAGAGCACTTCTAGCTCAAGGCACATGTAATTTCAGATTTTGAACTTGGAATTCCCAACAAAACCAATGTTCCTATTTTCAGTATCTTGAAACAGTGATAGAAAATTGAGAATGATTTGTTATCGCTCTAACGACGTCTCGGCATATGTGATTTAAGGAAGTATTTTATTCAATCCTGAGTTGTTCAGCTGAACAAATGGTATCAGAGACTAGTTGAAAGAAGACCTGTGGATTGTTTTATAAGCCAAATGCTTAGAACAAGTTTAGCTGTAGACTCAGTAGAAGGATCAATCAAGGCAGTTTGAAGTTTGGAAGAAAAGTGTTGTGAGAAGGAATTTATACAACCACCACACATTTAATTCTGAATGGTTTTTTCAACACGCTTATAATTTTATTTCTGATTTTTAACTGATTTTCTGTTTTAATTTACAGAAGTGAACTTCAGTCTATGTGATAAGCTCAACAATTTATTTACTCTTTTCGTTTTGAACAGTCAAAGTTGTTATTGAAATAAATATATTGGGAAAACTAGTATGAACATGAGTTGAATGCCTATCTTTGTTTGGAAGTTTTAGATGAGATCTATCATTGTTTTGGTGGTTGTGTATGTAGGACACTTGTTGAAGTATGTAAAATTTTGCAAAAAACTTTTCTTGGGTTTAGTATTAATTTTTTAAATTATGAAAAATATATATAGATATTCATTTTATGAAGTCTAAATAATATAAAATTAATTTTACAATAAAAAAGAATTTATAAAAATTCATAAACGCATCGTTTAAATAACCAAGAAATATAGTAAACAATTCAAGTTGACTACCTAAGTTAACAACCATGGAAGGTTTAAAAAGTGAGTTGTCAAAAAAGTTATTTTCTTCTAATTCATTCATATCTGTATTCATGAGTAGTGGAATGTTTTTGTTATTGTCTTGTTGAGCATCTGTTACCATCAAGAAAATAAAGAAAATTGTGAATCACCATACAGTGTAGCTGATCATTGAGTTCAAATTTTTCCTCTTGCTATGTTAATAAAGTTATCCATGATGTGGTTTGTTTGTATTGTTTCATTTCATTGTTCCAGTACATCACAACCCAAATCTCAAGGACTCTCAGATATCTTTATATTTTTCTACTCAATGGCTGATTATATTATAAACTAATGACCCTTTCATTTATCAACAGGTAAAAGAAACAATAGATGCAAACTGGGAGTTTTTCAAAAAACTGATAGAGAGAGGAATATCAATCACTCAAATTAGATCAACAGTCAGGCATTTTTTCAAGGCAAAGGATCATTGATGTTTGATTCATGTAACATCATTCTAATGGCAGCAATTAGTAGCTAGTTAACTAATTTCTAAAAAATTATAATGATCAAACTGCATGAAAAACACAGAAATGCAATAACTGATGGTCCAGTACTATCCTTTTTTTTTCTTCTGTCGATATATATTTTGGTAGTAAATGGTGTGTATAGTTTCTAGTAACAAGTTAGAAAAACATAGGATATTTTTCAATTTACAGAACAAAGCAACCAACGAGTGAGCTGTGAAAATCCTAAGTCTGTGTTTTTCAAGCAATCTGATTGTTCTTATCTCAGTCGATCTTCATTTAAAAATAAAGACGCACAGAATTAATGTACATTGAATATTATTACCCCCTCTCATCATTTTTTAAATATCAGCATATTGTTAGAAAATCTGTTTAATTACGTATGCTTTAATGGTTAAAACAGTTTAAAACTTTTTAAAGCAATAGAACTATGTTGTGGAGCCACAATACATTACAGTAAAAGGTTTTGGTACTTAATTAACACATCCTGGGTTAGTAATACTTAAGGTCTTACTGATTTCCTTACCAACTGGTGATTTCATCACACATCGGTGCTGTTTTAAGGCATTGAAATGTTTTAAATAGGTTGATGTTTGACTTGAATCTTGCATTTTGTCCAATGATAAAATCATGTCATGTGTGTATTTTAGTACCTGATGATTTTAGTACTATAGAATGAAGGTAAAATGAGTTTGGAAATGTTTTCTGATAAAGCATTTTTGTTGTCAGTTTTTTTTTTAAATTTTAGCAAGTTATATTTTGATTTTAAAATTCCTTTTTATTGAATTTAAACAATCATTTTTTTAACTATTGCAGTTTAAAAAAAATATTATTTTATCGTCTGTTGAAATTTTTAAGTTAAGTACTCTAGTTTCCTCTGTCAGTAGACAGTTATTTAAAAAAAATTATTTTTATTGAATTGATTGCATTTATCTGAGCTCAAATCTCTACTGCGTTATTTTAAATAAGATTTATTTAAGCACTGTAGACAGTTTAATGAACTGAGTCAGAGAATGGCTTTAGCAGAATGAGTTTTCAGAGACATGGCTGGACAGAACAGCTGAACATATTTTTTTACTTTGTAGTCATCAAACTACTGACATTACTATTTCAAATCAAAAAGTGGTATTCATATTTTTTTTTATCTTGACCACTGCTGCCTTATTTTTAAAATATTTTTTTAAGTTTGCATAGATTTTCATGAATGATTTAAATCCTGATTTTGATTAAGCTTGGGTTGGAGTAGATTTGGCCATGGCTGAGAAGAATCTCCAGCTTGTTTTAGGTGCTAGGGTCAACTTGTTGTGTGGACCCTGTTTTACCATGAAATTTATAATCTGAATTTTAAAAAAAACTTGTACTGTATGTATGTATACTTTGTAATCTTTAGAAAAAATGTTCTCATTGATAGCAGCTAATTAAAACCCATATATTTTTAATGTTGATGATTTTATATTAAAATTCCTAAGAAAGGAAATTTTTAGTAATTTCATTTTATTTATGCTTTTAAATAACAATTAAGCTGTAAATAGAAACATGTTTTTTAAAAATATTTTTAACTTGAATGATTTACACAATGATTTCAGATAAAGGAAATTTTGAGTTTGAAAATAATTTTTATCTCCTAATTAGTTGTACATTTTGTAAACATAATCACTAATAGCAAATAATGAATAAAAAACAATTATGTTATGTGAGCATTTAATGTTTTATGTAAGGTGCAAGAATGAATAAAAGAAAATATTCTGTATTACAATATTGTCCAGTTGTTTATCTATATCACCTGTTTATCTTAAGTAGAATAAGATCGGAAATGCTTTATTAGTTATCATTATGAATTTGGTATTTATTACAGATGATGGTTTGTTGAGAAAACTGGGGTATTAACAAAATATCATAAATGGCAAAAATGTATTATCATAATATGATTGGTCAATATGTAACATGGACATAATGTCAAAGGCTTGACACCAGACAATAGGCCTTGCAACAAGTTGTCAATCGTAAGATATTTTTGATCGGGACACTAGTATATATGGGGATAATGTTTGTTACTTTTTGCTCAATTTTTTTTTCAGGCGTAAAACTAGAAAGAAGTAGAGTCAAAATTTGAGTATTTTTGCCAGAAATGATTTTTTAACAAAGTGTTTATCCATTTATCTGGTACAACAATTTAATTTAATAACTTCAAAATAATTAATAAATATCCACAGTAAAAAGGGTATCAAAACAAGCTTAATTCAGTACATAAATTTTGAACATAAAACAGAAGTATGAGAATGCATTGCAATTTATCCATATAAGTGAAAACTACATTGATCACATTTATATAATATTAGCTTTAGTGCAAGAGATTCTATTAAAAGTATTTGGACACAAGACTTAGAGGCATAACAATTATATCACACTTCACTCATCTCAGTAGTATCACAGTTTAACCACTTAAGTATCACAGTGGCATCTTTTAGCCATAAGTATCACAGATAATCAAAACCTTAAAAAAACAATTTTTTCAATCATATAATAATGTTTCAACTGTCAGTGTGCCTATGATACACTGCAAGCTGCTGTTGTTCTTAGTACTATAGTACACTGCAACCTGCTAATGTCCTTAGTGCTATAGCACATTGCAAGCTGCTGTTGTCCTTTGTGCTACCTGCTGGCTGGAGAAAGACAAGGCCAGCGCTTGAGCTTTCTGCACGGCATCAGGGATGCTGGTAGAGGATGTTCCATGAAGCGCTACTTGACCCGCCTTGTTCAGGACGAGGACGGCAATGTTGGCTGACCTCTCGGGTATGAAGGCTAAGGTTGAAAGGTCGGGGGCCACTTGCATCACATCAATAGAACAATGGTAGCGGAAGGTGCATATGGAGCTGCGAGTGTTCATGCTGCACACAGATATAGTTTTATCCAACGAGGCTGTCACGAGGTATTTTTCATCCTGCGCAAGCTGCATGCAGGTGATGAAGTTCCGGTGATGGGTCAGCTTGACCACTAGCTGACCACGGTGCTCAGGTGAGTGGTCAGGGCCGAGATTCCATAAGTACACAGACCTGTATCCTGCTGTCAGGAGTTGGCGGCTATCTGATGTCACCAACATGGCTGTTATTGACGACCTCTGAATCATGGTATGAAGGTAGCTGAATAAAGAAAAAAAAAAAAATAAAACTTGATAATATTCTAATTGAAAAAATATTTTATTTAAATATTCAAGAATTATGAACAGCAATCGAGTAAGTTTTGGCAAAGAAAAATAGATTTTTATTACATTTTGAAATAATAAATGTAATTTTTTTTAAAATTCAGAAAGCTATAAATGTTTGTATAAATAAAAACACAATAACTTAATACACTTATAGGCTGAATATATCACTGGTTCGGTATTTTTAAACGATGAGAATTTAATATTGCTCTAAGGTATAATAAACCGGGAGTGATCTCCCCTAAACTTTCTCGAATATCTATATATATAATTCTCTTCTGGGATCAGTTAGAAAACAAGCTGCAAGCGCGCCTTTGCAGTCCCCTCTCTTCCTCTCTATCAGTATCACTACCACCCCCACCCCACCCCCACATGATCTGGTGAGTGGTGTTCACTCTGTTTACATTTACAATCATAGAGACGGGTTTGGTGACGGCTATTAGGGGCAGATAATTTAGTTTGAAACGATTTTAAACTTAAAGGGGGTAACTAAGAGGAGGCTGCTTTCACGTGGGGGGGGGGGGGGGGGTTAGTGTTTTTAAGCAAATATTTTCAATGGCAGCATTGGTACTGTCGAATTCACAAATTATAAATTACTGAAAAGTAGAAAAAAAACAACTAAATAGCGGCGTATGATACGCAGCGGGTCAGCTCGTTTTTATATAAAATAACAGGGGATGGGAACTCGGGTTATAGACATGATTTTTAATCCATTTTAAAAATAGAATAAAATCTCGTAGACAAAAGAATTGCATACCAAGTGAATGCTAAATAAAAAAGTGCATAATAGTGCGCAATATTATTAGTATTTTAAAAATTTACATTAGTTTTTTGAGAAATCGGAAGTAGCGTAAATTACTACTTCCGGTCAACGGAAATGACTCAAAATTTAACAGAAGGTAGAGAATTAGATCTTTTACTTACATGTGAAATTTCGTTTATCTATCTGAAATAGTACTCAAGTTATAGGCTTTTGAAAATTTCAAAGTAGGAAAAGTACCACTTCCGGTTATCGGAAATCGCTCAAAAGTTGATACGGATCTATGATTTTGATAAAATACTTATATATGAAATTTCATCAACCTAGCTGTAACGGTACTCAAGTTATCGTGTTTACACACACACAGACACACAGACAGACAGACACACAGACATACGGACACAATTGCAAAATTATGTTTTTCCCTATCAGTGAGATGTAAAATGTCGAGATTTGTAAAAATCTCGATTTTTTTTTTTTGCACGATTACAAGACTTCGTATATACGAGAAAGTAAAAAGCAGTATCTTTGTAGAAATAAAAAGAAAGTTAAAAACAAGATGGCTGTTTACCGGCCTGATTCAGTATCTACCACCCGAACTCTGGCGTCCCCACTAGCGGAGATGAGCATCTTGTTGTCAGGACTGAACTGTAGGTGGGAGCAGGCGGACATCATTGTGTCCATCTGGTCCATGGATATGTTGCTCTCCCCTTCACCTGAATCTACTACATTCATCGCCAGTGGGAAATCAAAAAATGTAAGCCCCACCTACAAATAAAACAAGCCTAGACTAAAGTTAAAGTTCATTAAGACTAAAATGGCAGGGTATTTAAAGTAGATAATTTGAGATAGCTGTTTTTGTAAAGTAGGTAGTAAACGAAATACCTTTTTCCCATCTGAAGTGACATCTGTTCTAAAAAATGAATACAGGAAAGTCAAATCTCTTATGACAGCACCTGTAAAACAATACAATTAATTAAAACAAGGCCTTCAACAACTCAGTAATATTCACATCAAAGTAATGCTGACACTATGTTAATTTTAATGTGCTAATATTTTATATCTTAGAAGTTGTCTCCCCTAGACTGTTTCATCAAAATACTTTACTTCTGAAGCTTGCTGTAATGTTAATTTTAAGGCAGATTCTAGCAGAACCCTAATCCTAACACTAGCGCAGCTTTTTAATGTCACTGTGCATGCACAGAACTAATGAGCTTCGTATCTTCTGCTAAAAAATCTTTTTCCTTGTAGTCACTTCGTAATTTCAATATGCTCATATTTTATAAGTAAGAGGCTGTCTCCCCTAGACTGTTTCATCAAAACACTTTACTTCTGAAGCTTGTTGTTGTGATGTTAATTTCAATATGCTCATATTTTATAAGTTTGAGGTTATCTCCCCTAGACTGTTTCACAGCTAGAAATGCCAGTTGCTCTAGAAATGCCAGCCTTAGTATCTCCCAATCTTTATTTATATTAATACCAACCTCAAGTACAAAATTAACTGGATTAACAATTTTAAATACAAGGAATGTTAGTTGCCTTACTATGATCCATAACTGCAGCTTTCATTAACTTATTTAAAAATGCAGATATGAAAAAAAGACAGTTTTAACATATGCAAGTAAAATTAATTTTTAAACCAACAAATAAAATGGAATTCACTAACAAACCTGTGGAGAGATCCCAAATTCTTCCTTTCCCTTCCATGCCAGAATGCCCCGCAATGAGTACCATGTTGTTTTCTGCCATACAGGAGACAGTTTTTGCACAGGGTTGAAGTTGGAGGTGTCTCTCACCTTTAACAGAAGGGTTTAGTGTGTGAGTGGAGGTGTCTCTCACCTTTAACAGAAGGGTTTAGTGTGTGAGTGGAGGTGTCTCTCACCTTTAACAGAAGGGTTTAGTGTGTGAGTTCAGGTGTCTCTCACCTTTAACAGAAGGGTTTAGTGTGTGAGTGGAGGTGTCTCTTACCTTTAACAGAAGGGTTTAGTGTGTGAGTGGAGGTGTCTCTCACCTTTAACAGAAGGGTTTAGTGTGTGAGTGGAGGTGTCCCTCACCTTTAACAGAAGGGTTTAGTGTGTGAGTGGAGGTGTCTCTCACCTTTAACAGAAGGGTTTAGTGTGTGAGTGGAGGTGTCTCTCACCTTTAACAGAAGGGTTTAGTGTGTGAGTGGAGGTGTCTCTCACCTTTAACAGAAGGGTTTAGTGTGTGAGTGGAGGTATCTCTCACCTTTAACAGAAGGGTTTAGTGTGTGAGTGGAGGTGTCTCTCACCTTTAACAGAAGGGTTTAGTGTGTGAGTGGAGGTGTCTCTTACCTTTAACAGAAGGGTTTAGTGTGTGAGTGGAGGTGTCTCTCACCTTTAACAGAAGGGTTTAGTGTGTGGGTGGAGGTATCTCTCACCTTTAACAGAAGGGTTTAGTGTGTGAGTGGAGGTGTCTCTCACCTTTAACAGAAGGGTTTAGTGTGTGAGTGGAGGTGTCTCTCACCTTTAACAGAAGGGTTTAGTGTGTGAGTGGAGGTGTCTCTCACCTTTAACAGAAGGGTTTAGTGTGTGAGTGGAGGTGTCTCTCACCTTTAACAGAAGGGTTTAGTGTGTGAGTTCAGGTGTCTCTCACCTTTAACAGAAGGGTTTAGTGTGTGAGTGGAGGTGTCTCTCACCTTTAACAGAAGGGTTTAGTGTGTGAGTGGAGGTGTCTCTTACCTTTAACAGAAGGGTTTAGTGTGTGAGTGGAGGTGTCTCTTACCTTTAACAGAAGGGTTTAGTGTGTGAGTGGAGGTGTCTCTCACCTTTAACAGAAGGGTTTAGTGTGTGAGTTCAGGTGTCTCTCACCTTTAACAGAAGGGTTTAGTGTGTGAGTGGAGGTGTCTCTTACCTTTAACAGAAGGGTTTAGTGTGTGAGTGGAGGTGTCTCTTACCTTTAACAGAAGGGTTTAGTGTGTGAGTGGAGGTGTCTCTCACCTTTAACAGAAGGGTTTAGTGTGTGAGTGGAGGTGTCTCTCACCTTTAACAGAAGGGTTTAGTGTGTGAGTGGAGGTGTCTCTCACCTTTAACAGAAGGGTTTAGTGTGTGAGTTCAGGTGTCTCTCACCTTTAACAGAAGGGTTTAGTGTGTGAGTGGAGGTGTCTCTTACCTTTAACAGAAGGGTTTAGTGTGTGAGTGGAGGTGTCTCTTACCTTTAACAGAAGGGTTTAGTGTGTGAGTGGAGGTGTCTCTCACCTTTAACAGAAGGGTTTAGTGTGTGAGTGGAGGTGTCTCTTACCTTTAACAGAAGGGTTTAGTGTGTGAGTTCAGGTGTCTCTCACCTTTAACAGAAGGGTTTGAGTGTGTGAGTGGAGGTGTCTCTTACCTTTAACAGAAGGGTTTAGTGTGTGAGTTCAGGTGTCTCTCACCTTTAACAGAAGGGTTTAGTGTGTGAGTGGAGGTGTCTCTCACCTTTAACAGAAGGGTTTAGTGTGTGAGTGGAGGTGTCTCTCACCTTTAACAGAAGGGTTTAGTGTGTGAGTGGAGGTGTCTCTCACCTTTAACAGAAGGGTTTAGTGTGTGAGTTCAGGTGTCTCTCACCTTTAACAGAAGGGTTTAGTGTGTGAGTGGAGGTGTCTCTTACCTTTAACAGAAGGGTTTAGTGTGTGAGTGGAGGTGTCTCTCACCTTTAACAGAAGGGTTTATTGTGTGAGTGGAGGTGTCTCTTACCTTTAACAGAAGGGTTTAGTGTGTGAGTTCAGGTGTCTCTCACCTTTAACAGAAGGGTTTAGTGTGTGAGTTCAGGTGTCTCTCACCTTTAACAGAAGGGTTTAGTGTGTGAGTGGAGGTGTCTCTTACCTTTAACAGAAGGGTTTAGTGTGTGAGTTCAGGTGTCTCTCACCTTTAACAGAAGGGTTTAGTGTGTGAGTGGAGGTGTCTCTCACCTTTAACAGAAGGGTTTAGTGTGTGAGTGGAGGTGTCTCTCACCTTTAACAGAAGGGTTTAGTGTGTGAGTTCAGGTGTCTCTCACCTTTAACAGAAGGGTTTAGTGTGTGAGTGGAGGTGTCTCTTACCTTTAACAGAAGGGTTTAGTGTGTGAGTGGAGGTGTCTCTCACCTTTAACAGAAGGGTTTAGTGTGTGAGTGGAGGTGTCTCTCACCTTTAACAGAAGGGTTTAGTGTGTGAGTTCAGGTGTCTCTCACCTTTAACAGAAGGGTTTAGTGTGTGAGTGGAGGTGTCTCTCACCTGTAACAGAAGGGTTTAGTGTGTGAGTGGAGGTGTCTCTTACCTTTAACAGAAGGGTTTAGTGTGTGAGTGGAGGTGTCTCTCACCTTTAACAGAAGGGTTTAGTGTGTGAGTGGAGGTGTCTCTCACCTTTAACAGAAGGGTTTAGTGTGTGAGTGGAGGTGTCTCTCACCTTTAACAGAAGGGTTTAGTGTGTGAGTGGAGGTGTCTCTCACCTTTAACAGAAGGGTTTAGTGTGTGAGTGGAGGTGTCTCTCACCTTTAACAGAAGGGTTTAGTGTGTGAGTGGAGGTGTCTCTCACCTTTAACAGAAGGGTTTAGTGTGTGAGTGGAGGTGTCTCTCACCTTTAACAGAAGGGTTTAGTGTGTGGGTGGAGGTGTCTCTCACCTTTAACAGAAGGGTTTAGTGTGTGAGTTCAGGTGTCTCTCACCTTTAACAGAAGGGTTTAGTGTGTGAGTGGAGGTGTCTCTTACCTTTAACAGAAGGGTTTAGTGTGTGAGTGGAGGTGTCTCTTACCTTTAACAGAAGGGTTTAGTGTGTGAGTGGAGGTGTCCCTTACCTTTAACAGAAGGGTTTAGTGTGTGAGTGGAGGTGTCCCTCACCTTTAACAGAAGGGTTTAGTGTGTGAGTGGAGGTGTCTCTCACCTTTAACAGAAGGGTTTAGTGTGTGAGTGGAGGTGTCTCTCACCTTTAACAGAAGGGTTTAGTGTGTGAGTGGAGGTGTCTCTCACCTTTAACAGAAGGGTTTAGTGTGTGAGTGGAGGTGTCTCTCACCTTTAACAGAAGGGTTTAGTGTGTGAGTGGAGGTATCTCTCACCTTTAACAGAAGGGTTTAGTGTGTGAGTGGAGGTGTCTCTCACATTTAACAGAAGGGTTTAGTGTGTGAGTGGAGGTGTCCCTCACCTTTAACAGAAGGGTTTAGTGTGTGAGTAGAGGTGTCTCTAAACTTTAACAGAAGGGTTTAGTGTGTGAGTGGAGGTGTCTCTCACCTTTAACAGAAGGGTTTAGTGTGTGAGTGGAGGTGTCCCTCACCTTTAACAGAAGGGTTTAGTGTGTGAGTAGAGGTGTCTCTAAACTTTAACAGAAGGGTTTAGTGTGTGAGTGGAGGTGTCTCTCACCTTTAACAGAAGGGTTTAGTGTGTGAGTGGAGGTGTCCCTCACCTTTAACAGAAGGGTTTAGTGTGTGAGTGGAGGTGTCTCTTACCTTTAACAGAAGGGTTTAGTGTGTGAGTTCAGGTGTCTCTCACCTTTAACAGAAGGGTTTAGTGTGTGAGTGGAGGTGTCCCTCACCTTTAACAGAAGGGTTTAGTGTGTGAGTGGAGGTGTCTCTTACCTTTAACAGAAGGGTTTAGTGTGTGAGTGGAGGTGTCTCTCACCTTTAACAGAAGGGTTTAGTGTGTGAGTGGAGGTGTCTCTCACCTTTAACAGAAGGGTTTAGTGTGTGAGTGGAGGTGTCTCTCACCTTTAACAGAAGGGTTTAGTGTGTGAGTGGAGGTGTCTCTCACCTTTAACAGAAGGGTTTAGTGTGTGAGTGGAGGTATCTCTCACCTTTAACAGAAGGGTTTAGTGTGTGAGTGGAGGTGTCTCTCACATTTAACAGAAGGGTTTAGTGTGTGAGTGGAGGTGTCCCTCACCTTTAACAGAAGGGTTTAGTGTGTGAGTGGAGGTGTCTCTAAACTTTAACAGAAGGGTTTAGTGTGTGAGTGGAGGTGTCTCTCACCTTTAACAGAAGGGTTTAGTGTGTGAGTGGAGGTGTCCCTCACCTTTAACAGAAGGGTTTAGTGTGTGAGTGGAGGTGTCTCTTACCTTTAACAGAAGGGTTTAGTGTGTGAGTTCAGGTGTCTCTCACCTTTAACAGAAGGGTTTAGTGTGTGAGTGGAGGTGTCTCTCACCTTTAACAGAAGGGTTTAGTGTGTGAGTGGAGGTGTCTCTTACCTTTAACAGAAGGGTTTAGTGTGTGAGTGGAGGTGTCTCTCACCTTTAACAGAAGGGTTTAGTGTGTGAGTGGAGGTGTCTCTCACCTTTAACAGAAGGGTTTAGTGTGTGAGTGGAGGTGTCTCTCACCTTTAACAGAAGGGTTTAGTGTGTGAGTGGAGGTGTCTCTCACCTTTAACAGAAGGGTTTAGTGTGTCATCTCCTTACAAACACCATTTTACAATCTACATCAGACATCAATAGTGTTGACGGTCTCTTGGTGAAATTCAGTACCAGTAATGATTTTATTCCTGTCTATAGCAAAATAAGATCATTTTACACTTTGTAAAAAAAAATACCTGTTTCTAGGTTATAGACGTGGATGAGACCTTTAACAGCAGCGACCAAATATTGACCATTTTTAGTTAAGATCATGACATCAACAGGATGTCCTAGGTCAGTTGCCAGGGTTTGTGTTAGCTGACTTGATGTACAGTACTTCATTATAAAACCTTTCTCTGTGGAGAAGTACACTTCATCTCCAGTCCTGGAGAATAAATATTGTATGAAGATACGTTCTTTAATTAATTTAAGTGTACTGATATTTATGCCTGAAAACAGAGTTATTTAAATTTGGCTAGCTTGAAAATTTGGACTGTGGTCCTGGATACACGCAAAAATTAAATTAATCTCACATACAGTTACTTACTTGTTATAGATCAAGTTAACTGCAGCGCCTGTGTCTACTGTGTTAGACGGGGGTGGAGGGGAGATTGCCTGTTTCAGGTTCCAAATTTTGATGGAGTTGTCAGCAGATACGGAGATGATTTTTTCTCCAGAAGTTTTCTTGTCACATGGCAGAATGATCTGAGATTTCAGAAACAAAATCAATTTAAGAAAAACTTTGTGAGGTTAAATTAACTCCATAGGGGACACCTCACAACAGTTTTATAAAGAGTTGAAATCTTTTCATGCTGTGTTAGTTTTTTTTTTACACATATTGTTTAATTGTGTTTGAGACACAATTTTTTCAGGTGGCTGATAAAATTACTGTGAATACCAGTTTAACCAAAAAGTAGTAAAGTGCAAGGGGGATATTGTGCAAATCAACAAACAACATTGCCAGACTGGAATCTACAAGGAAAGAAAAAAGTAGAGGCCATAACATACATGGGAACAATCAATTGTCAGTGAAGCAGAAGCAGCCAGAATGTCATGCACCCAATGTGGAGGAACCAACCAAAATAAAGTACAATCGGGAAGTGTGGTTGTGTCCATATGCTCCACAAGTTTTCCACAGAAATGATAATGATGAAGATAGTATTTTGACAAGTCTTGTAGCTAGAGATGCTCATCTAATGCCATTTATTACTTAGGTTTTAGAAGAAGTATAACAATAGCGTTTGCAAACACATACCTAAATACACATCTATTGATTCAAAAACACTTTCTTTAGCACATTTTAATAAAAATAACGCAGACGGCGTGGGTGTAGACTAGAGCTTGCGATTGCTAACTAGAAGGTCTTGAGATAAGATCTCTGACTCAAGTTTGCAGGATGTCCCTGAGACCACCCAGCTCTGATGGGCACCTGATTCACATTAGGGAAACCAAGGTGGCTGGGCATAGTGCTGACCACAACATACCCCCGTATTCCGTTGTCATTGAAACAGATGAAATCTACTTTATCTGCCTCTTGTGCCTTGGATATGAACAAAAAAAGTTGATGATGCATGATAGCAACACCATAAAACCAGGAAAACTTTATTTTGTTCTGTACTGAGCAAGCAGAGGTAATGTCAGAACACAAGGCAGGTGAAGATAAAAACAAAGTGCCCAACAATATGGGATTAGAATTTAAGTACATCTTAAAATTATTTAAAAGTTATGACCTTCAGGGCAGGGCCTAGCTCATGTGAAATGAAACTTGATTGGAATTTGAGTACATTTTAAAATTATTTTAAAATTTTGAACTTAGGACAGCTCTTGTGTACAATTATACAGACTGGAATTTTTGTAAATTAAAATTTAAAATTTAAGTAACAAACTTTGAAATGTAGTTTGCGAAATCTCTAAGAAGGTACAAAATTTACATCACTTTTATTCTGTATACAAAGCAGTTTCTATCACATGAAAATGTAATAAGGTTATTGAATAAAAAGTTTTTTTAAATTTCTTTTTCTGATAGAAAACCTTTATTAAGAGTTATTAGCTTTAAAATAATATACTCATTATTAAAGTAAGATTTAAAGACATATATTGGGTGGAAAGAGTTTTCGACATTAATCTATGTATGCACCATGAATCTAAACAAACTGTTCTTAAATCCAGTTTTTTTAAAGTAGAATAGATAGCAGGGGCAAGGATCTCACTAGTCTCAGTGACTAAAAGTTGAAAAATACTGATTTAATATAAGCCTCAAACAAACATTTATGTTGAGATTAAATGTACCTGTAAAATGTCCTTTGAATGGCCGTAAATATTTTGTACCAGTTTAGCCACTGGCTCTGGCTTGTGTCTACTTCCCACCAGGTAGACCCCAATAAAAGAATTTCTTTTACAGGCTACCAGGATGTAGAGGGCACCACCGACTTGGATGATTTTTGTGGCACTAATTGGGGATGTGCTGGCTACCATTGACATTGGACTTCCAGTTTCAATGTTCCACAAAACAGCTGATCTGGAACATCATTTTAAAAGTCATTTTAAACGTTTGCATAGGTTAAATATACTGTATCTTTACAATTTTTAGGAATAAAATAATGAGTTAGATAAATATTGCCAGTAAGTATGAATTCCAGGCAAAGTTCAAAATATGCTGAATAATCTTTTTGTTACACTTTATTAAAGCATTGTATAGAGAGAATAGAGCTATTTTTTGGGGATAAAGTGAATTATGTAGTTTACAGAGGATTTCTTCAAAAGATGGAAACTGGGTGATTTATCATTCTGTTTAACTTTGTTAAATGGGTGAAATGAGTTGCAGGAAGCAATAATATGTAACAGGAGTTTTGATTGGTCTATAATCTCATTTTTTTCAAAAGTGCTGTTATACTGGATGGTTGTATGAATAGTTTGTCATGGATGGCTTATGTATTCTTCTTGTAAACAGTTGTTTTTTAGAAGTTGTTTAAGGGTGATATAGTTTGATTGAGTGGAGGGGAAGAGGGGGGAGGAGGAGGGTGGTGTTATTAGAAAGGATATATACTCTGAGAAGTGGTTGTCAATGGACATACGTGGTTGTCAAGGGAAATGGGAAGGGACGGAGTGGCCTAGGGGTAGAGAGCTGGGCTGCTAACGAGTTTGAATCCGGGTTCAAGTTAGATCTGATGGGTACCTAACTCACGTTAGGAAAAGTAAAGGCGGCTGGGCATAGTGCTGATCACATTATCCCCTCATATGCAGAGGTCACAGAAGCAAGTGAACTCTACTTCGTAGACCCATAGACCGTCAGGTTTGAAAGGGAACTTTACTTTACTTTACTTACAATGATAATAGGTGGTGGTCAATGGAAATATCATATTCTATATTTTGCTATTTTCCCTGTTTGATGATAAGTTAAAAAAAAAGTTCTAATAGGCTGACGTGTTGCAACTGATTGTGTGTGCACAGATTATGAGCTCAATACTTGTTGACTCACTTGGAAACATTGCCATTAGAGATGACATCTTCTTCTGTGGACACAAGAACCAGCTCTTCACTGACATCAAGCTCAAGTAAATTTATGCTGTAGTTCAGCTCTGGAGCTTTAAGATCCTGCAGGAGGCTTCCGGTCAGTAGGTCATAGACTCCCAGGGTGTTTCTTTCATTGTAGTCTGACCGGACCTGTGGGAGGAGATACCAGATACAATCAGGTAGGGGGGGGGGGGGGGGGTGGGGATGGGAGGCAGGTCATGGGATCACTAACTTAAGGGTTCAAATTACTGGACATGACAGAACCCTAATTTAGATCATTGAAGAGATTAAGGGACTGCATGGTCAAGTAGTAGAGCACAAGATGGTTAATCTACAAGTCTTGCATTCAATGCCTGGGTCCACCCAGCTTTGTTGGGTACCTGACAAGTCTGGAATGTAAAGACATCAGGACATAAAGCTGACCAAACAGTCCCTATATAAGCAGAGATAAAGGCCTTAAGATGGCCTGAAAGGAAACTTCTTTTCAGACACACTTGAGCTCTCTCAGTAGAAACCAAATTAGGCAAAACAAAGTTTAAACCAGATGACCCTAGCTCTTCTGTCTAATGGACTAAGCCAGCTAGGACTCTAAATGATAATGGTACAAGTAGGCTGTGTAATCCTCAAGTAAATATATACCAATCTTCTTTCATTAATATAGCTTAACATAAATATTTGAAGATAGAAAACATGAAGTAGTAAAAAAAACTTTTCTAAAGAAAAATCTTATGTGTCTCTGTAAAGGAAATAAAAGTACCCTTTTGAACATCACAGTCCATAAGTCAGGTGAAGTAGAGTTTATGTTTTAGTGACCTCCCCATATAAAGGGATAGTGTGGTCAACCGTATGCATATACGCCTTTACATACATAGTTAAGTTTAACAAATCAGTCTGTGAATTAAGTATTCATAAGAAATATGTTTAAATTACTAATTGATGTAACCTGTATCAGTTTATTTTTTGATGTGATCAGAGCAAACTTGGTAGGAGTTCTAAAACTAAATCTATCAGACGATTTCTTCTCCTCAGCCTTCAGGACTAGTTCCCCGCTCTGTGTCCGCCAGACCTTAAACGCATCTCCACTGCCAAATGTCACTAAATACAGGCCATCAGGAGAGAACATGATGTGATAGATTGTTTCCTCATGTGGCAGGCTGAACAGTGTTTTTAAGGTGAGCTCTTCATCGTTTGGAGTGCAGATGTAGCATGTACCTATTCAAAAGAAGGGTAACACTTTTTAATAATAAGACTCCAGCTATATAAAAAAAAACTCAGAGGCTACTTTTTAAAATTTTAAATCTAACAAAAAAATATACAAAGTTTTTAACATTAAATGTGGTGTTAATTAATTTTGTTTAGATACAATTTATAATGTGAGAGGTCCTTATATTATAATAGGTTCAAAATGACCAAAAAATGAAATGGTACCTAGTTATAAATGAGATAAAGGATTAATATATAATTTTTAGCAAGTGATAAACTCTATCATCAAAATCAGAGAACAGACTTTGTAGCTGATGAGCTACAAAAGAGTGAAATAAATCTTTGAGAGCTGTAAGTGGCTGGGATAACTCTTGATGTCTTAGATATTGGCTTGCTGAAGTTTTGTGACTTCTAGAATAATTTTTTATGCTATAGTTAATTAGCTCAAATGAATGAAGCAATAAATGGAACTTCAATTGTATCTCTTATGGTGATAGCGTGATTTAAATTATATCTTATTTTTTACTACACCTGATTTAATAATAGAAATGTTAACTGTAGATGATGATTAAACTTTTATTCAATGTATAACAACTGATGTCAAAATATATCACTTCCGCTTCATTAACATATGTCATTTGAAACAAGTTTAAATATGTATTTAAAAACAAAACATTAAAAAAAAACCTTTGAATTATAAAACTTTAAAAGAAATTTATATTAAAAAAAGGAAATAAAATCAACTCAGTAATTTGCTTTACTTAAGATAGTTATTTCCAACTGCAAAGAGACATAGAAGATGTTTGCTTGATATTATATGATCAAATGGTTCGCAAAATAAGTTATTTACAGACATTTCAACAACTCTAGACATAAACAATTTGATATAGTCTGTGTCACTTAGTCTGGGTCACAGAGATTTCGGGGCACTTAGCATGGGTCATTTGGAATCTGGTCCCTTAAAGTCTACATCACTTTCAGTCATATGGAGAGGATTATTTTGGGCCACAGTCTCTGTAGCCTAGCGGGGGTCAGCGCGGTTGAGTTGGTAAAGCACATGGTTGCTAAAAACAAAAAGTCATGAGTTCGAACCCCCGGGCAGGTAAGGCTCGATAGCTTGGGACAGCAACTCTTCTAGAAGAGACTACTCCAAAATCAAACAACTGCAGCCTTGTAGTTTGTTCTTGGTTGGACAAAGGCTATGGAAGCAAATCCAAAAAGAAAAGCAGGTTGAAATCGGAGTCAACTGCCTCAATGGCACATAACCAGTTGACATGTATACTTAATTGTGTTGGAGGGGATACCTTCCAATACTACAATTAAAAATAAAGAAGAAGAAGTAGGAGGTAGCCTAGCCATGTAGCATCTCATTCACTTATATCCATGCTCTTTTATTTCCCGCAGTGTGAATCAGGTTGGGATTTGATCTCGAGACTTAGCTGTTAGCAGTTGTATGCTCTACCATCCTACCTGTCCACTTACTGTCATTGGAGTAAGCTACAAGTTTTCCCTGTCCACTTACTGTCATTGGAGTAAGCTACAAGGTTTCCCTTCTGTGTGACATCCATACAAGTGGCAGCTCTCTCAGTTTTGAAAGGTGAGAGTCTGACTCTCTCATACAGCAGATACTCAAACTTTGGCTCATACTTGCTCAGAGTTGTATACACACAGACTACCAGATACCTGACCAAATAAAAAATGTAGTTCAAAACTCAATATTATCTTTAAAGTAAAACCATAAGAACTGTCTTCTAATGTGGGCTGTTATAGAAGTTTAAGAATGCTTATTAATGTTATTCATACCAGGGACATAATGGTATGGTTTGAAGTTAATTTTAACAGTTCTGCCAAATTCATTTTATTAACAACTTGTTTTCATCTGTAATTGCTTGGCTGTTATTGTTTCATATGTGAAACAATAATGCTACATGATCAGCCTTCAATTATTTTTAAACAATGTACACTAACTCTCATATGGGCAATCTTTATAAATGTTTTAGGATAAAATTCCCTAAAAAATGAGCATCGAAACATAGACAGACAGATAGTATTTTATTTATATGTGTTTTGGATAGCATTATGCTTGGCGGCTGGTAGGATCAGATAAAAATTTATGTTATATTTTCAGCAGTACAGAAAAAAAACACACCAAGGGAGGGAATAGAAAATCTATTAATAATAATAGAAGTTTTACAGTGTGATTTATGTACCTATTTTTTACAATAGGTAAGAAAAAACAACTGTTTTTGTGTTCAAACAAGAAAATTGATAAAAAATTAAGGAAAACTAAAAAATCAACAGGTTAGTACTATCTGACTTTAAAAATTAACACACATTAAAATATTGTTTACTTTTCAGTTCCATTGCATTGCACTTTATGCACATATCTATTTAAGTCCTCAGAGATGACCTTTTCACCTCCTTTAGAAAGGTCAAGGACCACCATGGTGTCCTTTTGTCTATTGTTTTGCTGAATGATGTAAAGGTAATGATCTGCACGGCAGTAAGTTACAGGGAAATCATGGGCTCTGTCCTCACCTACAAACACAAATAAATAAAACAACATATATATGTAACATCATACAAAGAAAGTTTATCATGTGCTCTGTCCTCACCTACAAAAAAAAATGTACAACATATATATGTAACATCATACAAAGAAAGTTGAACACAGACTTCCTCATCAAACCACATCCCTGCTAGTCAAACTATTTATCCACAACCACTCAAAGTCAACTTGGCTAACTTGAGTCACTCTTAGCAAACCACGTTAACCACATTCACCCCATCCACTGCAGCTAACCATATCCCCCTCTAGCAAACCCATTTAACTACAACCATTTCAAGTCACATCCATTTAACTAGAAACATTTCAAGTCACATCCATTTAACTACAACCATTTCAAGTCACATCCATTTAACTAGAAACATTTCAAGTCACATCCATTTAACTACAACCATTTCAAGTCACATCCATTTAACTACAACCATTTCAAGTCACATCCATTTAACTAGAAACATTTCAAGTCACATCCATTTAACTAGAAACATTTCAAGTCACATCCATTTAACTACAACCATTTCAAGTCACATCCATTTAACTAGAAACATTTCAAGTCACATCCATTTAACTACAACCATTTCAAGTCACATCCATTTAACTACAACCATTTCAAGTCACATCCATTTAACTAGAAACATTTCAAGTCACATCCATTTAACTAGAAACATTTCAAGTCACATCCATTTAACTAGAAACATTTCAAGTCACATCCATTTAACTAGAAACATTTTAAGTCACCCTAAGCTAACTATAGTCAACCCCACCAACCCTGGCTAACTATATCTACTTCTAGCTAACCCTTGACCAAAAAACAATTCAAGTCATTCTCAGCTAATTAAAGTCAACCTCACCCACCCCACTAACAACAGCAACAATATTGTATCAAGACTGAGTCTGTAGTATTTTAGACCAAATTTTAATCAGTTGTTAAAATAGGATGAATGGGGTAAAAGATTATACCTCAAAGCAAATTACATACAAACAGTTTTAAACGTCATTCATATTAACAGCCAATACTACTTGAATTTAAAATTCTAAAATGTATGTAGTTTTAATATTCATCCCTTCAGTAAAGATGATCCGCATGTCATACGTCTTTTGGGACAGTCACTGACAAATCCAGTCACTGACAACCACCAACCAACTGTCACAGACAACCACTGACAACCACCAACCACTGACAACCACTGACAACCACCAACCACTGACAACCACCAACCACTGACAACCACCAACCAACTGTTACAGACAACCACTGACAACCACCAACCAACTGTCACAGACAACCACTGACAACCACCAACCAACTGTCACAGACAACCACTGACAACCACCAACCACTGACAACCACTGACAACCACCAACCACTGACAACCACCAACCACTGACAACCACCAACCAACTGTTACAGACAACCACTGACAACCACCAACCAACTGTCACAGACAACCACTGACAACCACCAACCAACTGTCACAGACAACCACTGACAACCACCAACCACTGACAACCACTGACAACCACCAACCACTGACAACCACCAACCACTGACAACCACCAACCAACTGTTACAGACAACCACTGACAACCACCAACCAACTGTCACAGACAACCACTGACAACCACCAACCAACTGTCACAGACAACCACCAACCACTGACAACCACCAACCACTGACAACCACCAACCACTGACAACCACCAACCAACTGTCACTGACAACCACCAACCACTGACAACCACCAACCAACTGTCACTGACAACCACCTACCCAACAAGTGGACATCCACATTAAAGTTAGTTTCCAGCATCCCCCCAGGTTCTGGCATGCAGGCATCCACAGGCACCAGTAGAGGTACATTGTTCTCCTCCATCCACATGAAGGCATCAGTCACCAACTTCACCAGCCCAGGAGATTTGGCTCTAGTTTTTCCCAACTGGCAGCAAATCTGAAATTAACCAAGTAAGATATTTTGTAACAATGAAAGGGATTTTTTAATGCATTTTAATAGTTTTAAAAAAAGTAGGTACTCTATAAATTAACAAAAAACGATTTTTAATGCATTTTAATAGTTTTAAAAAAAAGTGGGTACTCTGTAAATGAACAGAAAAATTTTTTAATGCATTTTAATAGTTTAAAAAAAAGTAGGTACTCTATAAATGTAAAGGTGTTAACTTTGCATGTATATCAAAATATATATTAAAGTATACTAAAATCTCACTTTAATATTAACATATACAGAAATTTATATTTTAAATTACAGTTACAATCATCAAATCTTATTACAATTAAAAAAAGAATTTAAAAAAAAAAATTTGCATAAAAAATATATTAAAAGTAAATTATCCCCCTTTGAATGTCAATTTTTATTTTCAACACAAGCATTAATCCATCTCATTACAGCAAGAGTATCAATCACAAGCCCACACCTTAAACATAAACACTAACCTGTACAGGTAAATTATGAGCACCATGACGTATACAGTCCACACCAAGTGTAATGATGTCAATCAATGTCTTCAACTCCTTCAGACAAGTCAACAGATCAACCTCTTTCTCCACTGGACTCTTTGCATTACTCTCTCCAGTTTCAGAGTCAGTAGCAACAACTCCATTTTGTAATTTCTCAATCACAATGCCATCATTACCCTTATGGTTGACCTTTGAGTTGACCGTTGAGTCATCCTTGATCAAAAGCATCTGTTCCAGCATGAACAAGAGATCAGCCTTCAACTCTGACACACCAAGCACTTTGACCTTTGCCACCAGCCAGTCAATGCTGGTAGTGATTTCCTTATGGAACTCTCTCCACATCCCAGCTAAAGACAAATGGTGAGGGAGCTCCCGTAGCTTGCGAATGTTGTAAACACCATCACTAAACATCAGGGGTTGTTCTGGGGCCTGGAAAAAAATTTGGATTCATGATAATTATTTGCATGTTACCATTTATGATCTAGATATAAGACATTTTTACTTCCCTAAGTGAAATAACAGTTTTCAACCACAACACTTGTTTTTTTTAAATTATAATGAAATTAGCAACACAATATCAAAATTGTAAACCAAAAGCAATATAACAGAAAACAGTCTTAGTTGAGTCAAAATAGCTTGATAATTTACAACATAGTAAAACATGTAAAAAATTATTTCTCTCCCTTCAGTATTTTCAAAAAACTCACAATACCAGCAAGACTTCAATTATAATACCTATGTAAATTTAGTATTTAAAGTTTGGGAGCTTATAAGAAAATCTCAGCATTTGGGCACATAGGACTCTTAAAAACTTAAAATAAATGTAATAAAAAACTCCTCATTGAGAAGATAGATTTAAGCGAAACAATACAAACCCCTCTATGGTTGTCTGGGTACCATCCATGTTTGCCCTTGAACAGCTTTAAAGGCTTGTGTTGGTTGTGCCAATAGCCAAGAAAGTATTGGGCACAAAGGCTGTGCAAGGAATGTCTAGACACAAGAAGGGAACAATTATTCTCTCAGTATATTGACACAAGAGGAAGGCAAAATTATTAACTTAGAATCTAGGATTTACGTTTCATAATGACTTTTTTACACAGATTCAAATTTAAGTTGTCAAATGACTTTTTATACACAGATTCAAATTTAGGTTTCCTAATGAATTTTTACACAGATTCAAATGTAGGTTTCCCTAATGACTTTTGGCCAACCATTGTGCTACTCACAAAATAGTTCCTTAAAGATAAATTTGTGAAGGTATCTTAAGATAAATATCACCTGATATCTTTGTGAAAGTATCTTTGGCTACCTTAAGATAAGTGTCAACTGATATCTTTGTGTAGGTATCTTTAGCTACCTTAAGATAAATCTCACCTGATATCTTTGTGAAGGTATCTTAAGATAAATCTCACATGATATCTTTGGGCATGTATCTTTAGCTACCTTTAGATAAATCTCACCAGATATCTTTGTGAAGGTATCTTAAGATAAATCTCACCTGATATCTTTGTGAAGGTATCTCTCTTCAGCCACCTTCTTGAACAAGCGATGGTACCAGGTCAAGACCAGTCTGCCACCCACATCCTCCCCCGACGTGTACTCCCGGATGTCCATCATTATCCGGGCCCACAGTGAGGGAGGAAGACGGATCAACTGGCTGGAAGGAGGCAGGTGGTAGATGTATGTGTCCTGTAGGATCTCATCATCAAGTGATAGAATATCCTCCATCTCCATCACGCTTGCGCCTTGTTTCATGGCTGTCAAATAGCCTGCAATTAAAATTAGACTAGAAACCAGGTCCAAGTGAAGCTTTATTGTAAGTTAGATATGTCAAACCTTAACATTTTCATATAAGTCGAATAGGGCTATTATGTATGTCATGGTTAAATTAGCATATTGTACAACTTGGCTGTCAACTAGAATTCTACACATTTTTAGGGATTTAATGCCAAGTTGTCTTAATTTTAATTAATACAATGTTCACGGAATTTAATGCCAAGTTGTCTTAATTTTAATGAATACAATGTTCAGGGAATTTAATGCCAAGTTGATTTACTTGTTATGAATACAAATTATAAAACAATAGATTTAGCTTTGGAATGATACATTTTTTAAACATCAAAGTAGTTTTATTATTACACAATAATGTTTTCACTCCAATACATAAGATGTACTTGTCAAACAGTGTAAGAGTAAAGAACCATCATCAACAAAAACTATATACAAAAATAATTTAACAAGACTTAATCAGATTTCTTGTGGGGAGGTGTGGACCAGCAGTAGAGCACTAGATTGCTAACCTTCAAGTCTAGAGTTTGAATCCGGGTTCAAGTCCCTGAATCCACCCTGTTCTGACGGGTACCTAACACACATTAGGGAAAGTAAAGGTGGCTAGGCATAGTGCTGACCACATTATCCCTTCACATGCAAAGATCAAGAAACATGAACTCACTTCAACTGCTCAATGGGTGGCTATGTCTATAAAGGAATCTTTACTCTTCACGTTACAACCAGATTTCTTACCAAAAGCTTTTGAAACAAACACCTTCCCATATTCCTTTTCCAGCTTCATCATCAGCTGGTGAATTGCTGATTGAGTGTCTGGTGCGATGTTTAAGTTTTTCACCAGCTCATGTGACTGCCAGCTTAGAGATTCATCTAAAATTAACTTCAGGTACAAGGGGCTGGGACACTGTGCAAATTTCTCTGTAAACAAGATGTGGACAATAAAATCTTGTACCAGATAATTATACAGCTATTGTAATGTTGTGGAGTGAGTGTTCTTTACTGTTATTTTCTTACTTTGAAAAAGATAAAGAGAACATGATAAAAAAAGTGTTTGAGTAAATAACAAACAATATAGCTGAATTATTTCTTTCATAAGAATTAAGTTTTCAATCATTTTAAGTACAAAAATTTAGTAACAATTTATGTTTGAGAGTACTTGTTTACATTAGCTGATACAGAGGAAAATGAATAATAAAAAAAAAACCAATCGCTCACCTTTTAAAAATTTCCTTTGTTCTTGAGTGAGCGTGCGACTGTTCTGACTGCATACCTCATTGATGACACAACTGGCAGATTCAACTTTAAGGGAAGGTACTTGAATGAACAGCTCAGGCCTGGCCAATAGTCTTCTGGCACTGTCCAGACAGCCATTCTCCTCTGGCAGAGTTGAGAGCACCAGAGAACAGTGAACTGGCAACACAGTTGGCAACCAGGCAAGTCTGTGAGCCTGCTCCACCTGGGATAGCTGGTCCAAGGAATCCAGAAAAATATACAAAGGTCGGGAAGAAGAGGCCACTTGCCAGATCAGAGCTTGAAGATACTGGCCTAAAAATATTACATCAGCATGGAAATCCATATCTGAAGGCCGTGGTAACTTGTACGCTGCCCAAATATTTTGTATCACGCTTATAAGCATTGCTCTGATGTTCGCAGATTTAGCAGTGGTCCCTAAGAAACGTACAATAACCACAGAATCAGGAATTCTCGTCTTTACTTGTTTAACCAACTGTGCCATGAGAGAGGTTTTTCCACAGCCAGACTCGCCATACATTACAATGGGATATTTTATGCTATCAGTTGCAACATAATGAGTCAGCTCTTTCTTTACATCTCTGTTAGGGTCTGAGCCTGTATCATATTCAACATCCCCTACGCCCACAGTGATTCCTAAATCTTTCAGTGGTTGGTTCAAATCCTGCACATTTCTATTCTCTTCCTGACTTGTGTCGTCTGCAACTTCTACTTCTTCATTAACAGCCACTTCTTCATTAACAGCCACTTCTTCTTCCTTTACAATATCAATCTGAACACTGCCATCTGCTTCACTGTCACCAACTAGCGGTTGGACTTCTCCCTTTCCTGTGCTGAAGACCGCCTGCATCATTGTATACAAAGTTTCAATCAGCTCTTCTTGCCCATAAAAACATTTACACTTAGACAAACAAAACTGGAGGTGGACAAGAACCTCAGCCAGAACTTCATCCTCAATCCTCTGCTCCAGAGCTTCCTGCGCACAGCTGTCAATCTGTTCTTTCATCAAAGTCTGGAACGAGTCTCGAAGTCTAGTCAGGTAGGATTTGTGTTCTTCGTGCTCTGCATCAATTCCCTTAGGTGTCCACGACACGTTAAACTGCACACTCTGCGAGGCTGGCACTGACCCAGGTAGGGTCTCATTCTGTAGCCTGGCCCTCAGTACTTTAGCTTCAGCATCAATATCTCCTTCTGCTGTAAGATCTGTGAATCTTTCTGAAAAAAATAATGCATGTACCAGTCTTAATTTTATACTGCAGTACAAATGTTTCACATTTTACTATAAAACTGGTAATATGAGAAAAATGTAGAAATATCCATTGTTTATTGGAGGAGGGAACACAGTAAGAGTGCATTGTGATTGAATGTATATATGCCAATATTTTAGAAGAAAAACTTTTCAGCACTTGCTAATCTTAAAAGAAACTTTTAATTCAAATAACAGCTGAAAAATTAATCGTTAAGTAAATTATTTGAGAAAATTACTTGAATCTCATTAATTAAAAAAAAAGGAAGCATAAAAAAATGTATTGGACAAATTACTCACTAGCCATTGTGTCCTCAATGTTGATGTCATTGAAATTTCTGACAAAGCAGATGACTCTATCTTTAATTTTGGGAGAAGCAAATATGCCCTTTTCTATCTCGTTCTGAGTCACTGAAATATGTAAAAATTGCTGGTAAAAAGTTATTTTTTTTTATGTTTATTCTGAGTCACCAAAATGTTGTGTAAAAATTTCTTGTAAAAAGTTAAGGTCAAGAGAAGAATTGACTTTAAGAAATAGCAGAAGATACCTGAGACAAAGTATTTTTGACATTCCTCTTCAGTAATTTTGTTTTGCTCCAGAGCTAGAGATGCTACTGTTTGCAAAACTTTCCTGATTTGTTTTTCATCAGTTTCCCAACTTTGCTGGTGCTAAAAAAGGCAATAACAAACTTTATTATGGGTTGACATGGTTATTATTATGTTAATGGAATAATTAAATATTTACCTAACTGGATTTGTAATTTGTTAAATCTCTTCAAATGAAATTAGAAAAGTTATTGCAAAAAACTATCACTATCATGATTTTTCTTTGTGAGTGGTTAAAATTATCTTTAAAACTTGTGTTGTTGTGCTGAATAATGATTAAACAAGGTAATGCTATTTTTATATAATGCTAAAAAAATCTCCGAACTCACTGCTATTCTTTTCTTCTCATTCATTGGATCCATGTCTGTAAAAAAAGGCAGGAGTGTGGTGATTGGTTGAATATGATAAACTGCTGGTACAGAGTTTGTATCTAGTAAATACCATTTTTCAACTACATCGAATTTTAAATCCATCCATGAAGCCAAACGACGGAACAAGCGGAACTCTGTGACAGGCACTGAGTTAGGTAATGGCCTTGTTCCATATTTGTCACCAAGAAATAACTGAAAATAAAGTAAGAATTTGTAAAAGTCTTTATAAATATGATATGGTTCTAGCTCAAAGGGGGAAAAGAATGGTTACTTTATTTTTTAGAGAGGCCCGAAAGACATACTGCAGTTGACAAAATAAAATTTAACAAACATACTTACAACAAAGTTTAACAAACATACAACAAAGTTTAACAAGCATACATACAACAAAGTTTAATAAACATACTTGCAACAAAGTTTAACAAACGTACTTACAACAAAGTTTAACAAGCATACTTACAACAAAGTTTAACAAACATACTTACAACAAAGTTTAACAAACATACTTACAACAAAGTTTAACAAACATACTTACAACAAAGTTTAACATACATACTTACAACAAAGTTTAACAAACATACTTACAACAAAGTTTAACAAACATACTTACAAAAAAGTTTAACAAACATACTTACAACAATGTTTAACAAGCATACTTACAACAATGTTTAACAGATATACTTATAACAAAGTTTAACAAACATACAACAAAGTTTAACAAACATACTTACAACAAAGTTCAACAAACATACTTACAACAAAGTTTAACAAACATACTTACAACAAAGTTTAACAAACATACTTACAACAAAGTTTAACAAACATACTTACAACAAAGTTTAACAAACATACTTACAACAATGTTTAACAAACATACTTACAACAAAGTTTAACAAACATACTTACAACAAAGTTTAACAAACATACTTACAACAAAGTTTAACAAACATACTTACAACAAAGTTTAACAAACATACTTACAACAAAGTTTAACAAACATACTTACAACAAAGTTTAACAAACATACTTACAACAAAGTTTAACAAACATACAACAAAGTTTAATAAACATACAACAAAGTTTAACAAACATACTTACAACAAAGTTTAACAAACATACTTACAACAAAGTTTAGCAAACATACTAACAACAAAGTTTAACAAACATACTTACAACAAAGTTTAACAAACATACTTACAACAAAGTTTAACAAACATACTTACAACAAAGTTTGGTCCAGCAGAGGTCAGCTGGCAATTTTTTATTTCTTTAAGGCAAATGTCTGTAGTCATGTGGTCTGCATATGCATCTTCTCTCACACCCCAGCGCATGTCAACAACCTAAATATTAAGACATCTGTTAATGTTATACGACATTTAAACATAGTGTCTGCATGAGTTTAACCGAGTATGATTGAACTGTGAATTAGACTCAATTGCACAAACTTAAACATTTTAGGTAGGTTGTCGCTTGACCTACAAAATGTCAATTGCTCTATTTAATATTGTTTTTAACATACTGAAAATATATTCTAAACTATAGAAAAATTATAGCCTGCTTTCCATTAAACTTATGTCATTAATGTTTTAAAAATCATGCAGGGTAAAATAAAACCTTTAAAAAATAACTTGATCGAGACAACAGCTAACTAAGCCTGCCCATTTTGCCCGCCGTGTATTTGAATGGGGAGAAATCTAGCAGACGACACATTTCTGCTAAACGTCAGTGAATGATTAATAGCGTCACTAAACCACTCCTTAAAAAACTAACCCACCGTATCACTGAAAATCAGTCTTATCATTGTAGCCATTTAAAAACAAACGCGTTTTTTCACAAATCATTTTCTAGGCTACCAAATAGATTGGATAAATAAAATTGGTATCAAATTAAAGGTAAATAAATGTAGTTTTTAATTTTTAAAGTCATCATGAACAATAATGAAGTTTAAAATCTTGGCGACACCCTATTTTAAGCTTATTACACAATTAAATATTTCACACAGTAAATAAGTTTGGTCATTTAATTTCATTAGAATAGAAACCATAAAAAACTTGAATCATAGAGTAAACACTTTTGTAGGCTTACTGTCTTGAATTTCATTCAAGTTTACACTCACTAAGATAACTTGAAATAACATGATTAAATTTTTCAGAAATAAACCTACTTCAAAATCAAATCCTTTTTCATTACAATATTTTCTTAGTTCTGGTATGGCATTGTTCATTAGCATGTTCCTTTCCTCAGTCATATCTGGAAATTTAAAAAAAAAACCCATGTACTATGTTATATTCATTTTAATATATTACAGCCTATGTTAGAAGTATGAGAAGCTAAAAATAGTTTGATTTAAAAAATCCTTAAGACTGATATTCTTCCTTTTTGTCTAACATAGCCAAAACGGCATTATGGCAAAAAAAAAAAACTTCATTTCTTTTCAGTAAAGTAGATTGTTTTTATCATAACTGTAATGGCTGTTATTTTTGTACATAAAGATTGAAAAAAAAACAACAAAAAACTTTATTTCACCTGTAAATGTTGAACTGAAGAACACTCTTATGGCTAATGAAGGAGGCAGTGGGAGGTTATCAAGGTTTCCAGTTAAAATTCTGTCTGTATGTAGCCTTATCTTGTTTGTTAAAGCCATCTTGTCTCAAGTTGAGCAAACTGATTCAATTATATTCTTATATTATCTTCAATAATATATCTTAAATTAATAATTAATTGATGCATAAACTACCAGAAAATCTAAATTTTGGGTTTACTTTGTAAGCCGAAGTATAATTTACATTAGCTCATGGTAAACCCAAACCCTCACCAGTCCAATGTTCCCAGTTGAGACTATATCTAAATCATAGTCGATCTATATCCCCTTCTGCAATTAAATATCTATTGAGTGATTTAATATTATCTCCCCTTAGTATCAAAACTGTTTAATTAAGGCTGCGGCTATTCGTACTTAAATACAAATAGCCCTATGAAGGCTATTCATACTCTGACCAATCAGCGTGGGGCATTTTTTAAATTCTTGAATTCCCTTTTTCATCTTTTACATGCTGTATAGATCTAGAACTAATTATTTTAGATCTCACTAACCCTAACCCTAAATCTAACCCTAACCCTATGCCTAACCCTAACCTTAACCCTAATCCTTAAGTAAAAGTTAAAAAAAAAAAGCAAAAAAAAAAAATAGAAAAAAAACTCTGTGCTTCGAAAACAAACTGGCCAATGCACAACCACTTCGACCACTAAAAATAGCAAAAGTACGAATAGCCCTCTGATGGCTATTTGTAGTGAAGTACCAATAGACACTCTCTGAATTAATTTGTAATGACTAATTAACCATGTAATTAAATTTAAAAAAAAGATAGATTTGTATTATCATCGAAGTGGAACGCATCTAAAAAGTTTGACCAAAGTCGCTGCATTGGAAGTTTGTCAAATTTGAGTTACAAAATTTGCCACAAACCCACAGACATTGCAAACTACATACATATTACATAAATCAAATAAATGTGATAAAAGCTTGTAAAAAGAAATGTTGCAAAAGATTCCTCTCCACTCAAGAAGGGAATGGTGTTTTTTTTTTAATTTTTAGGTAAAACAGCATAAGTATAGTATACCAGTATAAGTAATAATAGTAATTAGTAAATGATAATTTAAATGCCAAGCCAGGCGTGTGGACGTGGTGCCGTTCTGTTCTAGATCTAGAATCTAGTAAATTAATGATTGCCACAAGTCACTTTTCATGCTGCATATTTATGACACATTAATCATAAAGTCTAGGCCTACTATTCTTTAACTGTTTTATTAGTAGATCTAGATCTGCATCTCTTTAAAATGTCTTTATTTATTTTGTCTTTTAACACTTAAATTACGAGTGCGCTTGTGCTTCTGTCGCCCTAGTTACAATAAACTCTCCTATCGAGGGAGATTTAAAAATATTTTAACAGCTGGCTTGACCGAGGCCGCTGCCAGATCAAAAAAAAAAAAAAAAAAAGATCCCTATCTATCTAGAAATAGATCTAGAGCTACTAAATCCATGTAGATTTAGACTATTTAAAACGAAAATAAACCTTACAAAAAATACAAAATGTAAATCAAATTAAGTGGGTTAAAATATACAAAGCCCTTTATTTTTAATAATTGTTCTCTTTTTGATTGTCAATTATTTATCATGATTGACTAAAGATATTAGCAATGAGCAAAATTAAAATCTATGCGAATAACTCCGACATTATTGCTTGTAAAATAATCACATGAACACAAGATTTTATGAATTTATGTATTCTAGACTAAATTTCTGTACACGAGACAATATATACTAGATCCAGATCTTAACGTGTTACAAAGTTCAGTTTTTGGTTGCCTTCTCGTGTTGAAATTATTTGGCCGACAAATGCTAAGAATTTTTCATTGGTTTTAGAAAAGTTTAAATAGTTTTTAGACTTCGATCTAGATCTAGATTCTAAGATCTAGATCTAGCTGATCCAGTAGCGTAGCGAGAGGGGGGGGGGGGGGGGTCGGGGGGGGGGGGGGGTCGGGGGGGGGGGACATATGTCCCCGGGCGCCGACCTTAGGGGGCGCCAAAATGGGTTGGAAAAATAAATCGAAAAGTTTGTCCCCGGGAAGGGTCGCTACGCCTCTGAGCTGATCTAGTCTATATTATTATTGTTTTCTTTTGTTAGCCATTCATTCAGTAGGCCTTTTAATGCTATTTTTTTCATGTGGTAATAAAGTAATAGTGAATAATGTCTAGAATCTATATTTAGTCTGTTTTCTAATTTAATAAATGTCCAATTTAAAAAAAAAAAACTTGAAAATAAAACAGGTTTTTATAAAAATTCCTGAACAGGATAAATTTTAGTATAAATACAAGAGTTCTCTCCCCTCAACATAATACATCAGCAAAATGCATCAGTTTTTTAGTTTTATTAAACTAAATCTTGTGAACATTGATGACCTAGTCCTATCATAATTATTATAATAGATTGACGACAGAAGCCTGTGGTTGTATATAACACATTTAATGGGTCTAACTACATCACGATGGTAACACACAGAGAGGACGGAAGGAAGTACCCAAGGGACATCACTCAAGATAACAATATTATAAATATAACTAATACAGAAGAGTGAGTTCCCTTGACCTCACAATTATTTCAATCTATTACATCCCTTTACCCTTAGAACACAATAACACATCTCTCAATAGAACAATTGATAGTATCCTAAAATCACCAATTATATTGTAACATGAACATTATGGTAGATCACATCCTTACAAACAATGCACAATATGCCACAACATAATCAAGATACAAAACAATGATGTCAAAGTCCTTTTGACCTTTAAAATCATAGGTCTAACTTATTTGGGACTTTGATTGTCCTGCTTGACCTTCTCAGTGGCTTTTGATTTGGTGACTCAAGATTCTGACCATCTGGATTCTCTATCTCAGGAGGTCTAGGATTTAAATCATTAACTCCAGAATTTACATTTTCTGACTCCAGACAACTTGGTTCACTCATATCAACAGAACTTGGTTGTGGAACAAACTGAGTTGGTGTGAACTGATCAGATTTGGTGGGATTGACAGATTCACACTTATTATCTGCACAAGTTATTTTTAACTTTATAAGGCACAGGTCCTGTACATTGAACAATTTGACCTGGTATCCATTTTTCCTTTCTCCCATAATTTCTTAGATACACATACTCATTAACACCAAATTCTCTTTCAATGAATGTTTGTCATGATTTAATGGAACCATTTTTGAATTGGCATCTGAAAGTATTATGCTGTTATTCAGATCCTTAACTGACATAGATTTCTTTGATTGATCAATTTCCTCATGTAATCTGATAGTGCTTTTTGGTAACCAAAAATACTGTTTATGAGTAATATTCTGGACCATATCACTTTGCAACTGTGATCCAGTATTTGAAGTGGGTGTATTCAATGGCAAAAATCTTTGCTCTTTTCTTTTGATGTTACCCTTTTAGTTTCTGTAAGTGCTAATGATGTTAGCAAAGTTGTTTGATGATCACATTCCTTCTTACTAATGTATTCTCTTTAAAACATTTGAAATTGCCATATCACCATAATCATTTATCAAGTTACAAGTACTTTGTTTAGGCAACTCTGACTGGTAATGGACTGCATCTTCTCCATCTTTTATATTATCTTCACAAAGGTTTTTATTTCTTATTTTATATGGCCTTAAGTCATCATTCACAGACTCTTCAGGCCAACCATTCATACAGTGCTCATATACTTTTATTAAGCACTCATCTTTTTGTGTTTCTCTTTTAATATCATTCACATTTATATTGGAGTTATCCATGATAGTGAAGAGAACAAATACATCTTCTGGTACATAGCTCAGGCTTTGGTTTTTTAAAGGTAATCTACTAAGACTATCTGCACTATTCTCAGATCCAGGTTTGTATTTCAATTCATAATTGTATGCAGTTAGTGTGATAGCCCATCTTTGAATTCTTGGTGAGGCATGCTCAGGTAGGGTTTTGTTTTCTCCAAATAAACCTAGCAATGGTTTATGATCTGTAAAGATGGTGAACTTCCTACCAAACAGAAACTTATGAAATTTCTTAACACCAAAAATGATGCCTAAGCCTTCCCTATCTAACTGAGAATAATTTTTCTCAGCCTGGTTCAAAGATCTACTGGCAAAAGCAATGGGTCTGTCACCCTTCTCATCCATGTGGGACAAGACTGCTCCTACACCATCTGGTGAAGCATCACATGTTAATATAAGTCTTTTCCCTGGGTCATAGTGAGTTAGTAAGGTGTCAGCAGACAAAGCCTCTTTTGCTGTATTAAAAGCAGCTTCTTGTTGTTTACCCCAGTGCCAAGTTGCATTTTTCTGTAGCAGCTTGTACAGTGGTGATAGTTTACCAGACAGATTTCCTATGAACTTTGCATAGTAATTTATTAAGCCCAAAAAAGCTCTTAGTTGTTGGGTATTTTCAGGTTTGGGTGCTTCTTTAATGGCTTTTGTTTTCTCAGGTTGAGGTCTGATACCTTGTTTGCTCAATATATAACCAAGAAAACTAATTTCTGTCAACATGAATTGACATTTATCTTTGTTTATCTTTAAACCTTTTTCGCCAACAATTTTCAATACTTTATCAAGTGTTTTAAGATGTTCAGTGTCATTCTTACCAGTTATGTACACATTGTCAAAGTACACACAAACATTTGGAATGTCCTTAAAAATACTGTCCATGACAGCTTGGAAAATTCCAGGGCTAGATGATATGCCAAAACATAGTCTTTCATATTGGTAGAGTCCTTTATGTGTGTTTATTGTCGTATAGACTTTTGAATCTGGATGCAGTTCTAGTTGAGTGTAAGCATGACTAAAGTCTAATTCAGTGAATTTGTCTCCTCCTGCCAAATTCAAAGAAATTTCCTCAATGTTAGGAATAGGGTACCTATTTAGCTCTATTTGCTTATTCAGTGTGGCTTTGTAATCTCCACAAATTCTTATAGAACCATCCTTCTTTAACACTGGCACAATGGGTGTCGCCCAATCGGAATAGTCTACCTTCTTTATAATGCCATTAGATTCCAATCTACTTAGCTCATTTTCAATTTTGTTCCTTATTGCATAAGGTGGAACTCTAGCTTTGCAGTATCTTGGATTTGTGTCTTTAATGCTTAACTTCACTGTTCTATCATTTAGTAATCCATGATTACCAAAAACACTTTTATTTTCAGATATAACTTTATCTAGTGAAGTAAGACTAGATTCTTTTACATTCTTCAATGAACAAATACTCTCCCAATTTAACTTAAGATTACTTAACCAGTTCCTACCTAGTAATGGCGGTCCATTTCCTTCAACCACAAGAAGAGGAAGTTTAACACTTTGACCATTATAATTTACATGAACCATACACTCTCCTATTACCGGAACATTGTCACCAGTGTATGTTGTTAGACACTTGTGACATGGCTGTAGAGGCACTGATCCTCCTATGACAGCGTCAAAATCTTTCTTTGTTATGACTGTTAGAGATGCTCCAGTGTCCAGTTGGAAGCTGATGCTCTTACCGTTGATATAAACTGGTACATTGATGGGAGCATGACTTATTGATTTCACAGAGAATAGGTTGAAATCCGGCTGCGAATCAATTTGAGCATTTTTACAGGTAGAGTGGTTCATTGGTTGGGTTAGGTAGTCTTGGTGAGAGTTAACATAGTGCTGCTTTTGGTTGCGGTACTGTCTTGACTGGCTAGATTTAGCAACAGACGAAGACTTTGCAAAGCAGGCCTTAGCAATGTGACCTTGCTTACCGCACTTATAACAAGTTGCAGACTTGAACTTGCACCGATGAGATGCATGGGGACCTTTGCATCGATGACATTTTTGATAATTATTACTAGATTTAGATCTAGGATTTGAACGAGCAGGCTGTTTAGCATAAGTTAGAATGCTCTGATAGGGTTGATGTTTATTGACTAACCTGCTGTTTACTGCATGGATCTCTGAAGGTGCTAAAGATCTCGCCGCATCTGATGACTGCTGGAATGACATTGCAAGTTGTATTGCTTTTTCCAATTTTAGATCTGACTCGAGCAGCAACTTTCTTTGAATATCAGGGCTGTTTACACCTGTCACAAACTTTTCACATAGTCTGTCAGACAGCGTATCGCCGAATTCACAAAATCTACTTAAATGACGTAAAGCAGCAACATATTCTGTTATTGACTCGTTTGGTTGACGAGTCCTACTGTCAAATCTAGCTCTACATAAAAACTTTGATGGGGTAGGCGCATGGTGGTCTGTTAGCAATTTGCTCAGCTCGTTAAAGCTCTTGGTAGTTAGACTAGCTGGTGTGCATAAGTCTTTTAGTAGCCTAAATTGTTGAGGCCCTATGACTGTTAACAAAACAGCTCTCTTTTTGGCTTCTATCGTCACGTCGTTAGCTTCTAGGTAAAAGCTTAACCTCTCTAGGTAATCTTGAATGATTTCATCATTCGCATCAAATTGATTTATTTGGCCATACAGCGCCATAATTCTAGAAATAATTAGCTAATAAGCTCTAGCAAACCTCTTTTTTGCGTAAGTAGGTGCTCTTTCTAGTCGATGTTTATCCTTCGTCGCCAATTATAATAGATTGACGACAGAAGCCTGTGGTTGTATATAACACATTTAATGGGTCTAACTACATCACGATGGTAACACACAGAGAGGACGGAAGGAAGTACCCAAGGGACATCACTCAAGATAACAATATTATAAATATAACTAATACAGAAGAGTGAGTTCCCTTGACCTCACAATTATTTCAATCTATTACAATTATATTAATTAAGATTTTGTTGCTCAAGTTGGCTATCATATCTGCAAATGACTGATTAAATTTATATATCAACCGTGCATTATTTTGTAAAGAAAAAGCCTCCTTATATAAATTATATAATAAAGGCTAAGAATGCTGGGCTAAAATGAATAATTTTTTTTTAAAAACAAACTAGATCTAGTACTAGATCTAGGTTCAACTAGAATATGGTTTTTAAATTTAAATTACTTGAAACTGTTACTGTTTACTTCCTTCAAAGTCTGCAATTTTGGTGAAAACAAATCAAATTCATTCTATCAAGCGAACACATCCCATCACAATCAAGAATTGAAAGAGAACAAGATGTAACTTTAAAATCATTTATTTTAAGAAAATTCAATGATGGTACAGCTTTTCATTTGTTTTTCATTAGCTTGACAACTCTAGTCCACTGGAAACTTGGAAAAAACAACTGAAAGAGAAAACAAATATTTAATGAATCAAATTTATTTAAGGATGAGATACAAGATTTAAATACAACTCTAAAGAAAATTGTTATAAAAATTTGTGTTGAAAAGAAAAGATTGCAACCTAGATCTAGCAGTTAACAGACTGACCTTAAAATTGTAGTACATTTAGAACACTTGTGTAAGTTTTCAATGAAGACAGAACTGTGCAACTGTTTCACACACTGCCATTTTTACATGACTGGAGGATGTTCAACTATTCACTGGGAAAAGTTTTGCATCAGGATGGCTGAAACTAAAGTACAAAAAGTCTACACAATCAGAATGAAAAATTACACAAAATGTATAGATTTATGGTTTCTAAAGATCTCCATGGCCCCTGAAAGCAAATAAAAAATTAAATTAGGAGAGAGCGCAAAAATAACTACAGTCAATGTACCTGATTAAACATTTGATAATCAAAGATTTAAAAAGCTATGGTCAACTTGCCTGTTTTGAACAAGATTAGCCTCCCTTAGCATTGCATAGTAAATCTTGTTTTCAAGTTTCTTCCCTTGGCTACATCTGCTTTACCTCAATAACCATGCTCAACTAGGCCCTATGTGTCTTCACCAGTTTGACCTATTTAAGTAAAAAAAAAAACAAGTAGTCCTCAACACAATTACACTGAAAGCAAAATCTACAGCTTTGATCTGTATGTGAAGAGATTTCATTGTCGACTCCTGCAAAAAATAATGCAATTGTGCAAAAATTAATTACAATCAAAACATCACATGTCAAAGTTTTTCAAAATTTGGGTATTGCAAAAGCAAATTGTCAACTTACAAGTTTTTGAACAAAATGTGTTCCTCTTGGCATAGAGTATAAATCGCCGAATGGAAGGAACCTTCAACACGTCTTTTTCTTGTCGTTTCTTTCCTGGACTGGACATCATACATCAGTTTTGCTTCATTTTCGGAAAAAAACCACGTTTTTAAATAATCCATAGAATTGTATAAACTATCATTCAACTTACCTCAATGGTACAATATGCCTTCCTCTTAGCTTGATATGAAATCCTTAGAGAGAATCTGACATACGGCTGTTCCAAACAAGCTGAACTATCCTTTGTGATCTAAGTTACTCCTGTATAAAATTCAAATATAAAATTAATCATTTATTTAATCATAAAGAAACTAAGAAAAAAAACTGGCTTATGATTAACGGGAGAAAGAAATGGTAGGCGTTTTCTTTGAATCTGAGGAAAAATAATAAATTTAATAAACAGCAAAATTAAACTAGAGTCAATACACATGACAAAAGAGCTGTCATAAAATCAAGTATAAATAGGTTATGGTCAAGTTACCTGTCTGTAACATGTTTCTCTTGACTTCACATGAAATGTTTTCAAGTTACTTCCCTTGGTAGGACAGCTCCTTTAACTTTAGCTACAACTCCATGTTCAACCCTTGTAGTTGGACTCGCCCAGTCTCCTTTATCAAATAGAACAAAGTACCAATTAGTAGACTCATAAACAATGATAATCATATCCAGAAACAAGTCTTTGTGGTGCCTGGGTGGGAGTGAGGGAATAAAAACATGAAATAATTAGTAGAGTGCATGCACATTACAGTTAATGAATTGTTGAAAGAATGGCTGTACAAAATGGAAGTATTAAAAAAGATTATGATCAACTTGCCTGTCTGGAACAATTATGTGCCCTATCCATAGTTTCCCTTAAAATACTTAAAACAAATACAATAGGTTTTTATCTATACAATCATAATACACAAATGAATATGTCATGTGGAAGGGAATTCACTCCCAGCTTTAAAGAAAAACTAGTAGTAAAAAAAACAAAAACAACATTACATGATAAATGCATAAACTAAGGATGACCAAATGTATGTCCTACCTCAACTTTGTCCCAAATACCAAGCTGTGCTGTCGCCTGTAGATGTGCTGACTGTCCCAAATACCAAGCTGTGTTGTCGCCTGTAGATGTGCTCTGACCACAGCTTCACTCACAAAACATTCCTCTACAAAACCAGATGTGTCTGTGTGCTGGGGTTTCCTTTAATGCACCTTTAAAGTTTTAAATCAGAAACTAAAAAGTTTAAAATAAACAATAAACTTTACTTGCATGGAGATTCCTGTACGGGTATGTGAACGCACATATTCAAGCAATGTTGCATACTTTTCTGGTCATCTAACTTGACAGTTACACTGGATAAGACCAACGGATGAAAGCTGAGGAGATTTGGAAAAATAAAATGACAAAATACATTTTTAAGAATGAACATGTGGTTCGAAGATCTGGATATTTCATGGAAGGATCCTGGGAGGATCTTTGGAAAAAATCCTGGAAAAATAAAGTTTGAAGAGTTAAATGCGTTAGTTAAAAGATACATAACTAAATACAGGACCACCGTGGGCCAATATAAACATATATAAAATAATTTCTCGCACGCTACGGTCCTATCATCTCGCAAGCTACAGCCCTATATAACATGTGCAAGCCTGTTATTAAGGCAAATAAAACTGCAAGTAAAAGATAATACAAGCACCATCAAAGCCACTAGACGGCTACAGCTGGGTTGGACAGTCCCGGTTTAACACGTAGAACTAAGCTATCGTTAATACTGAATTATGTAAGGCTAAAAGATATAAAGGCTATGGTCAATTTACCTGCCTCCAACGAAGAACATGCGTTCTTATCACCTTCACCTGCTGGTTTGGCTTCCTCCGATGCACGTCCAAGACTTGCACCTAAACACCACCCAACAATCCTGCCGGAAAGTTGGGTGCCATCACTGATCCCTCCTACCCACGGCAGCGCTACCGCGATAGGGCTTCACAGCTTGACACTACGTGATGTCCAGGACTTCCCCAAGCACAAGTCGAACTACTGCCTCCCCCCCTCCGGCAGCGCTACCTTCAGGAAGGATTGGTAGCCCAGTTAGTGCTGGAGAATTGCAAGCTTGTCCCGAGCCACTTTGCAACCCGCTGCTGGAGTTGGTGCCCGCACTGATCCCCCCTACCCACGGCAGCGCTACCGCGATAGGGCTTCACAGCTTGACACTGGACTCGGGAAGGTCCAAGAGCTGGAACTCTGGGGAAAAAAAGCAGCTGCACTCCTCTTGAACAGGAACGTTGCTCCATTCTCCTCCCCTTCGTCGAGCCTTCAGTGATGAACCACTACTTTCCCAGCTTTGACCCCCGCAACTGGTGGGTGAGACCAGCACTGAGGGCCTCCGACAGGGATTGTGTGGCTGTTGCCCTGACCAGTAGTCCCCTTTGAAATGGCCCACCCAAACCATTATCGCAGGTTATACTGAGAACAGAGTTTCCTCTAGGCGGCGGCTAATGGAACAAAACAGTAACGTACAGATTAGCATCCATGACACCTAACAGACAAGCTTAGGACTGTCCAACTTGTGCGGCCAAAAGTGACATTGATGAGCGCGTCAACTACGCATGTGTATGGTAGTTAGCAGAATAGAAGAATCGTTGCGGATTAGATTCATGATCATAGTAGCAGTTTAGGTTATCAAAGTTAATCTTAGCGGATTAGATTGCGGAATTTAATCGGAGCGGATTAGTGGAATTACATTTTACCGGTTGATAAACTGAGGCTGCATAGTCTCTATGCATAGCAGGCTAAAACTAATTTTAGAACCGCATTAGATCTAATCTAGATATGAAGAGAATCAGTCGCATGTAGCGACAAATATTAAATAACCAACTTACCAACAAGAAAATTTCTTAACGTGACACACCTGTAGCTAAACTATAAGCCCTAGGTCTATAGAGTTGATAACTCGTTACTTGACTAACTAGATACACCTGTAGCTAAACTATAAGCCCTAGGTCTATAGAGTTGATAGCTCGTTACTTGACTAACTAGACACACCTGTAGCTAAACTATAGGCCCTAGGTCTATAGAGTTGATAACTAGTTACTTGACTAACCAGACTTTGACGTGATGATGTTCCACCCGCACTTGACTGGATGTCTAATGAAGGTCTAACGTAGTCGGCCTTAAGTCTAGTAATATGCCTGCTACACGCCATTGGCTCTGCCTTTGTTGTGAACTGTATTCACGTGTTTACCTGAACATTTGAACAAAAATTGACAACCGTGACCGAACACTTCACAACACCCGCCCACAACCTTACTCCACCCTGCCCTTTTACTACATCTTGTCCGAATCTTAAGGTAATGCAGGGGCGTATCCAGGTTTACAGTTTGAAGGGAGGGGGGTCTTTGCACTGATATCAGACAGTAATATTCAGTGAATTCAGTTTATAGAGTTTATTGGCAAGTACTTGACCAGTCAAGAGTTTCTCTGCCCCATGTTAGGCGAACACAATCACAATGAAGATGTCTAAATTCAGCAAAACTAGAACCATTTTTAATCTCACTGAATTGATATTTAGGCTATTCGTAATAACCCAGTTGAGTATTTTAACGTATGTGTCAGAGACTTAAAGAAGTAACAAAAACACAAAACTAAAAGCCCAGTCAGAGATTAAAGAAGTAACAAAAACACAATACTAAAAGCCCAGTCAGAGACTTAAAGAAGTAACAAAAACACAATACTAAAAGCCCAGTCAGAGACTTAAAGAACTAACAAAAACACAATACTAAAAGCCCAGTCAGAGATTAAAGAAGTAACAAAAACACAATACTAAAAGCCCAGTCAGAGACTTAAAGAAGTAACAAAAACACAATACTAAAAGCCCAGTCAGAGACTTAAAGAAGTAACAAAAACACAATACTAAAAGCCCAGTCAGAGATTAAAGAAGTAACAAAAACACAATACTAAAAGCCCAGTCAGAGACTTAAAGAACTAACAAAAACACAATACTAAAAGCCCAGTCAGAGATTAAAGAAGTAACAAAAACACAATACTAAAAGCCCAGTCAGAGACTTAAAGAACTAACAAAAACACAATACTAAAAGCCCAGTCAGAGATTAAAGAACTAACAAAAACACAATACTAAAAGCCCAGTCAGAGACTTAAAGAACTAACAAAAACACAATACTAAAAGCCCAGTCAGAGACTTAAAGAAGTAACAAAAACACAATACTAAAAGCCCAGTCAGAGACTTAAAGAACTAACAAAAACACAATACTAAAAGCCCAGTCAGAGACTTAAAGAAGTAACAAAAACACAATACTAAAAGCCCAGTCAGAGACTTAAAGAAGTAACAAAAACACAATACTAAAAGCCCAGTCAGAGACTTAAAGAACTAACAAAAACACAATACTAAAAGCCCAGTCAGAGACTTAAAGAACTAACAAAAACACAATACTAAAAGCCCAGTCAGAGATTAAAGAAGTAACAAAAACACAATACTAAAAGCCCAGTCAGAGACTTAAAGAACTAACAAAAACACAATACTAAAAGCCCAGTCAGAGACTTAAAGAACTAACAAAAACACAATACTAAAAGCCCAGTCAGAGATTAAAGAAGTAACAAAAACACAATACTAAAAGCCCAGTCAGAGACTTAAAGAACTAACAAAAACACAATACTAAAAGCCCAGTCAGAGACTTAAAGAACTAACAAAAACACAATACTAAAAGCCCAGTCAGAGATATTTAAAGGGGCTTTAATTAATCTTATTGTAAACTTGGTTAAAATGATTAGTCCAAAAAGACGCCACTGAACTGAAAACGGTCGCCCCCCCCCCCCCCCATAACCTCTCCCCCATACCCCTTCCATACCCTCTCCCCACCACCACTGACTGCCGTTTTAACGATGAACTCACATGCACGAAGTTGACGGGTCGACCATGGCTACACACAACACACCACAGCGGGATAACTGCTTACAGGGTCGACAAATACACATCAGGCAGTGGTGAGCTCTTCTGTTCTAATGTAAACGTAAACACGTTCGCCGTGTCCCCCTTCATTTTTCCATGCCCCCCCCCCCCCCATACATAAACACAAATAAACTGTTGATGACGGCCGTTGGTCAAGTTTATGGCTTTTACATCCAATCGACCCTCACTTTGTTATTGTTGTGAACTGTTTTCACGTGTTTACCACACGATCAGTGTTTCTTCCAGACTTTTTTTCTCCGAGGGGGGGACACTTGATATTTTCGGGGGGGGGGGCGGTCAACACTTTCCGGGGGCGGACACTTGTTAAAGTATATTTTTACTATATAAATTCCATCCCCCGAAGAGATGCCTGGAAGAAACTCTGCACACGAATGGAAAAAACCCATTAAAAAAAAACAGCATAACGCAACATTGGTTTTATTTTTAAGAAGTCGTTCTAAAATTTTCGGCTTGATGTTACTTGCCATGTTACGTATTTGAGGACCAGACCTCTGCCCCTGCCTACAATCTTAATCTGCCCCACCCGCTTACTACTTCTTGCTTGTGTCTTATAATCTTAACGTAAAGGCCATTTTTACTTTACCATTTGATCAAAATTACTAAACTGGAGGCCCCTATATAAACATTCTATAAGCCAAATCAGTGAAACCATTCCTTTATTGACCTAATGAATGTGCTGCTTTAAAGCACCGTCAACATTAATTTGTAGGTCTGACGTGATTCCGACATTTGAATGGATTTCACAAGATTTGGACGATTCATGCACAGACCGCATGAAGGTCCGGTCTGCCAGTCTTGTTCTATCCACCAGTTAACTGCACTGTTTTACTGAGTTGACCCTCGTTTTAAAGTTTTGTGATACAAATTTTAGAAGCACATTTCAAGCAAAACAGACGAAAGCCAACTGTCGAGGACAGACTTTTAAAAAAAAAAAGAACTATCGTTTTTATTCCTCCAACATGATGAAGCATCATGGGCCTAGACATACTCACCACCAAAACCGTATCAGTCACGCAGCATCCTACATGTAGACTGTATCTCACGTGATGCGTCTTGGCTTCCTTCACGTAATAATTTTAAGACAACAGATGACTCCCCTAGGTTACCTATCGCAAATAGAAAAAGCCCACCCAGTTTTATCTACATTCGTGTGTTTGGATGAGATCTCGCTGGACACAGAAAATAATTGGTATTAATGGCGTGGGTGGGTCATATTGTTGTGACGTGTGGTGACGGTCATCTTTAGGTCGTCGTGACGTGTGGTGACGGTCATCTTTAGGTCGTCGTGACGTGTGGTCATCTTTAGGTCGTGGTGACGTGTGGTGACGGTCATCTTTAGGTCGTCGTGACGTGTGGTGACGGTCATCTTTAGGTCGTCGTGACGTGTGGCAACGGTCATCTTTAGGTCGTGGTGACGGTCATCTTTAGGTCGTGGGGACGGTCATCTTTAGGTCGTGGGGACGGTCATCTTTAGGTCGTGGTGACGGTCATCTTTAGGTCGTCGTGACGGTCATCTTTAGGTCGTGGTGACGTGTGATCATCTTTAGGTCGTCGTGACTGTCATCTTTAGGTCGTGGTGACGTGTGATCATCTTTAGGTCGTCGTGACGTGTGGCAACGGTCATCTTTAGGTCGTCATGACGGTCATCTTTAGGTCGTCGTGACGTGACATGCGGGAAAGTAACAACCGGAGGGATACTGACGTACTGGACTATGTCAAATGGTTTACTACAACATGGAATGCTGCGTACTTCAAGTTTGTGAAGGGCACAATTCAACACAGTGTATAGATGTTATAAAATGTTCGCCGGCACATTGTTAATTGTTAAGAGGGGGGGGGGGGGGTTACATTGCAATAGAAATTAATTGATAACTCAATGACGACGGAGCTCAGAAAATATTTTAGGAAGAAATCGATGTTTGGGAAAACAAAAAAACTGCTATTTTGAGGGAGTTCTAGGCTGAGTTGACTAACTCATACAGGTTTAAGTATTCAAGTTCTTCACTATTTGACCAACACTACATACAGGTTTAAGTATTCAAGTTCTTCACTATTTGACTGAGTGACCAACACCATATACAGGTTTAAGTATTCAAGTTCTTCACTATTTGACTGAGTGACCAACACCACATACAGGTTTAAGTATTCAAGTTCTTCACTATTTGACTGACCAACACCATATACAGGTTTAAGTATTCAAGTTCTTCACTATTTGACTGAGTGACCAACACCACATACAGGTTTAAGTATTCAAGTTTTTCACTATTTGACTGACCAATACATACAAGTTTAAGTATTCAAGTTCTTCACTATTTGACTGAGTGACCAACACCATATACAGGTTTAAGTATTCAAGTTCTTCACTATTTGACTGAGTGACCAACAACACATACAGGTTTAAGTATTCAAGTTCTTCACTATTTGAGTGAGTGACCAACACCATATACAGGTTTAAGTATTCAAGTTCTTCACTATTTGAATGACCAACACATACAGGTTTAAGTAATTAAGTTCTTCACTATTTGATTGAGTGACCAACACCACATACAGGTTTAAGTATTCAAGTTCTTCAATATTTGAGTAGCAGAAGTCTAGATTACATTGCTATGGCAGTCAGAGTCAACCCACCTAACAGCTTTAGGTGACAGTGTAAATCTTGTATACCTATATTTTTATTTGGTTTTATCAGAGTGATGGATAATTATCACATGCTTTGGTTATTGATGCAGTTAAGTCAAATTAAGTTAAAATCAAATCAAATACAATTTTTTAATAATTAATTTATTACCATAATTTCTATTAGTAAATAACAACAATAGGAAATATAACTCAGCAAAAATTCATTAAAGGTTCTAGTACCATTCACATTGTCCTGGGTTAGGCTTTATATCACATTCACAAAATATTTCTTTCACGTGTTTCCGTCAATAAATAAAGAAATCCTAGAGAAAAATAAATGCTGTAAATGACATCAGTTGGGCACACTTCATTATTTACCTCACAAGTAAATTGTTTTGCGCTGTAAAATATCCAATGTGACTGAGATCAGTTTTTAAACCAGCGACGTACTGAAGCAAGGGCAGAGTTGAAGGTGAGCAGCTTGGAGTGACTCAGACGAGCCTGTAGTAGGAGAGATCCAGCCTCTGCCTTAAAACCTGCCTGGTCTAGCTGGGCTACAATAGTGTCCACTGCAGGAAGCTCTGGCTGACCTTGGTGTTGAAGGACATGGGCAACCAGTGGTGAGTACACTGGCATTGAGACCACCCTCGCTGTCAGGTGATTTTTTAACAACATGGCCATCAAGTCAGCATCGGCTAAATTCTGAAAAGTAAAAATAAAATAACTACATATTTTGGTGAGGATAAAATACAGTTTAGTAAAGTATTAACAATATCACAAGGTAGAATAAGAATTGAGGAAATATTTTTTATTACAAAAATGTCCTTTTTTAAACCAACCAGAAACTTATGTATAGACCAGGGGTCGGCAACCTGCGGCTCGCGAGCCGCATGCGGCTCGTTTGATATCAAGATGCGGCTCTCCAGCTCCTTGCACAAATACTAATAATCTTAATAAAAAAATAAAATATTTGAAATTAAAAAGTGTTAGTGGCTCTTTAAAACCAGGGAAATTTTGAAAATTGTAACTTTTGGCTCTTCCGCTTCAAAAGGTTGCCGACCCCTGGTATAGACCAAACACCCCACAGAATAATAGTTAATGAATAATATTTATGTTCAATGTCTAATCATCAAACTAATTCATAATGGCTTGTTGAATTTCTACTTTTTATCTGTTAGACTTTTAGTTGTTTGTCTTTTTCCATGTCTATCTTTTATCCATGTCAGCCTATTATCAGCGTCTTCTTTATGTCTGTGTCAGTGTTTGCTTTTAGTCAGTGTCAGCCTTTTGATCATGTCAGTCTTTTATCTTTACTTATTTTTATTAACAGCTTTTGGCCATATCAGCCTATTGTTTTTCTCAACTATTTTGTTTGAGTCAGCTCTGTGTAAGTGGCAACTGATTGTCAGTGACAACCATATGTCAGTGTCAGCCTTTTGTCAGTGTCAACCTTTTGTCAGTGTCAGCCTTTTGTCAGTGCCAAACTTTTGTCAGTGTCAGCTTTTCAGTGGCAACCTTTTCCCTAGACCCTTGTTAAAATTATTTAGAAAACACTTACTTCACTAATATTCTCCAAAACCTTCAAGCCTTTTTCAACCAACTGTGGATAGCAGGACCTTAAAGCTAACTTCACACCAGAAATGTGTTGGTTGTCTTGAATTAACAGATCAACTATAGAATCAGTACACTGACAATAAAATAAAAAAATCTATTTAGAGCATTATAAATGATTAAACGTTGCAGATTCTAATCATGTAGATAATTTATCTTTGTTGGCAACATTGTACAGTATATATGTGAGTACAATTCATGCATATGAAAAGATGTTTTTTTTTACCTTAATATCAAGAGGAAAGATTGAGCATTCATTTTTTATAACATCATATATGATCTCTCCACTTGATTCTCCTTGAGGGGACACAATCGTTTTCAACATTTTCACCCACGGATTTGTATCTGGATTAGAACTGAAACAAAGCACTTTTATATTTTACTTTAGTTTACCAAAAAGTACTTCTTCCTTCCTTCCTTATATGGAAACCGGCTCAGGAGTTGGGCTCCCATTAGCCAGGCAGGCCTCAGTGTAGCAAACCCCGACCACGAGAGTTTCCTATACATCGGTCGCTACTTCCGTTGGCTCTCACCGGGCTTTCCTTCCCCACCCACCAGACGCGGGACGTCGTCCTACCGCCTGGTACCCAGCTTGATCGTGAGGGGTGTTCGGCCATCCTTTGAACTAGCGCATACAGCAGTTCTACTCGGCCAGATCAAAAACCTCTAGCTGCTGTTGGCTACCACTAGCCATTCCGCACCCATTAGGGGGGTCATGAGCTTGGTCTGACTAGTGGCACTCTTCCGAAGCCACATGAAGGCCGCAGCTTAAAGTCAAAATATCTGGTTAGGGTTGAGAGCAAACCCTTTTTGGTTCCTGGCAGTCTTGCACCTCTCCCCCCCCCCCCCCCCCCCCCCCACGCTATTATGTAGGGGACTTGGAAGTCCGACGTACCAGGCTCTTCGGAACCCAAAAAGTACTAAATGAGACTGTTGGATTTTGGTGATTATAAAATTAAAATAAATGCCAATTCTTGAAAGGGGGAACACTGAGAGATTAAAATTTGTTTGAAATATTTTATAATTGTTGATTAGGAAACTCATACATTTTAACTAGATGTGTAGATTTGTTAAATCTTACTAAAATTATATTTGGCATGGATTTTGTTTATAAAGAAGCCCTATATTTTTTAAATCCCCAAAATGTAAGAGATTATTCATAAGAACAAAACATGTTAACAGTTCATAAATAGTTTGTTTTTTAAATTTCTAAGTGCAGTCATCATCATAATAGATATGATAAATAAATAAATCTGCCAAACTTCAGAATTTGTTTTTGTATCACTCACCTGTATGAAGGAGAAAATGGTGGCCATAGTATGAGCAAATGTGCACATGTGACCAAATGATGTTTGTTGTTAGATTCTTGTAGAAGAGTTGAGAAGAAAGCAGCCCTTGCCTCCTCTGATATTATCATGTCCTCACTAATCTGTTTAAAATAAAGGGAAGGGATTGGTCATTAAATTAACTATGGCATGTGAAATCATTACATTATTTATCTAGCATAATAAATAAAAAACTTATTAAAACAATAACAAAACATCTAAGGAGAAACATATAAAGTTTTTAGTAGTTATAAACGGTTGAAAGTATAATAAAACAACTATCTAACTTCATTTTCAACACACTTATACCTGATTAAAAAATCAGCAATTATTTTTTAATAAATAAGCTTCATGGGGCACCAGAAGCACATGTTGAGAACCTGTGTAGGATCCTACTATACCATACAACATATGCCACTTCCACAGATAGTTGTGTGGGGCACCAGAGGCACATGTTGAGAACCTGTGCTAGATTCTTCTATCCCAAACAACATATAGCTAGAGATAAAAAATGTTCCCCTTTAGCAGCTATCACCTGTGTTAACTTACCTGTTTGTCTGGCCAACCAGATGTGACAAGAGCATCTGTTCTGTACAGTGTTAGAAGTGTTTTGTCTGTGGCGGACAAGTCAAAACTCTAAAACAAGAACAAAAAAAGGTGGACATAAAGTACTAGTAGAGATGAAATGGATTTTCTGTGAACACATGATTTAAATTGATGAGACCCAAAAGCTGATTTTTGTTTTGTTTCCGCCCATGGTGGGGTGTGGTAAGGCAGTAAAGCACACGAATGCTGACCCAAACATCTTAAGCTTTAGGACGTCGCATAGTCCAGCCAGCTGTAATGTTTACCTGGTCATGTTGGGGAAAGTAAAGGCAGCTAGATCACATTATTCCTTCATATTCCAAGGTCATGGAAAAAGATAAACTCCACTTCACTGCCCTAATGACCCTCTAGTCCAAAAGAATATCTTATTTTACTTTTTACAAATGATTGAATTTGTGAAAAAAAAAAGGTGAGGTTGACCTTTTCAAGGACCTTTAAAACATCCAGCCTTTGTGGAACTTGTATAGAAGAATCTGAGCAGAATGGTCTCAGTAGAGACATAACATCTTCAGCTTGCACTAGACTTCCACTGCAAATGTTCAACATTGGCTCAGACAAAATAACAACTCATTCTTACTTTAGAACTTACTGAAGTGGTGATTAAAATTTTCTCAAACAAAATTACAAATTCTTGCTTCTAAACTTAATGACATTGAGAGTTATAATTAAATCACTTATTTTGATTTTAGTAACAACATACACACTGAATAAAAGTCTATTTAATGTCTTTTTCATTCTTAAATTAAATGAAATTAAATTTTTTTTTTTACTAATGATCAAACATGTGAAAAGTAACTGCATCCTTTTAATTAAGGGATTATAATATTTTAAGCCAATTATTGCAATAACTCGTAGTCCACCCTGTGATAATTGTGTGGTCAAAGTTCTGTTATGTGGTCAAAGTTCTATTTACTGATTAATGAGGTCTACTTCCATGTTTTTGTTTTGTTTTAGTGTTCATGCATGAATATGTTGGTACATGAAGGGTTCCAATGCAAAATTATAAGTGGTAGCCACATCACTGACTCATGTACGGTTCAGGCAGGAGTCAAACAAGGATGTGTTCTGTCCCCACTTACAACTAGCCTAGAAGAAGACCTGGATTTTGCAGACCACATAACTGTAGTAGCCAGCAGTCAAAAATTAAATAGACTGATTTTGATAATGGAGTTGGACTCAAACTAAACATTAACAAAACCTAAGTTATGAAGCAAAACACATCTTGTCAAGAACCCTTAAAAATAAACAACACACAAGCAGAGGAAGTAAAAGATTTAGCATATTTAGGCAGCAGTGTCAATTATGAAGGGGACTGCATTTATGAATATAAAACACCCATCTCTAAAGCCAAACAAGCCTTTGCAACCATGAAAATTCATGGCAATCGAAGAAAATCTCCAAGACCAAATGCAGACTTTTCAAAAGTAATGTCCTTAGCATCCTACTGTATGGCAATGAATGCTGGAAAGTAATAAGTGCCACCAGCAGAGTACTGGATTCTTTCCAGTGGCCTAACACAATCTCAACTTATAGACTGCTAGGAGTGGTGGAATATGGAAGCAGTTCACAAAATATTTTTTTAAAAAGGAAGATGGTGATGGATGGGGCACGTCCTTAGAATGAATCCAGATGACATCTCAAGAATGGAGCTAAACTGGAAAAAGGGGAAAAAGAAAGCAGGGAAAGGCCGCAGGAGACAAGGAGGCATAAGGCAGGAAAGCTGTTGGCAAAGGCAGGACTGTCATGAGGGACTGCCTAGATAATTGGAGGGAGCTTTCTGTGGCGGCCCCATGTCTATTGGGCACAAAAAGGAAAAGATGATGTTGGTAAACAGCAGGCACTAAAATATTTTATTAACTGAGCAAGTGAGTGTTATCAGGGAGTTGTGTAAAATTAAGACATCAATATTAAGAGATCAATTATAATAGCATTTTAATTATGGTGGAAGTGGTATTTTTTTTACATGCAGAAATGGAGTAGCTATATAGGTTAGTCCTTGACACTAAGGGGTGAGTTTTTTAAAGTTTAAAGTGCTAGACATGTGTAAAAGGTTGTGGATATTTCAGGCTATAGCCAAGCTAATGTTGAAGTCTGCTCTACAACCTTAACTATGTGTAGTCTTGAACTGAGTTGTATTACGTGTGACTTCAGTTGCTTGTTAGCTTTGGAGAGAATTTGGAAAGCATAGAGTAGCTTACTGTGGTGGACCTACCCATTATCTTGATGTTCCCTCACATTCTCCACAACTTGCTGTAAAACTTCTAACAAAGATTTTCTCACAATTATTTCTTGTCTCATTTCTTTGCCCCTATAAAACAAAATGATTTTTTTTTAATCATAAAAATTAAACTCAACTGCACAATCAACTTTCTACTGATCATTATTAAACAATCAGATTTTGTTTAACCTTATTTCAATATACAGCAAGCCCATGGTTTATACAGGAGATCTATTGGCTGATTCACAACAATGCAACTTTCCTGCATGCTGTGATTCCCCAATGTAACAGCACTAGTATTATTTTGTGAACTAAAAGTATTTTAATTATGTTAAAAGGTGTATCCATGTGGAACTTGAATATGCATTCACAGAATGTATAGGGTGGGGCATCATTTTCCTTCCTCATTTCAGTGTTTGGCAAATTTGAATAGATATCTATTTTTTAGCAAGCTTCAATTTAAACCTCTGTCATCATAGTGTCTGAAATCATGCCATGTTTATTTAGACACCTACACTGAAATGTATTATCTATCATAAGTGAATTGTTGTGATTACAAAAGCTAATTAACACATTTTTGCTTGGACTTGATGGTAAAAAGATTGATGTAATACTTTTAACAAGCCTAGCGGCGTCGCCGCTATTTAGTTGTTTTATGTTATACTTTTCAGTAATTCATAATTTGGGAATTTGACAGTACCAACGCTGCCACTGAAAACATTTGCTTTAAAACACTATCAGTAGCTCCTTAAGGACGATAACCCCCCCCCCCTCCTTTCCCCAACCCCTACCCCACACCCCCGTGAAAGTAAACTCCTCTTAGTTACCTCCCCTAAGTTTAAAATCGTTTCAAACTAAATTATTTGCCCCTAATAGTCGTCACTAGACCCAGCTCTACGATTGTAAACATTTAGCGTGAACCACAGCTCACCAGACCATGTAGGGGTGGGTGTGGTAGGTGTGGTAGCAATAATAGACCAACCTTAATGCGCTGGCTATTATACTGACAGCTTCTTTCACAATCGTCTGTGTTGTCAGGGAACTTGCTGCTGTCACTTGTAAAACATCATCCACCAGCTCCACAGCCTGCCCATCTAGAATCATCTGGACCAGCAATAGTTTCACCTGAAACACATCAGCAAAGATGTGGCAATGTAGTACTGATAAAATGACAGGACTAGCAACACATCAGCAGAGATGTAACAATCTGCCACTGATAAAATGACAGGACTAGCAACACATCAGCAAAGATGTGACAATCTGCCACTGATAAAATGACAGGACTAGCAACACATCAGCAGAGATGTGACAATGTAGTACTGATAAAATGATAGGACTAGCAACACATCAGCAAAGATGTGACAATCTGCCACTGATAAAATGACAGGACTAGCAACACATCAGCAAAGATGTGACAATGTAGTACTGATAAAATGACAGGACTAGCAACACATCAGCAAAGATGTGACAATCTGGCACTGATAAAATGACAGGACTAGCAACACATCAGTAAAGATGTGACAATCTGCGACTGATAAAATGACAGGACTAGCAACACATCAGCAAAGATGTGACAATCTGCGACTGATAAAATGACAGGACTAGCAACACATCAGCAAAGATATGACAATCTGCGATTGATAAAATAACAGGACTAGCAAAACACCACCAAGAAATGTAAGTTGATTAAATTGTTTCAAATTAAATCTCTATCTATAACAACAATAGCATATAAAACAGCAAAGTTACAAAATATTAGGTAACAGTCAGATGACAGTACCTGCATGATGTCTCCTTTAGAGAGATCATATTGCTGAGCATATGAAGCAAAGGTGGGGTCTGTAGCCTGGGCAAAAGACTGTATGGTTTCACTGGACAGGGTTTTCAAGTGTTCTAGTCTTGTCTCTAGCTGTGAGGTACAATTCTCCCAGCTTATCTCCCTGTAGAAGCACAACAATTTTCTTTACATTTTAAACAAATATTGTTAGCAAAGCAGTAATACAAATTTATTGGTATACTAACTGTTAATTTTCTGGGATGGTTTTCATTACTAAATTAGTAAATAAATAAATATTAATTAATGTTAATAGAAATACTTGAAACAAAGTTTTTACTGATCCAAAAAGTTTTTTTTTTTAAATTTAGACAAGCTATCTGAAGTTAATTCTCCATGTGCAAACCAATAAATGTATCTATTGTCTTTTTTAAATGGCTATAAAAAGAGATTAAGAAGAAGTCTGATATTTAAAAAAAAAAACGTCTCTTTTGAATTCATATTCTTTAACTGCTCTGTGTTTTATGGTTTACAAACTCTTATAGTATAGTGGCTAAACATTAAAAACAGATAATAACACAGTCATGACAAAGAAAGCACAGAAAAAAAAATGGTATTATAAAGACAAATCACATTAAATAACTTTTAATGAATGTTAAAAGTACAAGGAAGTATTTAAAATATTCTATTAATCCTTAAAATAAATAGATTCTAAAAACATAAGAATATGTGGATATAATCTTCGTGAGGTTTCACTATTATGTTAAGCAGTGCAAGAGTGCAAATAGAATGCAAGTTCAAGAGATTATTTTAAAAATTACCCATTGGTATCCAGTTTTTCCTTTTTTGAGCCACAATTTTTTCTAGAAACTGCTACAGCTCTTTTGCTAATTTCTTCACGACAAGGCAAATCAAGCTGTAATAAATTGAATGTGCACAACCCTCAGTACAGAAACTTAACAAGACTTTATAATAACACCTTATAGGAAGCTTGTGATGAGAAAATAAGTATTGAATACAATTTTAGTGTACAACCCTCAGATCAGAAACTTAACAAGACGTTATAATAACACCTTATAGGAAGTTTGTGATGAGAAAATAAGTAGTGAATAGACTTGTGGTATCTGGCAGATGTGATAGTAAACACTAATGCTTCAAAGTTGACCACCTGGTGTAGCCAGAAGTGATTTCTTTCCTCCATACACTAATCTATCTGTTCCTTTCTAAAACCATCATGTCCAGGATTCTTATTTATAGTTAGATAGAAATGCTGTGGTCCTATACACCACTTACAGTTTTTCTTGATGATGCTGTGAAAACAAGTGAGTCAATCAACCAGAGAAGATCATCAGGACGAAGCTTTTGAATATGTTCCCCAATAGATTCATAGCGACGTATCCAATCATCCTAAACATTAGATAACAAGACATTAAGGAAGCAGTGCCATAAGTGTATACACACAACACAAATACACTGAACATTGATGAAGACATAAAACACAAAGATGTAGAACTAGAGCACAAAGACAGGCCTACCATGTTACTTGGGGAGGATTTCTTGGACCCATCCCCCATCCAGAAGACTTGAGATGCCCAGCAGCTGTACACAGAGCCTGGGTGAAGAAAGCCTCCTTTCTAAAATAAAAAAATTAATAGCTATACATCAAACAATAAATGCTATAAATTAAAAAAAAAGCTATGACTGTTTTTTTAAGCAAATTTAAATTAACAAGTGACTCTTAAAGTTGCCAGTAACAATTTGACAATGACAACAGAAATATATCTTACTAAGTAGTTGTAAAGTGTTTTCTCCAAATTTGTATCACCTTTGTTCCTATTATTATTTTTAACATTATTGTTTTTATAGTAGCTTAAAAGTTCTCACTTTATTAGGTATCTGTGAGGCCAGTTTGGCTAAAGTATTTATGTTGTTTGCTGTTAAACAAGGCTGCAGCACTTCTAGTGGATCTGCGTTGGCATCAATTAATTTTTTGTAATCCAGATCTGAAACATATCAATACAAAAATATTTAGTTAACATACTTAGTGAGACAATAAGGTCAAGGGGTGGGCTAGAAGAGAGACTTGATATAAAATCAGGTTTCAATATGAGCCGATGAACAAAACCTAAAACAATTCATTTTAAAGCCATACAAGTGTAATTAATAATGCACTATTCTTCAACAAGCAGTGTAAATGCACCAAGTGAGATATAAACATCACATAATGGATGATTTACTGATGTGATGGGACTAGGGAAATCTTCAATCCTGTATGGCTAAAATGTTTGTAATTATCTGATGTTATTAGTGTATCATTCTGTGTCATCATAGGACTGAATCAAAAACAAAATATAAGGTGGAAATTAAGGCTTGCCACAAGTTATTTTATGGGATGGCATGGATGAGTGGTAGAGCACATGACTTGAGTTTTGTGTGTAGCATGTCTTTGGGTTCTTCAAGGATAACAGGCCTAAGGTAGGGGATTGTAATGGTGATTGGGTATAGTGCTGACAACACAATTGTTACAAGTCAGCAGCTTTTTTCTCTCAAGTCAAATACGTCAAAATCGAAGGGTAAAAAGAGATATACTTTTAATATTTAGTTTCAGCTAAACTATGGAAATTATATGAACAACAATTAATAACTGTTTGAGAGAAATATATTTTAATACAAAGGTTGTTAAGAGATTGTAAAAATAATTTGTTTTCTTTAAAATTAAACACTAAACAAATATTTCTTGATTACAAATGTACTCACTAGGACAGGAGGATTTGAATTTCTTTAACAGCGCTGCATGTTTTGCTGGAGGCAGCCCAGAGATAAGTTTATCTTCAACTGATTCAACCAAAGTAAAAAAGTAGCACAGGCTTTTCAGATCTGTTCCAGCCAGTGTGGGGTAAACTTGGGTGGTCATTCTATCACAGAACTCAGACATCTGGCCCTTCAGTGTGGGCAGTATGTCAAGTTTGGTTACTCTCATCTGAAGATCTTCTAATGATAAACTGTAAGTATATCATGTCAACTGGTTTTACGTAAGTTATAGAGAAATTTTCAAGAATAATAATTTTCTTTATGCCTAATTTTGAAGCCCTAACAATTATGTGTGGATAATCATAAAGAATAATGTACTTATGATTGGAGTTACTTAAGATTATTATTTTATCACAATAAAATTAATAAAAAAAAGTAATCTTGAAAAATGTTATTATTCACCAGTTAATCCAGCTTATACTTGAGTATAAATGTTAAACAAGTTTTTTTTTATGTTTCAAAACATTTAAACTGTTAATTCTGTTTAAATTAGTTTACAATTGTATTTTCCTTACCCACTGTCAGAGAAAAGATATTCAAGATGGCACATGTACACATCCCACATATTCATGTCATAACGCTGGGCAAGAGACAGGGCAATGTTGTAGACTTCATCATCCAGATTCCTGCAGGAGTAGAATATAAGGGAAATACCCTTTTTGTTAACAATTTCACAAGTTCACAGTTATAATGTTCACAAATATTTTTAAATACTAAAGCAGAAGAAAAACTTACATTGCTAGTCCAAAAATAGTTTCTTTCTTGTATTCACTGTCCTCAGAAAATCTAATCACATTGACTCCTTTAACATTGGTAAAAACAAAGAAAACTTAAGAATCATAATACCAAATAAACATTGAAATAAATGATTAAAATCAACAACTTATTTTATACAAGTGACAGGAAATTTATATAAATGGACATTTTCATTTTGCATATATTTTACCATTTCTTTGAACTCATTTCTTTTTCTTCTTCTTCTTTGTTCTTAATTCTAGCATGGGAAGGGACTCCCTCCAACACAATTAAATATTTCATGTCAAATTGTTATGTGCCAAATTTCAGCCTGCTTTTCTTTTTGGATTTGCTTGTATAGGTTTTGTGAAAATATCGATGTTTTAAGAAAAATTCAACTGCAATTTTGAGATGGTTGTAGGTGGAGGTGTGATGTCATTTTAGGGAGGGGGGGGGGGGGGGGGGGGGGTGTCTAGCTTTTTGTGACGATGTGTGACAGAGGGTAGAGGGGAGGTAAAAATCGTCAAAAAAAGCTTGATGTCATTTATGAATGACCTCCAACCAAGCAGTTGTTTGATTTTTGAGTTGTCTCTCCTAGAAAAGTTACTGTCTCCAGCTGTTGAAGCATCATTTGCCCAGGGGTTCAAACTTTTCGGTTCAGCAACCATGAGCTTAACCGATCCGACCATGCCAACCTCCTGTACTCATTATATTTCTTCATTAACATTATTTAAGTAGATATATAACAATGTATCAACGATTGAAGACTGGATATTGTAAGAAGAAGACCATTCTGTATTTGTCAGGGATATCTGGTCTCCAGAAATTTGCATAATGACCTTGCTGGGATCACAATTACACTAAATGAGAGTCTGGATCTAATGTTGCAGACTCAGATGGGAATACATACCATAAATGATGCTTTTGATAATATATATTTCTGAAACTCTAAAATTTACAAACATTGACATTCTGAAAAAAATAGGATGTTTTTCCGTGCCAGAAAACATGATGCATAGCTAAATTTCCCAAAAACTATTCAAGGGTTTTAAAAATTATTTTACTATAAAAATAAGATTTAAAAAAAAAATAACAGGAATAGTTATAACTGAGTGCGGTTTTAAAGCTTATTTCTTTACCTTTACCAAGACTTTGTAGCATGCATGCTTGATTATAGTCTTCCAGCATCTCTTGATAAGACTTGAGTTTGACAACAAATGAATTCACCTCAGCCGGCCAGTCAGTGCCAGTACAGGTAGATATGAAATCAAAGACTCGGCTGATTACTTTAGAGGGGGTTTGTCTATACAGGGCATACACATGGGATGAGGTGAGAGGTTGCAGGGTGTTGTAAATTTGAATAGCATAGTAATACACAGCCAGCTGTAAGGAAATGTCTGTACTTGGGAAGTCCTCAAAACAACAGCTCACATCTTGGCTCTGAAAATTCAGTTTTTTTTTTTGTTATTTATTGTACAAATTAAAGTTTGTTATACAGACAGAGTTGTAATCTAGTATTACATTTATACCAATTAATATTTTAATAAATATCTAAATTAATGACATTAATTTATCAGAAGTTTTGCAGAAATCAACAACATTTTTCAACTACCTTTGAGGTGGCCAAAAGAAAAGCTAGGCCCAGAGTAGCATCTGTATAAATAGTTTGTTTGGCAAGCTCTAATAGAACTGCAAGAGAAACAAGATAAAATGTTAGATGATTGAGAAGTTAAACCTAAAACTTTTCAAAGTCTTGGTCCTTTAGGTATCCAAAATCTCAGTTTGGCCAAAAAGGAATTGTGATTAGGCTAAAATTAAAACAAAAAACATCAAGTAATTGAAGCATGATATAAGTTTTCTACACATAAATAACCATGCTCATATTATATATTTTAAATAATAATAATAAGGCTAATTGTGATATGAACTCTCCATGCACAGCCAGTTTTTCAACAAATAACTATCTTCAATAGCAGCACATTCATGGTGCCCAGGATAAATAAATTTTAATGGCTTTCTCAGTCCTGATTTCTTTTTTAAACTGCAAATTGAAAATTTAAAAAATCTAAGCTTGCAAATGAGGAAATTGAAAACAATTTAGGCCATCGAAGCTAGAGTTCCTGGACAACTTATAAAAGTAGCTCCTCTGTACTGGTTCAAATAACATAGGATGGTTAAAACTACTGTAACTAGGATGGTTAAAACTACTGTAATGGTTAAAACTACTGTAACTAGGATGGTTGAAACTACTGTAACTAGCCAACCTTCTGATGCAGGCTGCTGCTTTAATCCACATGTCAGCATTTCATCCAGCTTTGCAGTTCGTAATATTTTAGCACTCAGACCAGGCTCATCCCCACTCTGACAGGAAGCAAAGTCTACAGATTTCTAGATGACAAAAATAGTGGATTACTTTCTACATCTAAAGTTTTTGGTGAATACTTATAGGAAGGAGGAAATAAAAGACCCAGAGAAATATGGAGCAAAGTCTACAGATTTCTAGAAGACAAAAATAGTGGATTACTTTATACATCTCAAGTTTTTGGTGAACACTTATAGACAGGAGGAAATAAAAGGCCCAGAGAAGTATGGAGAACAACTAGGATTGTGAGTTAAGCCTGACTTTTTCAACTATTAATGTTTTCAGAAAATTTCAGGTTTAATCCATAGTTTAAGGTTAACTTTAAAAAAAGAACAGGATTCCCATATTTTCTAGTCAATTCTTTTGAAGTTTAAAGATCAATTTCAATCATATTATTACACACCTAATTTTTTGTGGGTGTTTATAATTTATTGGCGGTTTTTTCACTTCTTTTCTATAGGCATTTTTCTTGTTTTTGGACTGTGACAATTGTTTTTACACTGTTGTTCATCCTTTTAGGTTTATTTGTTAGCTAGGTTCTATTTTAGGTGTGTAGCCGTCAGTCAACAAACAGAACAATAGAAAACTACATACATGATAATGGAACCTAATAATAGAAATGTATGCGCTATAAGATTAATTCTGCTATTAAGATGCATTTGTTGTTAATTTGTTTTATTTATTTTTTAAACTTCATGTGCTACTGAGCGGCAGAAGAAAAGACCTACCACATCTTCATAGCAGTGTTCAATAATCCCAGCATAAAAAGGATGGCACCCCTGCTTCTGCAGGCCATAATTTCCCAGGCCTCCATCGTTCACCGTGTGAGGTTTGTTGGGCCCACCTTGTAGCACAGAATGTTTGAGGCTCTTGACGGCATTGTGCAGCCACTTGGTGTCAGTGATGGAGGAGAGAACTGCTGTGGTGGTCTGCTTGGTAGAGGATAAGATCTGCTGGGTCTGCTTGATGGCAGCATGGGCAGAGAATGGGCTCTCTCTGCTGTCTGGACTGTCCAGGTGAGGCTCTTTAGACACCACTTTACTCACTTGCTCATACAGGATCTGGACAGATACAAAGAATAAACATTTAGAATAAACCATCAAGAGAAGCAAAGTGTTTTTAAGTGTATCTAGAATGGTGGTGTGGTTGGTGAGCATCGCACCAGGCATTAAGCACATTTCTTTTAAGTCATCTGAAATAGGTTGGGTTTAATTTTATTCTTAGGGGCATCAATGGCAGGCAACTATGCAAATAGTTGTACCATTCAATTTGTCAAAGGTGGATCATTGATCAATATTAGGTAAGAATTTTTGTCATTTTAATAATTAACACAAGTTTAAGCATACAGGGACTGTTTGAAATAAGATGGATAAAAGAATAAAAGTGAATTGACTGTTATTATTTCAGGTAGGTGATGGTGTACTTGTGCCATAAGAGATAGTTATCTTAATATATATTGCTACAAGTGTGGTGAAAAATTCACATAAAGAATGAGAAAAAATAGTTACCTGTGTTTCTAACAAGCATCTTGCTTGAAGTACAGGAAGTATTTTATCTTTACTACAGTATGTCATTGCAAATGAAAGAAGTTTGGCCCTGTGAATATATTACTAATTTGTTGAAAAAAGCATTGTTGCTGGTATAAACCGAAAAGTCTTAAATTTTTTTATAAAAGAAAATTTATAGAAATGTTAATATAAGTTAAACAAATGTTTTTACCGAACAAAATAATTACTACAACTAAATTCATCAATATAGTAAAACTCTATATTTTAAATAAAATTAAAATAAAAACACTTTCACACAACACAAAATGTATGAAATATCTTACTTGGCAACAATATTTCTGAAACCTTCCTGTTCAGCAAGTCGAACACAAATACTCCATGCACTGCTGTGACAAAGACTGATAAGCCTTTCACAACACTGATAAGCAAATTCATAATCCAAAGCCTGATAAAAAAATATTTATTTGATAGTTTAAAACAAAATTTAAAAAGCAGTAAGTTTTTTAAAAATACTTTGTTTTGCTTGACAAAATAAATTAAAATTTTCCAGAAAATTTTTATCTTTTTAAAAATATCATTTAAAGATTTTCAAATATAGCTAACTAAATATCTACTATTTAAAAAACCCAGTAGAATTACATTAACAGCAGCATCTGCTGCCATCTGTAGTATTTGGCCCTCCAGTTCCTGGGGATCTTTGCAATATATACCAAGGAGTTGTCCTAAACGAAGCAACTAGAATGATAGAAGGAAATAGTTCTGTTTTTTTATCATTATTAAAGAATTATTTTTTTTAAAACATAATACTTTTTCAGCAAGAATTTATATATAAGTATTGAAGGTACTTAGATATTAACTAAAACCTACTCGTTGTGTTTGTTTATAGCTGGTGGGTTTTGTTGTCACAGCAGTCTTTACAAGTTCCATTCTATTCTTACACAGACGCACTGTCAAAAGATGTATACATAATTTTTTTAATACTTGGTGAACTGATGACATTTTTTAATATGATGGTTGTTTGGTCTATGAAAATAAGTGTGCACTGCTTTAGAGTAGCCTGTTGCTTGACCTACTTCTTTTACTGTAGTCATGGTAATCATGGCTGCCGAAAACGATGATACAGTGATTCCGTTTTTTAACAATGTTTCACTGTCATTTCAGAATTATATACTTAAAATCGTTATTTTTGCATCGTTTTCAACAATACCAATCTAGTTTTTACACTGGAAGCATATTGTTTGATGCAAATTTGCCATTTGTACACTTTTTTGGTCTAATTGCTGAGAAAATCGAGCAGAACATAATAAAAGTAAAAAAAAATGTGAATTGCTATATTAATATTGTTGTGATTTTACTCAAGAATATAGAAAATTATATATTATGTCCTACTAAGCTAATTACATTAATTAAAAAAAAATGCAGGGTAAAAGCAAAACCTTCAAAACATAACTTGATCGAGACAATAGCTAACTAAGCCCGCCCATTTAGTCCGCCGTTTATTGGAATGGGAAGAAATCTAGCAGACGACACATTTCTGCTGAATGGCAGTGAATGGTAAATCGAGTCACAACAACAATCCTTAAAAACGAACCCACTGTATCCCTGAGTATCAGTCATATCATTGTAGCTATTTAAAAACTATTTCTAGGCTAACGATTAATTTTGATAATTAAAATTGGTATCAAATTAAAGGTAAATAAATGAAGTTTTTAATTAAGTCATCTTGAACAATAATGAAGTTTTAAATCTTAGGCGACACCCTACTTTATAGTTAGAGAAATATATTTTTGTTTGTCGATTTAGATGAGCGATTGCAAGCCGGTCATTCTGATATACAGCATGCTAGGCTAGGTCGCTTAGTTAAGAATCTACAGGCATGTTTTATGGAGGGCATTTTTCTGTAAATTTATATTTTTCCAGGCACACATACCTTCTTCAAATGCACTAACATGTATGAAAATGTCAATTAACAGTTAAAAGATAATGGTATTAGGTAAATAAGATGTTAATGTATAGAAATAAAAAATAATCGGGAAAAAAATAAATCAAGCTGAGTACGGTGTTGTAGCCCCTTAACTCACCTTGCAGTGGAAGAACAGCTACACCAAATTCATCCAACAAAGCAAGGGAAGCAATCAAGTCCAACTCTTCTTGGATTGGTTTTGGCGAGTCAAGGATCAAATTCAAGCATGACCTAAACATTATTTTAAAAACGACATAATAAAAGCATTTTATTAATATAGAATTTTAAAAGGGATACTTAGGTGTATAAAATAGAATAAATAAACGAGTGGAGTACCAACCTGGCAAGGTCCATGCATGAGTCACTGAGATTAGAAGAGGAATCAAAATATTCCTGAGCTGCAGACAGGGATAGATTCACTGCCTTAGCATACGGCACTTTATCAATGCTGAGTCCTTTCTGGGCCTGGTTGTGTTTTGGCTCCCCAGAACTTCTTTCCATAAGCTGACCTTAATTGAAAAATTTATATTTCAAATACATGTCTTGTTCTAATTTCTTCAAATGTATAAATTTGTTAAAGTAGCAAAAACAACAAAAATTGGAATATTTTTAAAAAAAAGCTAGTGATTTTAAATTTTTCAATATGTAATAACTGAAATCCACTATAAGACATAAATTATCTATACATACATTTAAATTCCATTATTTTCTGCAATGTTTAACTAAGTGACCTAGCAAAAATAAAGTTGAACTAATTTTAAATAAACCGGGAGTGATCTCCCCTAAACTTTATCAAATATTCTTATATAACACTATGGGGGGGGGGGGGGGATGGCAACTCGTGATATAAGAGATATTTTTAATCTATTTTTAATTACTTAAACTTTTTAAAATAGAATAGAATCTCGTAGAAAAAAAAAATTGCACACCAAGTAAATGCCAAATATAATGTGAGTAATAGTGCGGAATATTATTAGTACTTTATAAATTCACATGCGTTTTTTGGAGAATTCGGAAATAGCCTAAATTACTACTTCCGGTCAACCAAAGTTACTCAAAATTTGAAAGAAGGCAGAGAATTAGATCTTTTTCTTATATGTGAAATTTCATTTATCTATCTGAAATAGTACTCAAGTTATAGACTTTTGAAAAATTGAAAGTAGAAAAAGTTCCACTTCCAGTTATCCGAAATCGCTGAAAAGTTGATACGGATCTACGAATTAGATATAATACTTATGTATCAAATTTCATCAACATAGCTGTACCGGTACTCAAGACACACACATACACAGACATACGGACAAGATTGCAAAACTATGTTTTTCTGACTCAGGGAGGTGTAAAACGTCCCGATTTACAAAAACCTGGATTTATTTTTTTTGTTTGCACGATTACAATACTTTCTCTATACTTTACGAGAAAGTCTTCTTCTTCTTCGTTCTTAATTTTTAGTGTTGGAAGGGAGCGAGCCATATCTGCCAGGGTGTTTGAATCAAGACTAGTTTCGAATTTATCAACCATGAGCGTTTGCTGACTCGACCACGCCTCCATCACAATTAAGGATTACGTGTAAACTGGTTATGCGCCGTTGAGGCCATTGACTCCGATTTCAGCCTGCTTTTCATTTTGGATTTGCTTCCATAGCCTTTGTCCAACCAAGAACAAACTACAAGGCAACAATTGTTTGATTTTGGAGTTGTCTCTCCTAGACGAGTGGCTGTCCCCAGCTAACGAGCCTCATCTGCCCGAGAAAGTAAAAATGTACATGTTTTTGATAGATTAACTGAATAATCATCTAATGAAAAACTACCTGCTAGCCTAATTGTCTCTTGAAGGCCTGAACACATTAAACTTTCCACAAATACCTGCACAATTTTAAAATACACAAGCTTGTTAAAAATCATATTGAACATCCAGATTTATTACTGTTGACTAAAAGTATTAATTTTAAAAAATGCTAGCTATGTCTAGAGCTGTTAAAAATTACTTTAAAAATAAGAAGACATCTAAAGCTATCAATAAACTATTCAAATAAGAGAAATAGTTCTAGTGTTGAAGTAATAATTGAAACAATAGTTTAAAAAATATAATCACAACAATAGTAAGAGACCTCTTGACATAAAGCTGGGGAAATACAGTTATAGACTTGACTTTGAAGAGTCAACACATCCTCATCTAGTTTACGCCATTCTAATTCATTTAGTGGGATGGATCTGTGGATGTAAAGATATTTATCTGACACAGCTGAGATTCACTAATTTAATAAAATCAGATAATTTGTATAGTGCTCTTGCAATTAAACAAATGCTAGTCACTATGTAAACATCTGCCATGTTGAGAACCACATTTTAAATGGTGGTCTGCACTGTGAAAGGTTGTTGAACTTGAAGTGGAAGTTTGAAAGGAATTTCTTTATTTTGACTGCCAAAATATTGAATCACATCAAGGTGAAAGAGATTGACAGTTAACAGTAGGTAGACACTGTCAATTTCTAGCAAATATTTATAGCAGCAATGTGGGTGAAGCAATTGCAAACAGATTATGAATATCTTTTCCACTTTGTTTTAGATAAGAAAAGAAAACATTATGTAAATTAAGCAGATCTACAAACCTAGTGAAAAAGTCTAATAGAAGACGATTCTTAATTGAATATGACATACATATATTTTAGCCTTTACTAATAAACCCAAAGTCAAAATACAGTCAATTTGATTGATTAACTTATCAAGCAAACAAAAGTATTGTTACTAGGCAGACACAGAATCTGATAATTAATTAGTAGTGGGCTTTCATGATGTATTTTTAAAAAAATGTGTATGCGATAGACCAGTTTAATTTAAAAAAAAAAATTCTAATTAACATTAAATATTTTAAATGAAGAGGGCAATCCTTTAATAGATGATGTAGTGACAAATTGTTGCGCATTGATTAATCTTTGTTCATCTTTTGTGCATTTATCTGAATGTAAAACTGCATTCACATAAATAAAACTGGGTTTTAAAAAATAGTTACATCTAGTTCATTTAAAAAAATGTTTTATTTAATTGTTGCCAGTTAACATATTGTCAAGCTGAGAGTCTTTAAAGGTTCTTATTGTTCAGAATGTTTAAACAGTCCAGTTTAAAAAAAAATTCGGATGTGTCCCTATGTTGTTTTCCTACATGATCACGACATAATCTGTTTGATGCTGTTGCAGCTAGCTTGCATTTTTTAAAGCATAGATGCATCCTGCCCATTGGCAAAACCAGTCCTTTGTACATGACTGATCTTTCATTGGGGCTTCAATAGCCTTTAGCGTGTTCACATTTAAATCTATGTCCCCAATGTAAAGTTCTCCCTACTGCAGTTAACTGATGGCTGATGGAGGACTTATTTTAGCTAAGTCTTTCAGAAATCTTTGTCTTGTGGTGCAGATTAAATTTTTTTTTACCAAAGGCTAGTCCTGATAATTTTGCAAATGGCTGCTTGCCTGACTTCTTTGCTTTCAGGATATCAAAATCTATTTCTGCCACCCCCAGATTATAAGACTTTTTGTAGTGAGGGATGGAGAAACCAATCACAACTTTTTTGAGTAGTTGATTGATGAAAACTCACTCCATATTTTCCATCTATGGCAAATAGCCGGGCCCCTATGTTAGAACACAATTCTCCTATCACATGATTTTGGTCACATTATTGCAAGATGATTATTTTACAAAAGATACTATAGGCCTAAACCTTATGATCAACCAGGATAAAAATAGATTAACTATGTAAGTAAATTTTATAAAGCATCCCATCCACAATGGTTTTGCTTGCCTGATTAATTCAGTCTTAACCAACTTAATACAGATTTCAATAAAGAAAACAGTTTAGGGGCAATGTTAACTGTATCCAAAATGTGGTTCTGAAAAATGGAATTTACCACCTAGTATCTTTATGACATCTGTCAGTTTGCTACTTCCAAAACACCATTTTCTTTAAATTACAAAAAAGTCTGCACCCAAGAATAAATAATTAAAAACAATTGCAATGCCAAAACCAATACAATGAAGCATATAAAAATTACTATATTTAACAAATAAAAATTACAAATAAATAACATATACAAATAGTATTTAAAATAAATAATGCAGTGATATACAAGTACTAATTACATGTACATAATATTGCGATACTAATTATATCTACCTTTTACTGGCTAGTCTTGTCAGTTTAATAATCAAAGACTTGGATATCGATGGATCACCCTGCAAAACAAAATGCCAAATTATATAGGATTCATCAACTAAATTTGATGTTCCCAAGTTAACTAGTTGGTACAAACATTACATTTAATACATGAGACAATTCGATGTTAGCTAAATGCAAGTAAAGGGAATGGTTTGATTGAGAGGCTGAATGCATGAGTCCACCCTGCTTGGTTGGGTACCTGACTTGAGCTAAGGAAAGTAATGGCAGGAGGGCTGAGTTCATGGAAACAGATGGACTCTACATACCTCAGACAATTTGATGTTTGCTATAGTCATCTTCATGCCATAATCCTGGAAAATTCTTGCAGCACTGCAGACATAACATCATTGTATTCTTAAGTCGATGACTAAAATGTTGAATTAATTTAAACCTATTACAAGACTATTTGTTTTGGAAATTGAAAAACAATTAAAGCTTAACCATATATTGCCAATCAAAATGATTTTATTATATCAGATTGCATATTGTCTTTAAAAAACTCTATATTCTGTAATTGTAATTACAAACTGTTTGTCCTTTTCTCTTTCAAATTTTTGACAGTTTTAATTCTTATATTGATTAGTTTCTGCTTTTTACAAGTAAAAAAAAACAAACATCAATTTTTACCCATCTGGAACATACATTAGGCAATATTGGGTCAATACATTCCATTTCTAACTATTTCTTTGTAAAAAAAAATGTTTTAAGTATATAAAGATATAATTTGAGAGCTGAAATATAATATTTCTAACAAAAAATTAAATTTTATTAGAAAAGAAAATGAATCTAAAAAGCTTCCTTACTGTACATGGTGATCTAATTTATCCACTTGTTTATGTAGCAGCAAACATTCTGGAGAATCTTTAAAGGAGCTTTAAACAAAAAAAGAATCACTTTTATACACGCGTTAAGCTCAAGTATAATACAGCAACTAAAATAGATCTCCACTTTATACATCAATCGATGTGATAAAACTCATTGACTTACCCACTGCCATAGCTGTGAAGACATTCAAGGATCCGCATTATAAGCTCCAGCTGATCATCCCTGTAAAACAAAAACATGAGGTACATTAGGGATCATGCACAATTTATATTAAACTGACTGGACAATGGGGAATAAAACTGACCATCCTTACAGAAACATGAGGTACATCTCATTAGGGATCATGCACAATTTATATTAAACTGACTGGACAATGGGGAATAAAACTGACCATCCTTACAGAACAGAAACATGAGGTACATCTCTTTAGGGATCATACACAATTTATATTAATATAAAACCATCCTTACAGAACAGAAGCACAAGTTACATGTCATTAGGGACCATGCATAATTTATATTACATTGACTGGGAGATTGAGAATAAAGCTGACCAGAGGTCATATTTCCTTATTTAAATAACAATTTTTTTTAGAAAACCGAGGTGAATTTTCAAAATGTTTTTGTGTATGCATTGTACATTTAGATAAACCTTAATAGTTCACTTGGCCATATGTGATAAGTGCTAAATGATTTTTTTAATATAAAGAACTGAATATAAGTTAAAAAGGTTTTGCAATTGTTTGTAAAAGAGAAGAATCTTTCTCTAAAATTGTGAGATCCCCATAATTTAGTTTTTTAATTTATTTTTTGTAAGAAACAAATTGTATTAGTTGCAAAAGGGTTACTAAAAAAAATGCCCTTTCTTTTTGTTTATACTGAGTGCACAATTATTTCGGAAACTAACATGGCTGGTCACTAAAGTGGACTGTTGTTGCAAATAACTTGTATAAGTCTTGTACTAACACTTAAAGTAGATTTATCATCAGGCTACACAATAGTATGTGCTGATTAATGTAAAAGGTTAGATATTTTATGTACAAGCAGATATAGAAATAAACTTTGCCTTTCACAGCAGTAAATTGCATCCAATCCAAGGGACAAAACTTCATCCTGTGACTTTATCACACGCTGAGTATTCTGTAGGATTAAAATGAAAAGTTACAATATAAATCTAAAAAAAAAGCTTATTTTTAAAGTAAATCATTTGTTATATATTAAGCAAATGCCTCTTGGTCATGTCATTAGCCTCTGTCTATTATGTGGATAAAGACCAATCAATCTGAAATTCTACATTTCACATGAGTTGTTTGTTTCCTAAAATTCAGTCTTTTAAGAAGATGATGAGTAAGTCTCTTCATTCAAGTTAATCTCCAACAGCAGATGTAAGTTATGAGGTTTTGTGCAACTCAAATAACACATTATCAAATACAACAATCACCAAATAATAAATAATGTATTATGAAATAGGTAAATTGGCTTTTCTAGAATTGTAAAGTAACAGTAAGTCAGTACCACATTATATTTCCTGCAAATTTAAGTAGATTAAAATAATCTGCTTGTTTGTTAATGAACTAAATAAATAGGCAAAAGGGTGAAGTAATCGTAGCAATGAATTTGCAAAAATAGGCAGGCTGGTTCATAAACTAGTTCTTGCCTAGCATCATAAAAAGGAAATGCATAAATGTTTACATCGAACAAATTTTGTAAAAAAGTATAATTAAGGAATTAGATTATGAATTATTTAATAATTAACTCAATTTACAATGTGCTTCTCTAGGCATAGTATTAAAGAATCAGCCAGGTTAATTACTCACACTTGGCTTTGATGCTTCAAAAATCTTCAGTACAAATGTCAGGTCATTCTTAGCTTTTGTTAGAACAAAATCTCTCAAAAGTCTGTTGTACGCTCCTGGTTCTTTTTTCTCACAGCGCTGTAGAAATGGAACCATCCATCTGTGCAGATTCTTTATGTACATCTCTTCTGGGGACTGTCAAGCAAACACAACATTACATTAAATAACTAGTACTGTAAATCACCCTTATTAGAATAGAATCTTTTAATCAGTCAGTAACATTTAACATGCTTGATTTTTTAAAATAATAACTAAAATAAATTATTACCATAGTTGGTAATGAAGCATTATAAGAACAAAATAAAATAAACACTTTCAAAATTAATGGTCCATAGAGATAAATTATAGACTTTTCCATAGAATTGTTCAATCATAACATGATGTGGTTGAATAGAAGAACATTTAGCTGCTAGCCCAAAGGGGCCGAGTTCAGATCTCTGTTCGGACTTGTGACTAGGACATCCCTGAGTCCACCCAACTTTAATGGCTACCTAACTTTCATTGGAGAAAGTAAAGGTGGCTGGGTTTAATGCTGACTGCACTATCCCTTCATGTGACGTGGTCAAGAAACATATGCCCGATGGATCAAGTCTAAAGAGGAATCTTCACCTTACTTTTACTTCTCTACCCCATTCTTATTGTAAGAACAAAATAAACAAAAATTCCCAGTGACTAGTGGAGTATTAAGTATGAAACCACTGTTATTTTATTAAGTTCATGATATGGGAAGAGGGAGCTAAAAAAAGCTTCCGATGGACCCTTAAAATGAAAGTGAATATTTTTACACCCCCCCCCCTTTCCCCTCAACCTACCCCCATGACCAATATCTAGCTATTCACCTGATAAAGTCAGTTCTTACCTTGGCCATGATGAGTTCAAGTCTGTCATAATCAGCCATCTCTCTAAGTTGATGCAATTGGAGGGAAGCATCAACCCCACATTCATACACCATCATTTCCATTGTGACAAGGTCATCCAACAGGTCAAGCAAGTTCTAAATTAAAAATAAGTCCCCTCACTGTCAAGTGGTGACTTTAGTGTTACAGATACATTATTAACTCATTAATTACCATTTCAATAACAAAAGAAAAACCTTTTGTGTAACAGCATTTTTAAGCACTGCAGAACACCCATTCAGAGAAAAAGTAAGTTACTTCAGCTTGTCAAATAATTTACCCAAAATATTTTTTTATATTAATAATATAATCCATGATATGGGTTAAAAAATTAAAATTGATGTAATTCCATTTTTAAAAATTGCATAAAACAATTTTTTTTTTCATTCACTTTTCTTTCCGAATTTACAGTGAAAAGTTGCTTGTTTTTTCTTCTTATTATTAATTAATATATATGTATATAAAAATATGAGACATTTTGCAGTGTAAATACTTAAGACAACTGAGGGGAAAATACTTCCAGTAATATAGGGTTAAACAATATGCAAACTTTTTAGACATTTAAACACTTACATCTATTCCCCTTTCAATTCCCAGTTTCACCAACTCAATTGCAAACTCCACTAATCTAGATCGTCTCTCAATCTCACAGGCACGTTCATGGTACCACTCTTGGACCAAATCACAAGTTAAACTAGCAGTCCTAGGAAAGATAGGATACAAAATAAAGATGTGAGCCTAGTAGTGAGCAGGTTTATTCTAAAGATGACATCCAATTTGGAAAAGACAACAGCTTGCATCAACAAAAAAATGTTCGATTTTTATATACCTGTATTTAATACTGATGTCCTTGTACAAGAAGAATGCCTCATCCTCACTCCCTAAATCAATCACTGATCTATTTGAGATATTAGAGAAATGGTAATTGGCATCTTGGTCAGGGTAGGCATAATACAGCATATCATGATTAAAGCAAATATCTTTAATAGTAATTTCTGCACCAGAAATTTCTGCATTTAAGGATGTTTTAGACGTAAAGTTCCAAAAGCAGGTGATATTGCCCTTTAGGTGGGTCAAATTACTCCTCTAGGGGCAGTGTGCTGGAATTATTGAAGGCAGGGGAATAGAAAATTTAGGTACATTTAGAAGTCGTTTGAAAAAATAAAAGGGAGAGGGAGTGGAAGCTTCACAAACAGACTTGTCACAAAAACAAAGAAATAGGTAGATCACATAAGGTGACAGAGTGGCCTGGAGGTAGAGTGCTAAAATGAAAACCCTAGTAGCACATCCCTGAGGTCACTAAACAAGTGGGGAAATCTTGGCAGACACACCATTAATTTACAGCTAGTTATACTAAACATATTTGGAAAAAAATTGATTTATACAGAAGAAAAAAAATTAATTAATAAAATAAATTGAATAAACAAAATCCCCACAATTACTTTTAATCTGAATCTAAAAAGTGAAGAAAAATTCCCCTGAACTCAGAAATATAAAAGAAAAACATTGTTTATAAAGAAAAATATTAAAGTAATAAGAAGAGAAAGTAAAGTAAAGTAAAGTTTCCCTTTCAAACCTGACGGTCTATGGGGCAAGTGAAGTAGAGAGTTTGAAAGAAATTATCATAATAAATTTAAGAATTTTTTTGTCAGTTTGGTTTTTAAAATGTTTTGAAAACGAGCCGACCCGCTGCGTATCATACGCCGCTATTTGGTTGTTTTTTTTCTACTTTTCAGTAATTTATAATTTGTGAATTCGACAGTACCAATGCTGCCATTGAAAATATTTGCTTAAAAACACTACCCCCCCCACGTGAAAGCAGCCTCCTCTTAGTTACCTCCTCTAAGTTTAAAATCGTTTCAAACTAAATTATCTGCCCCTAATAGCTGTCACCAAACCCGTCTCTGTGATTGTAAAATGTAAACAGAGTGAACACCGCTCACCAGATCATGTGGGGGTGGGGTGGGGGTGGTAGTGATAGTGATAGAGAGGAAGAGAGGGGACTGCAAAGGCGCGCTTGCAGCTTGTTTTCTAACTGATCCCAGAAGAGAATTATATATATAGATGAAATTTTTCCTTTAAATAAATAATGCTAGTGATCAAAATTGGAGGTTTCCATTTAACTAAAAGACACAACAGCTTGAAAGAATGTGTTTACCTGCAATAGTCCTTCTCAGACCAGTCAGTTTCTCTCCAAAAATCTACTTCCCATGGAACAACACCATCATCCTCACTTAAATAAAATTTTACAAAGTTCAGAGCCTTAAAGTAAACATTTAATTTAAGATTAGAGATTTTATATTAAACCCACCACCATTTTTTTTTTTATAAAAACAATAGATAGAGCTTGTGAGCATTCACTGTCAAATAAAACAGAGTTTTTATAACCTAATAATGATACTCACTCTAATTTAGGAAGAAGGGTTTTGTAATCATTAGGGTCGGCTGTTTCAGGAAAATGAGATAAAATGGCTAATCTGAAACATGACATAAGAGCATATTTACTATGTGATAAAACAACTAATTGGAAGCATGAGATACAAAGGCTGTACTGATGCAATATAAATGTGAGGATTGTTTTTTTTTTCTTTATGGGCTTCAATTACTAGGACCAGTATTTTCAGTTTACTTTGGTACACACCAATCTTATTACTTCTTTCCTAAATTTCATTGCCCTCAGATGATAAAATGTGTTTTACAAAAGTAATTTTATAACAATTTCTAAAATTATTTAACAGAAATATACTAGCATATTTTTGTCTATACAAACATACCTATGAGGAGCAAGCTCTGAACTGTGATATATCAGCAAGGTTTCAACAGCCCTCCAATCATTATTCTAAATAAAAAATAAACACAGTTCTTTAAATATCATTCAGCCACTTTAAGTTTAATTCACACAATGCCCACATTTATTTATATTTACCTGAGCATACTCTACAACAAGATCATATATATTTTGGGACCGAAAGGAACTATAGAATCCAGCATTGTATCTCTCTGAAGCAGCGTTAGGTCCTCCAAGTATGTACTAAAAGCAATAAATTAAAAAATTAAATTAAAGAATCAATATTTTTATCTAACAGATGAAAAGAATTTAAATAGATTATTTTTAAAGGTAAGAATTTAGTATTATTTCTAAAAGTGGGACTTTTTAGCAAAGTTATGCATTGCATGATTTAATTTATTTATATTTTATTGGTTACGAACTAATTTTAGCTTATTGTGTAATTAATCAGTTGGAAGCAGATTAAAATTTGCTAAACCCATCCATGCCAAATTGTTTTTAATTTTAATCAGCATTTAATATCAATATATGCAGTATGAGCTAAACACATTTTTTTCTTTAAACAGAATAGTAAGTTTCAAGCACATGTGGGGCCCAAAATTTAAGAGAACAGAAAATATTGGGGGCACTAAAAAAGTATTGAAATAATAAATCTGTTTTTAAAGTAAATTTGTTAAGCACAGTAATTATAGCAGTTACATACTTCATATGTTTTTAGCCTGTCCAGATAGTTCAAGAACTTGAGACGGGCTCTGCAGAGTTCTTTTTGCTCTAAGTTCAAACTGTAAATAGTTTTGATTATAAAAGCTAATCATCTATAAACATTTTTATAATTTATCCAGTATTAAATTGCTTTTTAATTATTAAATATATATGTACTTATGTGTATTTAGATTTACAATAAAACAGCAGTTTTTAAGAAGGAGCTACTTACTTTTTAAAGTCTATTTGTTCTAAATTAGACTTTCGAATCTGAGCTCTTTTTTTCTCTTTTTCCTTTGATGACTGAGGGTCGAATGGGTCATAGATTTCATCATAAAGCCCATCGTCAGGGTCACAAATCATGAATCTAGTGGGAACAAAAGAAAGTTGCTTAATCTTAAAAATCTGTTAAAATTTTCTATACTTCACTAAAAAGAAAACAATAGAACTGAGTTTTGAATGCTCACTGTCCATGATCCTCTCCTTTCCCAATGGCAATCAAAGCTGGCAAATCTGTGCCATTCAGCCCATATTCCAGCAACTCCTGCATGGCCCCTATGGTCTCAGGCACACGCTCTAGACATTCATGAAGCACCCATGAACGTTTGCTGATCTTGCTCTGTTAGAATTGGTTGGCATCATTTAATCAGGAATGAATTCATTCATTGGTTAACTAAACAGTGATTGAAGTTTGAATCTAGCTTTGATCAATATATATATCCTAAATGTACCTAATTTATTAAACCAGTCAATAAAATGTTGAACTTTACAGCTTATGGTAAATTTCCAAGTCATTGCTAACTATCTGAAGAATGTAACTGCAAAAAGGGGCATAAAATCCTCAAAAGATGCTTTAACCCGTTTTTACTGTGCATTCCCTTAGCACATTCTACTGCTCAAGGTCTGGGGTTTTACTACTACATCCTTGTCACTATATGTGCAGAGTTAGTCACTTTAATGAACTAGGATCTCATCATAGTGTATTGAAAAGAACCTCTCAAAGGCAAATAATGTATCTTTTAAAATATTTTATAGCTTTGCTCTTAAACAATAAAATAAATATCAATTTATAAGTAACAAAGTTACAATTGTTATGCATATTCCATTTTTAAAACACACAAACCAATTTATATTCAGTTATTTTTATTCGAACATCTAAAAAAAAATAAACTACAATAAATTTTCCATTAAAAGGAGTTGATTTCTCTCTTCATATAATTTTTTAAATTATTCCAACATATTCAAATTAAAGAAAAAATTAAAATTGAAAAACACATACACTTAAATGATTTTTTAGGTGACTTACTGCCCTTTGTGAAAAATGTTTATTCTAAGAAATTCATACCAAATAATCCTCAATTGATGCTTTAGACACTTGAGATTTTCGCCACTGTCTCTGGTAAACCAAATCACAGTCAAGTTTATAAGCTTGCGCAAGACTCAAAGCTTCTCCATACTCTTCAGCATCAATCTGTAATAAATGTATATTTATTTCATTCCAGCTTTTTAAGAGTTAAAATTACAAAATGTAACTAAGTTACTTTCTTTAAGAATTTTTTTATGAATTCCTTGTAGAGCTTACCTTTCTGGCATAAAGCTCTTCTGGTGTTGTAGATTTAAGAGATACAACTCTGTACACTTTGGTGACAAATCTAACCAAATAAAGTTATGTAATTAGATTAACCCTAAATTAACACAATTAAATTTAAAGTAAATTGTTCAAACATAAACCATATTTCTTTTTAAGAGGACAGAAATTTTTAATTACTTTGGCTTTTTTTTAAGTGGCTGAAAATGTTCACTGTCTGTGAGATAATACAAAATTTGCTTTGACATGCGTGTTGTTTTGGTCATGAAAGAAAGATCTTCCTCATCACTGTCATCTTCTTCATCACCACCTCCATCATTCAGTTGTACGACTATACGTCTTTTAGGGAAATTTATCTCACACTGCAATAAAATATGGTACACAAAACTCAGCGGCTTTAATTTTTATATTACTCTTGTCAAACTAAACTTACATTTCTGATTTTTTTAAAATATATTTTTAAATACCATTTTAATGTTTACATTTTAATTCATCTTTAAATTATATAATTATTATTAAAGAGCAATTTACAGTTTGGATAAAAAGGTAAATGACAAATACATTGTATTTTTTATTGAAATTGTAGGTAACAAAATGTGTTTTCTTACTTCCATTCCGAGAAATCCCCCGTTTAGGGCTTGGGTCAACTGAGGAGATGGCTCAAACCATTCAGGGGAGACACCCAACAGGTTATCAAGGTTGTCAAGGGAGACTACACTGACAGCACCAGAGCATCTTGCTAAAATCATGTGCTTGAAAAAAAAATTTTTAGTATAATTTAAAACAAGTTTATAAGTTTATCTTAAACAAGGATCACCCAAGGCATAGACTCAAGTAATAATTTGTTAAGATTATGAAGAAAAAAACCTGGACATTAAAATGGTAACAAGGTTGTAAATTAGATTTTGATAAAACAGATGTGACTCACTTCATCAGACCAAAAATTGACATCAATCAGTTGTTTGTGAGGAATCAAATCTAAAAATGAAACACCAAAATTTATATTACATTATATCTCTAAAACATATCTGACTTATAGATTTAAAAAGAAAGGCTAGCTTCAAACTTAAGCATTAAAAGGCTAGCTTCAAACTTAAGCGATTTCACACACTTAAATGAAATTTAAAAACTAAATTAGTATTGAACCTGATAACAAATTTAAATAATATTACTTATTTTAAATGTTAACAATTAACAAAACAGAACCTTTGATTCTCTTTTTCTTTACTGGGTTTTCTAGTAGCTCTGGACTTATTTCCTCCCAGCCTGGCTAAAAAAATTTTTTAATCTACTTAAAATGAATTTTTATGTTAAGATTACAGTGATTAGGTAACAAAAGTTTATCATAATAATAGGATGAAATAAACATTCATATAAAACTACATTGATTATGAAATCAAATTTGTTTATGAAGTCAATTTACCTGTTCATTCTGATCAAATTCTCTCCTGAAATACAAAGATGGGACTTCCCACAGTGCAAGTTTCCCTGAAAAGTGTATTGATGCTAGTGTGGTTCCACAGGGTGATAAACAGAGGTGGAAGATACCATCCTATGTTAAAAGACGTTTGAAAATTATTTTTAAATCTCGATGGAAAGTTTTTTTGTTTTGTTTCCAATTCAATCTATTTGTTAGCAAATGTGTTGTTTGTAAGCCAAATGAATGACCATTCGTAACATTACATAAGAAAGTAAAATAAATTATATATTTTTATTATTTATTCCAATTCAATATGGCAAATAAGTATTAATGTAGATGATGATAAACATAATACTTGGGTTATTAAATGATACATTTCTTTATTCAAAAAATTACAAAAGAATTATAACTTACAGCTTGAAGATTATTCCAAACATAAGAGACTTTCAATTTTGATAAGAAAGATAATTTTAATTTTGCCTGCAAAAAAAAAATGATAACATTTTAAAATCTACAATACAGCACTTTGGCAAAAACTAAAAAGAATTTTCAAAATTTAACAAATAAGTTCTTATCTAATTTTCTTTTACCTACCTTGTATTTATCTTCTTCATAATCTGTAATAAGCTTACAGTATGGGCTGTCTGACAGAAGCCTCCATGCTGAAATTCCCTCTTGGCGAGATTTTGAAGGGCTAAGCAAACTGTCTGCTAGACCACCACCTCCAACAAACAAAACTTTGTGCTTCTTGGCATATACAACAGAACTTATACCTCTTGGATATTCCGTGGCAAAAAGAAAGGTGTATCTCAATTGAAAGCCATTGTCTCTGTGCACAAAATAACTGGACATTGAGCCATGATAGTTTATAACTAAAAGTTCATATGCCCTGAAAAATAAAAAGCCATCTTAGCTACCCAATAGCACAATAAGAACAATATATTGATGTAATAATTCAGCTAAAAAGTTTTTTATAACGTCTACTGGATATAATGACAAAATATGCTGATTGTAGTAGAATTTCTGTATGATAAATATTACAGTATTAATTGTTTAAATATAGTGATCAACTACAGATATGGCTTAGAGAGATTACCACTTCTCATCTGGTTTGTAGTCTGTAAAAATAAGAGCTGCGACGGCTTCACTCAAATCCATGGGAGAAACAGCCTCCTCTTCAACCTAAACAAAAAAAAGTATTCAGTAATCACAGAGGGGATTAGGACTAAAAGAATTTATAAAACTTGAAAAAGTTAACTTAGCTAGTCAGAAAAATGACAAGAACCTTCAGTAAGCAGCAAATGTAGTAAAAGTTTAAACAACTCATTCAAATTACAGACTTTCTAGAAAGTTTTTTGCTTCTGTGGTGTCGATATTGTTCATATTAAGCAAAGAATGATAGATCGAGAAATAACTATTTCATTAAAAAAGCAACAATTCCAAACCACCTGTAACACCCTTACACATACAAGCAAAATAACAATTTATTTCTTCCTACCCCAGGCATGTACAATACTGTTATGCACACTCATTCGCTTTTATCAAATTTAACAGCTTAAAGAAATAAAAGAACAACATACGCCTGGGATAGTAAACAACAATGTGCCAAGAATATCAAAAACATCCACTGCTCCAGAGCTCCTACTGCAAGCAACCATAGTTTCATCTTCACTCCATGTCAAGCACCGCCACTGGGAATAAGGATCTTGTGGAAATATGCCTCGTCCCAATACACTTTCAAGGTTATCACGCTGGGATCTTAAAGTTAAATCATCATGTTAATTATCATTTTTTAATACAAGTATTTTTGATCAAAGGTATTCTAAATGGATAAAAAACTGACCTGATTTCCAAAAAGCTTTCTTGTGCAATTGCTACCATTGTGCCAGTGCTAAGAGGAATATTTTAAAAAAAATTAATTAAGATAAATTTTTGCTGATTAATAAAAGCATAGTTTACTTCAAACAAAAGTCAGAATACATAAACATTTTCTTCTTACCTGCTGACAGCAATTTTCCATGGCAATTGGCTATTCTTAAGTTTCACAAGTTGTTCTGGTAAAAGGCAAGGAGTTGGCATCCTTTAAAAAAAAAGTTTCTCGTCAGTCTAGCTCACATTTTTATACAGTCAATGAAATACAGTTTAGAAAAAAATAAATCAATGAGTATGAAAAAAAATGCACTCACTGCATAGGGATCCCAACAACACGTAGAAATGTCCATGTTGAGCCTATGTGGATTTAAGTTTTTTTTTTAGCTTAAGTAGAAAGCTTAAAGCATTATTAACAAAAACCTTTTAAAATGTTCTTACAGCACTTAACTCATTTAAACTGTCTATAAACCAAACCAAAAAGTAAAAACTCAGTTGAGAATCTGCGATTTGACCAACACTTAAACCACCAAACACCTACACTTAATATCGATAGTATCCATGGAGTATCCATAGTTTTCACTTCCCATTTATTTTTCTGATTCAATTACAGAACCTATAACATAGTTTGTTTTTTATCTAAAGTAAGTCATCAAATTAAAATTGTCATTGAACTCACGTCTCACTAAAGATGATGCTCTTCCAAATAATGAGGTATTAGGTTTATCACGATTACTGCGAGTCTGAAACAGTAAAAAAAAAGGTTTAAATATTGCTGGTCTTTATCAGATTAAATATGAAAAGAATGGGGCAGAAGCTTAAAACTGACTATTAAGAAATGTATGGATTTAGGTAGATGGTCACACTGAGTTTAGAAGTCTCACAATTCTTAGGTATAATATAAAAAAATGTTGTAGATTGGTCAAGAGCAGACTGGAGTTTTCAAGCAGCACAGGTACAAATAATTAGTCCATTATCTGGTGCAGTGGTCAAATGGTAGAGCTCACGACTGCTAACCTGCAAGTCCTGAGTTTGGGTCTTGGGCTCAAGTCTTAGCTCAGGACATGACTCATGTTAGGGAACTGAAGGCAGCTGGGAATAATGCTGACCACTTAACTAGTAGATCTAGTAGGGTTGTATTATTCAGTGATTTTTAGCACTAGCCAAACTTGTAGATAAGACCTAGATTCTAGATCTAAGTCACAGTGTGAGTAGCACTTGTGTACTATGTACAGTACTGTACAACTGTACAGTGACACATTTGAGTTGATTTGAGTCTACAGTGCAGTCTACTCAAGTTAAAATTAAATGAAAAGGAGATCCACATCTGTCACAACATCTGTGACAGTGATACTGTGAGTACGAACGTCAGTTCTTGACTTCTTAAGTACAAAAAGTTTCAAAAACAGTAGACAACTGCGAGTGAGTGGGGTAGGCTATAGAACAGACTATAAGTCTACTGCCTTTAGAAGTTTAGTCAAGTGTGACAGTGAGTAGTGACATGGTGAGTACAGTGCCAGACCTGTGACCAGTTTGTGAGCTGTGCAATTGTCTCAATTCCAAGAATTTAGTCAACTGCCCGAGTTGACTGACTGTTGTTAGTTGAGTACAGTACAGTGTACTTGAGTGTACTTGAGTGTACAAGTGTTAGTACAAGTACAGACAGAGTTAGACAGAGTGTAACACACGCTCAGTGTACACTAGTGTACAGTGTACACTGTGTACAAGTACAGTACAGATTAGTACTAAGTACAAGTACAGCAGTGATACAGTCACATTTTTATTAAATCACTGAGTGTGAGTCGTGAGTGAGTGTGAGTGTCGTACGTACTCACTCGTTAGCTGGGATTTAGTAAAAATAGGCCTATAGATCTAGATAGTAGATAGTAATATTTTTTTCAAAAGTTATTAAGCTCAAATAAATAACCAGACTTACAAATATTTCATTTTCTGCTCTCCATTCTGCTAGCACTGATAAATCATATAAAATATTGTCGCTATGTTTACTTTCCACGTCTGCCATTTTTGGTCACACTAACACACCGAATCTAGAATCTAGCCCAAACAATTTTAATGGTCATGACTTAAACTAGATAACTTGACAATAAAACATAGTGTAAAAAGAGCTGGAGAAAGTATTCCGGAATTAGATTAGCTCTAACTAATTATTGCTATAATTAGTATTGCATGTAAAGCTAGTTTAACATTAATCTTTAACAGTGTTTCTTCCAGACTTTTTTCTCCGGGGGGGGGGGGGGGCACTTGAAATTTTCGGGGGGGGGGGGGGGGCGGTAGACTTTCTTCGGGGGGGGGGGGGGGGGGCGGACACTGTTAAAAGTATATATTTTCTATATAAATTATATAAATTTCATTTCGTTCGGGGGTAAAAAAATTTCGGGGAGGCTTCGCCCCCCCTCCCCGAAGAGATGCCTTGAAGAAACTCTGATCTTTAACAGATTAAAAATATAATATATAGGCACATATAGGTCTATGGATTTATACCATTTTATAGATTTATATTTTATATAATATATTATATATGTCTAATTATTATAACTTAAGGGCCTAAGCATTAAAATAGTACATAGAATTGTCTTAGAAATGTATGATAAATGACAATGTGTTTAATTTTCCAAATAATAAAGGCAATACATAAATGTAATTATATTTCGATATCAAATAGGATAATCGTCACATATCATCACAGCGAGACCCCCCCCCATTCCTAAAATGACGTCACGCCACAGCCTACAACCTCTCGCAAATTTGCATTGTTTTTTTTGTTTTTTTAAATAGATTTGTTTTAGTCGTCTTTGAGACGAGTTTGAAAAAAAGGTCTATACCAATCACTTTGTATTACAACTTAGAAAATAACTGTAATAGATTGAAATAATTGTGAGGTCAAGGGAACTCACTCTCTGTATTAGTATTATATTTATATTGTTATCTTGAGTGATGTCCCTTACATGTTGTTATCTAAAGCTGCAAGGGTATGCTCAATATGATGAGATACCTAAAAGGTCACAGCTGGGGTGCCAGGACTGAGTGCCTGTTAACCTTCTACAAATCATTTGTAAGGGGCAAAATAGACTATGCCAGCATAGTCTATGACTCGGCCTCAAACTACACAAAAAAACCCTCGACAAAATACAGAACCAGGCCCTTAACATAATTGCCGGTTGTAATAGTAGTACCTCCAAAGAAGCCCTAGAGGTCCTCCTGGGAGTAATCCCCCTCTCACTCCGCAGGAAGGAACTCAGGCTAAACTACTGGGCCAAAGTAAAACATCAAAACCACCCAACCTCAGCGGCCTTCCTACCAGTGCTACCCAGGGCATGGGGAATCCCCATTGGGAAATTCAGCCCCCCCCGCCAGCTGGAAAACACCGGGGGAACTGGAATCCTGCAACCAAACCTCAATCGCGGATCAAAACTTAGTCATCCACAAACCTATAGTCCCCCCATGGGAACTGACATCCCCATCATTACACACAGACCTGCACAATCAGATAAATAAAAAAGAGGACCCAGTAATGGCCCGTATTGAGGCTTCAAATGAGATAGAAAGGATAACAACCAATAGCCTAACCATCTACACAGACGGATCGAAAATAAACGAGAAAGTGGGAGCAGGGTTCCACATCCCCCACCTCAACCACTCCAAAAGCTTTAGGTTGACAGACGGCGCCTCCATTTTCACTGCCGAACTAACGGCCATCCTTATGGCCCTCGAGTACGCCCCAACAACCCCACATACCAGCATCAGCATCTTATCCGACTCCCTGTCAGCATTACAGGCCATTAAAGGGGGAGAATGCTGCAGGGACGACATTGCAGAAGAAATTCTTCATAAATGCTCCGAGTGGAAACAAAGGGGTCGCTCGGTGCAAATGATCTGGATTCCCTCCCATATCGGCATACAAGGTAACGAGTATGCCGACAAAGCTGCTAAAAAGGGAGTGGAATCCAGAGCTATTGTGAAAACGGGAATAGGCTATTCCGAAATGAAGGCTACTATAAAGAAACAAATAAAAGAAGAATGGATTCAAAAATGGAACGCAAGCGACAAGGGTAGGCATGCCCACAACATACTACGTCCACCCGACGGGAGACTGCAAGTTACAGAAGACCAACGGCCACCCATTAATAAAAAAATTACAAGGCTGCGTCTAGGTTCAGCCTCCTTCATTCACACAAAGAAATGGTGCCACACCTGCAATGAAATAAACACAATAGACCACTACCTAATACACTGTAAGGCATACAACAATCAAAGAAAAGAACTCATCAACTACTTCCAGATAAACAAAAACACATTACTAACAACAGAAACATTACTGGCTATGGACGCCCCATCCACTCTGCTTAGCCTGGTTAAAAAATATGTGCACAAAACCGAAGAATCAGTCTAATAAGCTGTAAAGATAAAATAATATTCACCCAATAACAAAATACAAATCCCGCACAATAAAAAAACTACACCCAAAAATGAAAGGAAAACAAATGAAACCAAACTGTATATACACAAAAACCACGAACTAACCACCAAAAATAGTCTGCGATATAAACGTAAGTTTGAAAGCGGACTTTAAACCCCAAAACAACAACAACAACAACAACAACTTACTTCCTCTCTCTTTGCATGATGGCGTCTGTACATAATAAAGACTGTTAACAACCAACGCGGCTTCTCGTCAGTCATTACAATCCACGTCATTTGGCGACGAAGGATAAACATCTACTAGAAAGAGCACCTACTTACGCAAAAAAGAGGTTTGCTAGAGCTTATTAGCTAATTATTTCTAGAATTATGGCGCTGTATGGCCAAATAAAAGAATTTGATGCGAATGATGAAATCATTCAAGATTACCTAGAGAGGTTAAGCTTTTACCTAGAAGCTAACGACGTGACGATAGAAGCCAAAAAGAGAGCTGTTTTGTTAACAGTCATAGGGCCTCAACAATTTAGGCTACTAAAGGACTTATGCGCACCAGCTAGTCCAGATACCAAGAGCTTTAACGAGCTGAGCAAATTGCTAACAGACCACCATGCGCCTACCCCATCAAAGTTTTTATGTAGAGCTAGATTTGACAGTAGGACTCGTCAACCAAACGAGTCAATAACAGAATATGTTGCTGCTTTACGTCATTTAAGTGAATTTTGTGAATTCGGAGACACGCTGTCTGACAGACTATGTGAAAAGTTTGTGACAGGTGTAAACAGCCCTGATATTCAAAGAAAGTTGCTGCTCGAGTCAGATCTAAAATTGGAAAAAGCAATACAACTTGCAATGTCATTCCAGCAGTCATCAGATGCGGCGAGATCTTTAGCACCTTCAGAGATCCATGCAGTAAACAGCAGGTTAGTCAATAAACATCAACCCCATCAGAGCATTCCAACTTATGCTAAACACCCTGCTCGTTCAAATCCTAGATCTAAATCTAGTAATAATTATCAAAAATGTCATCGATGCAAAGGTCCCCATGCATCTCATCGGTGCAAGTTCAAGTTAGCAACTTGTTATAAGTGCGGTAAGCAAGGTCACATTGCCAAGGCCTGCTTTGCAAAGTCTTCGTCTGTTGCTAAATCTAGCCAGTCAAGACAGTACCGCAACCAAAAGCAGCACTATGTTAACTCTCACCAAGACTACCTAACCCAACCAATGAACCACTCTACCTGTGAAAATTCTCAAACTGATTCGCAGCCGGATTTCAACCTATTCTCTGTGAAATCAATAAGTCATGCTCCCATCAATGTACAAGTTAATATCAACGGTAAGAGCATCAGCTTCCAACTTGACACTGGAGCATCTCTAACAGTCATAACAAAGAAAGAGTTTGACGCTGTCACAGGAGGATCAGTGCCTCTACAGCCGTGTCACAAGTGTCTAACAACATACACTGGTGACAATGTTCCGGTAATAGGAGAGTGTATGGTTCATGTAAGTTATAATGGTCAAAGTGTTAAACTTCCTCTTCTTGTGGTTGAAGGAAATGGACCGCCATTACTAGGTAGGAACTGGTTAAGTGATCTTAAGTTAAATTGGGAGAGTATTTGTTCATTGAAGAATGTAAAAGAATCTAGTCTTACTTCACTAGATAAAGTAATATCTGAAAATAAATGTGTTTTTGGTAATCATGGATTACTAAATGATAGAACAGTGAAGTTAAGCATTAAAGACACAAATCCAAGATACTGCAAAGCTAGAGTTCCACCTTATGCAATGAGGAATAAAATTGAAAATGAGCTAAGTAGATTGGAATCTAATGGCATTATAAAGAAGGTAGACTATTCCGATTGGGCGACACCCATTGTGCCAGTGTTAAAGAAGGATGGTTCTATAAGAATTTGTGGAGATTATAAAACTACACTGAATAAGCAAATAGAGCTAAATAGGTACCCTATACCTAACATTGAGGAAATTTCTTTGAATTTGGCAGGAGGAGACAAATTCACTGAATTAGACTTTAGTCATGCTTACACTCAACTAGAACTGCATCCAGATTCAAAAGTCTATACGACAATAAACACACATAAAGGACTCTACCAATATGAAAGACTATGTTTTGGCATATCATCCAGCCCTGGAATTTTCCAAGCTGTCATGGACAGTATTTTTAAGGACATTCCAAATGTTTGTGTGTACTTTGACAATGTGTACATAACTGGTAAGAATGACACTGAACATCTTAAAACACTCGATAAAGTCTTGAAAATTGTTGGTGAAAAAGGTTTAAAGATAAACAAAGATAAATGTCAATTCATGCTGACAGAAATTAGTTTTCTTGGTTATATATTGAGCAAACAAGGCATCAGACCTCAACCTGAGAAAACAAAAGCCATTAAAGAAGCACCCAAACCTGAAAATACCCAACAACTAAGAGCTTTTTTGGGCTTGATAAATTACTATGCAAAGTTCATAGGGAATCTGTCTGGTAGACTATCACCACTGTACAAGCTGCTACAGAAAAATGCAACTTGGCACTGGGGTAAACAACAAGATACTGCTTTTAATACAGCAAAAGAGGCTTTGTCT